TTTGATGCAATCTACCTAATTGTTTTTGGTCATTGTTGTCAGCTTAGGACTTTTATTCACCACATGCGCAATTGGATCCCTGAAAATTGATGTGATGCGCTTTTCCAGATCTGTCATGTTTTACATCGTCTTCGAGGCTAGATGCAGTTAGTTTGACAGTGACAATTGTTTTAGAGTTTTGATTCATATAAGCTTTTATTGATTTCATGGTTAATAATAGTAATGCAGACTTCGTAGTTGTTTGTTTGGCTTTTGTTTGCTTTATTTGTTGATTCTTCATTTAATTGCTGTTTTATAAAATTCAGATTACGTCTACACCCAACAGTTTCACGCTCAATAAATAAATAAATAAATTTACCGAGTCAATTTCCCCAGCTGATGATTAAAGAACTCGAACTTTTTCCGATTCAATCACACTTTTTTATGTAGGTTGAGCTTGGTAAGCAAACTGACCAAGCCACCAAAACTCATTCAATGTAATCGTAGGCGTAGCCACTCCAAAATTATGTTTTGCCAAGTCAAAACATTAAAAACGAAACTGTGTTTTTTTTTATCAATGGAAAGAAGAGGAGGAACTTTGGCTCCTAAAATGCCCAAAAGGACAATTTCAGAAATCTTGTAAAAGCCAATAACGTGTAGAGTCACCTCAGTATAACTTCATGCATTACCACTTGATTTTGAATACATAATTCTACAGCTAATTTATTAACATAAAAAACACAGTTTCATCATCATATCCAAATGCTCACTCTATCAAGTTGACCCTAAACCCTAGTGGTAAAACGCTTTGCTTCACATTCAAGGCAAAAGTTCGACTTTTATCTCTGCTTATTTTTAATAAAGTCAATAACGATCCTATTTCGGATGAAGAAGAAAAAGAAAAAAACTGTACAAGTGAACCCAATTTGCTGGATCAACAGTGTTATTATCAAAGGGCAGAACGGTTCATCAGGACTGAGTCAGGTTTGTTATCCTTGGGAGGGTCAAGGCTATAATACTTAACCCAAAAAAAAAGTAAAAGAAAAGGTCAGCGTATCCATTAGGGTCCAAGCCATCGAAAAATGCCAAGTTTATACGGATCAAGTCCGAGAAGAGTTCACTTTCTATTTTCAGTTTTTTTATTGAATGCACTAGAAGTTGTCGTCTTCTTGATCAACATTTTCCGTACATATGTCAATATATGTTGTTTATGCATGACCAAATTTTTTTTTATGAGATTTCAACTATATATAATTAGCCCAAATAGTCATTCTCATGCAATTTTCAGAAGCGGCAGAGAAATAGGTTCTCGGAACTGATTTTTATAAACATATCGGTTCTCTTTAATGAAACTATTAAAATACCAATACCGTCCTTAATATTTCTGAAAATGGCAAATGTTGTAGAATGCATCACACGAGTATTGGGCCTATGAGCCGGAACCCAGATCTCGGCTCCTACATTCATCAATAACGTAGGCCCCTATACACACCCATATGTCTGCTTGGTATCCATTTTCGCGGGCCCAACAAGCTTACCGAATATCTGGGCCTATGAGCATTATCCAAATGTCTTTTTGTTGAGTAGGGAAACAAAACTAACATTACATTATCAAACGCTTTTTTAAAATTTAAAAAAATTATTTCCTTCCTTTAAAAAAAAATTAAAAATCAATAGATATAATCAAAAGAGGCCAACGGGGTCTAGCCAAATGGAAAAGATATTGACTTGCAGATCAGTGGTCTCAAATTTAAACCCCCATGACACTTGTGTGTGTGAAAAAAAACCCCCCCTCTCCCAATATCACTTGTATTAAATAATAATAATAATAAATCAAAATAACGTGCAATATGTGTGGAAAGCCATATTATAAAGATATTCTTATTTTCTTTTTTCATGTTTTTGTTAACAATTATGTTCTATGAGATAATCAGTCATAACTTCTACCGACGAAGTGAAGATTAGTTGCCACTATATCAAATGGTCATTAGTTTATGTAACTATTTATTTCTTTGTACTAACAATATTAGAGAGAAACCAACTAATTGTAGAATTCTATAGTGAAGGCCTTATCTAAGGCCCTTAGATAATGTCCCATCTTTTGACCATTAAATCAATTGGTTAGCCATTTGATAAAATTGATTAGTTTGATCTAATAGTTAAGAGATATGACATTAGATAAGTGACTCACTATAGAATAACTTTCATATAATGTGTCAATGTTTCAGTTGTTTTATATATGTTCTCACTCTAAATTATGTTTCTACTTTTTTGGGGTCATATAAACCATATTTATTCACAATAAATAAAAATTGTCACATAAGTACTTTCTACAAGTTGATGTCTCTAGCATTTTTCGTAACCCCGTTTTGGCCCAAAGCTTGCTTGAATCTTGACTACCCATGGAGTTGATTTGATTAAAGAAATAAGATAAAAAGTTTGAACACATTTCCAGCACATCTTTTCAGTTAGACCTAACCTAGCAGCACTACTTAATCTAACAATTAAAAACAAACACAAAAAAACAAAGAACCCTAACAATTCAAGGCATCCTAGTAACCCTACTCACGAGGAACTCAATTTGGTGGGTCATGTGACACCTATGTTGTAGGTGTGTTGCAAATTTGATTCCAATATTTTGGAAATCCAGATTATAACTTAATATAAGATTATGATGGGATAATCTTCTAATAAACAATCTTAACCTTTAAATTTGAATCATAATAACAAGCCATTAACACTCATAACAATGCGCTCACACGTTGTTCGTTAAACTAATCACTCTCTGTTCTGTGCCACAATAAATTTATTAGTATTATTAATTTATAATCCAACCTAAAATTGGCAGTGGGCAGGGTCCAGTCTGGGAGGGCCCACACAAAAACCCCCGTGCCCCAGTCCCACCCAAAAGCCATAAATAATATTTAATCCACCCAAAAAAAATTAGATAAAAATTTAAAACACGTTGGCAGGGGTACGTGTCGGTGTATGATTGAGTGATGGGGCAACGGGAGCAGCAACGTATTAGAACGAGCAGTGGGAGATGGGGAAAAGCAGTCAAAGCAAAAGACCGGATAAGCCAACGGAGGCGTACAGTCAAAGCAAAACTGTCGCGGTCAAACGCTTAGCTGGGACTTTACCGCAAAAAAAGAGAGTAGGAAAATATTATTATTTTGATTATTTAAAAGTGGAAAATTGGTTGGTGGGGTCCACTTGGGTTTTTACTTGGTAATTATTATAATTTTTTTGGAGAGAAAAAGTGTCTGAAATATTCGATTTGCTAAATCGAGATGTGGCATCGTACGTAGGAAGCTCATCGTGGGCCGTTCCTAATTTCCTCATTCCTAGTAAGTAGTAAAATAGTAAAGTAGTAAATAGTGGTACGTGGGCAAAAAGACTAGTCTCTCCCCTTCGTGGGGGTTGGGTCATGACTCAGATGACTCGTGGGTACACTTTGCCCAAATTGGGCGGTCTTTTTGACCCACTTTCTTTTTCTCTCTCAAAATACCACTTTGTCCTCTTTCTCGAAATATCATTTGACTCATGAAAATCCGGAAGAGTCCTTTACATAATATTAAATGTAAAAGAATTTCTGTCCAAAAAATAAAATAAATTAGTCGTCCGTCTAATTGTGATCCAATAAATGAATAAATATAATGGGAAAATGCTTGGGTGAAATCAAATGTGGAAGGGTTCTGTTTAAACGACATGTCGATTTTGTGTCAATTTTATTAACGCATTTGTAACACTAATTTATATGAACTGTAACATTTTAAGTGCTAGAATACAAGTTCTAAAAAAAAAAAAGAAGCTAAAATTCTAATTGTAAAGATATCTGAACCTTGGAATTGAAGCAAGGATTTAGAAGATGCCACCAAAAAAAAAAAAAAAAAAAAAAAAAAAAAAGAAAGAATATAGGGTTAACTAGCTACTTCATTCATTGACACTTCTCTCATACAATTGTGGAAGATACTCTAAGTTCAATTAATTCCAAAATTGTTATAAAATTAAAAAAACCAAACAGGGGTATAATTGTCAATGCTGAAAATATTTGTAAATGGACAATAAAGATGTATAAAGCAGGTAATTAGCAGAGAAGCGGGAGATTAAGGAGACAAGTAAAATGACTGCACGTGTGGTGCGCGGGCCGAGGGGCTTATTCACCGGCTGCAGCCCGTGGTTCCGGTCATCTGATATTTCAAAGTCCCCATTTTTCATTTTTGTATCATAACAAAAAAAAAAACATAAACATAAATATAAATAAACAAATTTATTATTTTCGGTAAAGACTGGAAGAGCTTTCAGTAAAACTTCCCCAAAAGAAGAGCTATGGCTTTTCTCTGCTCCTCTCTCTCTCGGTCTATCTGTCCACCTTTGCCTTTGGCGGTACGGCCCCTCACATAGTTTTTTCTCTTAAAGCTCTTCGAATTCCTCATTTTCTCCGTCTTATGAGATCTGGGTATTGCTTATTTTATTTTCTTCTCTCAATTTCTGCACAACCCTCTTTAGATTTACTTGTAGTCTCCACTGTTTGCTTATTTTTGAGCGGTCTAAGTCTTTTTGTTTTTCACCCTTTGCTTTGCTTTATTGCACATCTTTTTCTGTTCTGGTGAAATGGGCTGTTGATTGAACCCTTTTGAAGCTTGAGCATGAAGTGAGACGAGCTTGATTGTGTGTATTATGATTGTAATGATGCTTTTGACCGTAGAAAGAGATCAGATAAAAAGCAAACTAGGAAAAAGCAACAGAAGCTCTGTGTGTGTGTGTGTGTGTGTGTGTGCGCAATAAATAGAGTATTGTTGCTTGTATATTGTCAATGAGAGAAGCACAGGTGGGATTTTTATTCTCTGTCTTTATCCCTTTTCACACATTTCATGTGCTATCCAGATGTAATGTGCTCTGAAGGGAGCTTGCCATTGCAGTCGTTTTGAGGGTTTTTTTTTTGTTCTCTCTCTGGTTTTTTTGGATTTTTAGTATTTTTGAGGGTTTGGGTTTCTTTTCTCTCAAAAGGGGTTTCAAGAATGCCTATGTTTCAGCCCTCAAAGAGGGATGGGGTTGTTGGGTTTGATGGTGGTGGAGATGGGCATGTCATAGATCTGGACACAGCTGTGAAGGATGGGGTTTTGGGTGGTGTTGGTGGTGGGGTTGTTACTACTGGTGTTGGTGAGAAATTGGATCTGAGGAAGATGATTGAAGAGCTTGACTTGTCTGAGGTCCCTTCAGTGTTCATCTGCCCAATCTCCCTGGAGCCAATGCAAGACCCAGTGACCCTTTGCACTGGTCAAACCTATGAGAGCTCCAATATTCTCAAATGGTTCAATTTGGGGCACCTCACCTGCCCCACCACAATGCAGGAGCTCTGGGACGATTCGATAACCCCGAATAGGACCCTTTACCATCTAATCTACACTTGGTTTTCTCAGAAGTATCTGCTCATGAAGAAGAGGTCTGAAGATGTTCAAGGAAGGGCTTCTGAGCTTGTCGAGACACTAAAGAAGGTGAAGGGTCAAGCTAGGGTGCAAGCCCTCAAGGAGCTTCATCAAGTTGTGGCAGCTCACGCCACTGCCAGGAAGACACTGATTGATAAAGGTGGGGCTACTGTAGTTTCATCCCTGCTAGGTCCATTTACTTCACATGTTGTTGGTTCCGAAGTCATTGCCATTCTTGTCAATTTGACCCTTGATTCAGAATCGAGAACGAGTTTGATGCAACCCGCAAAAATTTCGTTAATGGTGGACATTCTGAATGAGGGGTCCATTGAAACGAAAATCAATTGTACCCGGTTGATCAAAATGCTGATGGAGGAGAAGGATTTTCGATCAGAAATTATTTCGAGCCATAGCCTCTTGGTAGGACTAATGAGGCTGGTGAAAGATAAGAGGCATACAGCTGGAATCTTGCCTGGACTTAGCCTCCTCAGAACAATATGCTTGCATAAGGAAGTAAGGGGTTTTATGGTGAGCATTGGGGCTGTGCCTCAGTTAGTTGATTGTTTGCCTTCTCTCGACCATGAATGCTTAGAACTAGCTCTTTTCATCTTGGATGCACTGTCCTCTCTACCGGAGGGAATATCAGCTTTGAAGGATTGTTCGAACACTATTCCGAATATGGTGAGGCTTCTTATGAGAATTTCAGAAAGTTGTACTCAATTTGCACTGTCAATTTTATGGTCTGTGTGTAAACATGCCCCCGAAGAATGCTCATCAATTGCTCTAGATGCTGGTCTAGCGGCAAAGCTCCTCCTTGTGATACAGAGTGGTTGCGGTCCTGTCCTGAAGCAGCAGTCTGCAGAGCTCTTGAAGCTTTGTAGTCTAAACTATACTGATACAATATTCATTTCCAAGTGCAAACTCACAAGGACAATCCAATGACAGGGAAATTTTACGTGGATATGTATATGACCCCTTTGATTCTGATATGTGGCCCTGAACAGAATGCCAAATCGGGGGCGTGAGGTACGAATCAGCTCACCTGTATATACTTGAAAAGTATGTTTGTTCCAACAATTGATTCAACATTCATGAAGAAGTCTCACAATGTGGACATCACACACCATGCTGGTTCTAATGCAATCATGCAATTTGCTCAACTGGCGTCAATGGTTGTCGAATAAACCCCAGAAGAAAGAAGAAAGTGTAGTTAGTTGTTGGATAAAGATACTTGTTAGGAGGAGAATTTGCTCCAAAAAATATGGAGCCTGCAATTACAATTGTAATTGTCAAGAAATTGCTTGGCTCCCACTCTTTAGTTCCCTTTGTTCTCCTTAAGGTCTTGGTAGTAGCTCCCAGTTTTCCTATTGTTTTTTTTTCTTTTCTTATGTGGGAGTTTTGTTTTTGACCCACTAACTGTAGAAATTGTAGAGCCTTTGGGTTCTGTTCTCCATTTTAACGTGTACATTGAATTGAAGTCAACAATATCTTTCCCCAGTTATTTGCTTTGTTTACAATGTAATTTCACATTCTGTGGTTCTTGTATATAAGATTCTCTCATTCTTGTTTAATCTTCTTCTTCGAAGTTTGGATTTTCCCTCTTTTTGGTTTGTTTCAGGCTTGCTGATCCAATCCCAAACTCTCAATGAGTGTGGGGAAGTTGGTGGATATTGGCGGGGAGGGGGGGGGGGGGGGGGGGGGGGGGGAGAGAGAGAGAGAGAGAGAGTTGCAGGTTGCAGGTGCAGGTGCAGGTCCTAGACTTGATCACATCATGTGCTGGAGTTTACTATTTAGGGCAACACTAGAGGGCTTAGGTGCATTCTGTGTACCTGCTTTGAGAACGGGACCAATCGATGATAGCTTGCTTGCACTTACTCATTCATTCATTCACTGCTGAGCTGCTGACTGATATGAAATATTGAAATGAAAGAAATGAAAGCTCAGAGCTTTCACAGCACTTTGTGTGTTTCGTTGAAAGTTGAAGCTGCTGCCATGTGATGTGCCTCGTTTTGGTTTTCAGTAATACCTCCAAATTTTGAGGGCCAAGCCCTACCACTGCTGCAGTGCAATTTAATGATTCTACATTGAATTATAATTTATTTATTTATCTACACTTGAAAATACAAAAAATAAAATTTGTACTATTAAAAATAGTGAAATTGGATCCTAGCCTTCAATACTAGATTCTTTTATTTCTGTTTTCTTTTGGGTTTTGTGGTGCAAAATTATGGGAGTGGGCCCTTCGTCTTGCATTGCCTGGGGAGATGCTTGAAGCCTCATCTTTGGGTATACTGCTTTTCAGTCTTTCACTATTTACTTTTCTTTCTTTGGTTAATCATTTGTGTCAATTCTCCACAGGAGGGGAGGGGACAAGTGAAAGCAACAAGAGGTTTCCACCTCCATTGTCATGTTTGACCAAAAAGCCCCTTTGTATAAAGGAATCAATTACCTGCGTAGAGCATCTTCGAACAACGGGTTAATAGGCCCATATTCTCATTTGAGCTGGGTTTGGGGTTTGAAGGCCTGCCTTTTTAGGGTATCAACACTCGAGTATACAACCAATGAATCTAATAGGCCCATGTTTTTTGGGTCGTGTGTTTAGAATAACGTTTTCTAGCCGGATTAAAAATGAGATACAAATTCTTATCTCGAAAAAATTGTAAATTTGAATCACACATTGATACAATAATCACTAGTCTAGCAAGCAAGATAGCATTTCCCGTATACTAATATGATTTTGCATGAAATTTGTGCTACTCACTAGTTACTACGCATTATCTCCAAAATAGGTAAAGATGAGTACCCTTTCTTTTGTTTTGATTCATTTCCTCACGGCACACTTGAAAGCTGGTTTCATCAGTCACGGGGTTGAATATAGTGACATTAATTTGGTATTTAATTACGGCTTGCCTCCATAAGATGGTACTACAAACTCTGCATTCAGATTGCAGCACAATGCTTCTCTGAATCTCTGTAGGCCCATTTTAATGAAATGGGGACCACCCATCCCCACTCTCATGAACAACAAAGATACATTCTACTGTATTAGAGAGTACAATTAAGCTACTATAGTAGCATTTGTGATTGTGAGCCATCGATGCATAGTAAGATTCACTTGCATTAATAACTCACAGTGATTTACCAGCGTATAAACTAGTGCTACCACTGCTCTTGAGTCCATTAACAATATGTCAAATGGATCACCATTTCTTTTCCAACATCAACTTAACATGTTATGCCAAGTTGTCAATTAACATTTAGTTTAGTGGTACTTCTCTTCCTAATGTTGAAAGAAGTTTCCCGTTCAAATCCCGTCCCCTAATAATTTATAAAAAAAACCTTAACATGTTAGTCTAATAATTTATGTAATAATTACACGACTGCCATATAATTGGCATAATCAGTGATCACAAGCTCTTAACATAACATGATAAAGATTTATAATGACCATTGCTTCACGTCATGGTCGGTTGGAGAAGACTTGAAAAATTAGCATAGGTGGCTGTTTACATTTTACTTCCCACGTTGTTTTTTGTTATGTTTTTATATGAGCGATATTTTACTTTAATTTAATCTAAATTATAAGAAGAAATATTCAAACGTAGATGCAAAATGACGACCACATCCACTTTAACCAATTTAACTTAGTCCATGTTTGCACTCAAGTTGTTTTCTAGTCTTTATAATTAAAGTGCAGGGCTGCTTTCTTTCGCTTTTCTTGTTTAGGCTGGATTTTAGACTTAGTGCATCCAATAGACAAAAAGTTTCCATTTCAAAAAAATAAAAACCCCAATTTCCACTTGTTAGGTTACATTCGTTGATGTTGATAATGTATTAGTGTTCAAAGTAAATCAATAGTAATTGGCGAACGTTCATCTCTATTTTCAAATTTATTTTTTTTCACAATAAAGCTATATTTCATATATTGAGTTCAATCAAAACTGAGTATTGAACTCATCACAATTATATATCGTTTTTGCAATTTATATGAGTCGAACATAAAATCTTCTACAATCAAGTGGAGACAAATACCACTAAATTAGTGGGTAATTGGTTATTCTTAATGCAGGATCCTTTTGAGTCAAACAAGTTAATTGGATTACAACTGTATTTGCAAGTATACAGAGAATTTAACTCTCTGCACCAAATTTTGGGCAAAAGATTTCAAATATTAGAACTTGAAAGAATGGTTTTTCTTTTACTATAGTATTCTAGATTGATGTTGGGATATGGCCTTGGGTTGGTTTCTTGGTTTGTTCATAAATTTTTTTTATAACAGAAAATAAAAATGAAACACATGAGCTTGGGTCAAGAAAGTACATTAATTCTTTGGCTTCCATAATAAATAAATAAAACATAAGTTGAAGAGCCAAGAGGGTCTTGATTGTTTCACGGGAGTCTGAACCTTGAAGCAAAGCTTATATGTGAATCCCATGTGCCCAGATTGACTCGTAGGACTCTAGCAGTTTTCAAATCTTTGTTTTCATGAGTGGAGATGAAAGAGCTCAACCAATTAAGTTATACCTGTACCCCATCGGCCTAGCTGTTGTTTTATTAAACATAAAAAAAGTTGCGCAAAATTGACTTAGTCACCTTCACTTCGTTATCAATTGAAGGGTTTTAAATAAGGGAGATTCACTAATATACCCAATATGGGGGCCTAAATTACAAAAATATCCCATATGAAATGAACTTTATAAACACACCCAAAATCCATTTACAACATAACAAAGAGGCTTTAACTTCTTATAAATTACAAAACTACCATAAATTTCTTAAAACAAGCCCAACCTCAAAATCTTATAAAAATACCCAGAGCACTCAATAGGGCATTAAAGTAATTTAATAATCAATATTAAATCTAATAAGGCCAACTATCATTTTTGGGGTTTTTTTTGGGTTTGTTTATAGAAATTCAATGATGGAGGGTTTATCTATAATATTAGTGCTAAGAATGGGTATATCACTAAATATCTCTTTAAATAAATGCTCCCTTACTATTGGAGTACTTAATAGAGCCACGAGTATGACCACAGAAAAATAAAATAGAATAAAATAAAAACACGGACAAAATTAACAGTAAGAAATTATGACGTTGCCTTAGCGTCAGTGCTTACTGAAAATAACATATTTGTATATGATCCTTAGAAGATTTGGGTGGTTGCTGTGACAGGCTGGATGGGGCATATTAAATTCCATGCATAATAAAATAATGAGTTGGAAGGTTCTTCTAGGGCACATGTTGCTTGAGGAAACGGGTTTGTCATTTTTGGACATTGGACTCAGAAATTGAAGACGAATAAGTGCCTGGTTGGTTGATGTTCAGCAGAAATATGGATAGCCATCATACTCTGTTGCTACATACTTGTCACCCTATTTGCATCCAGATGTTGGTTGAATGATTGACAATTATGTAAAAGAAATGCAATGTCTAGATACTCGTTATGTGCATTATTGGCATGCAATTTGCAATTTGCAATTTGAAAATTGTGTCAATTGTGGCTGTATGTATGGTCTAGGCTAGCATCCTTTGGTGAAGATTAAGCAAAAGTTTCCCAACTAATATCTCCGCTTTCGTCATATATTTGACATGCAATTTGCAAAATAACAACTACAGTAGAGAAGAGAGATGCATGCATTGAGAGAGAAAAGTGGTTGATCAAACCTAGAGTAGAGTATTACTATAACACCGAATACCGAGTAATTTAAGTGTGATTTGGATTGATCTTGGCCTTTTAATTATATTCAATTTATTTGTAACTGAAGGGTGATTTGGATTGATCTTGCCATATATATTTAAAAATTCCATTTGGTAAAAAAAGTCAAATAGTCATATTCATAAGAAATTCGTATCCATTAAAAAAAGAGAGAAGAAAAGTTACAAGCATCATTACATGGACATGCATTCAGTTTGATGTATTTGTAGACTGCTCATCAAAGTCACCCAAAAGGGAAGGCAGAACATCTAAACTTCTGCAATCTTAGTAATAATCAGTTCAAACATGCGCTCTTAACTCTTTCATTGCTTCATTTTGAACAAATGAAAACTTAGATTTGGATATATTGAACCAATCATATCTACCAAATTCTTCGATTTCGAAACGAAGCCGTTCTATTTTGGGGTGAGGCAGGCCTGCAAGACCCTCAGAGCCCTAGCCATTGCTGAAAATACTTGATCACTACTAGAAGATGGAGAAGAAATCCAATATCATAATCTAACAAAATAGAAGGCGACAACAATATGCTTGCTTGTAATGCAAGCGTAGGCTTAAATATACAATACTCGTTGGAACCAACCTTTATGAATGAGTGCAGTAAGACCAGATCAAAAAAGGGCTTTTTTTTACTATCATAATCAAAGATGCATATACTAATTAATAATTGGTCAGTATTTTGAGTGTCGGTCAAAGATAGAACAAGAAGAACCGCACGTGTAACAATTGAAAGGGCTGGTGATGCATAGTATAATGGCGGCTTGGTCCACCTTAAGCAACTTGCTTCGCCATCCCTAGAGCTCCAACACCATATTTTATTAAAAGGGTTATTTATTTAAATTAATTTCTCAACTAAATTATTCATGGAAAATGCTAGCAACCTTCTCTCTAACCTTCTCCTTTGGACCTTCTCTCTAACCTTCTCCTTTGGACATTCTCCCTTTTTTGCTTGACATGTGTCATTCTCTTTACACTTAAAACATGTCATTAATATATTATACAAGTTAACTTTTGCTTTCCAAGTTTACCCTTATTAAATGCATTCAATTTATCCAAAAAACTTTCACAACTTTCTTACTATCTTTTTTTTTTAAACGTCAATTATTTTTTTAAAAGAAAATATATGCTTTTAAGAGGAAATGCCCCTTTTCTTTTCTTTTTTTTAACACGAAGGGTTTAGATAGGAAAAAAAAAGTCATTTGTGCTTTGAAAAAAAGGGACATTTCCTCTTTTTTGAAAAAAGCAAACATTTTCTTTAAAAAAATAATTGACGTTTTGAAAAAAAATAAATAAGATGGTAAGAAAGTTGTGAATTTTTTTGGATAAATTGAATACATTTAATAAGGGTAAACTTGGAAAGCAAAAGTTAACTTGTATAATATATTAATGACATTGTTTTAAGCGTAAGGAGAATGACACATGTCAAACAAAAAATGGAGAAAATCCAAAAGAGAAGGTTAGAGAGAAGGTTGCTAGCATTCCTCATTATTCATTCAAATGGTCCACACACAAAATGATCAAATCACACCAGGAGCGTTTCTACACTAAGGGCAGCCCAGCCAAAATTTTTCCAAAAAAAATATTGAATGGGCAGCTTTTCTCCTTTTGTTTTGTCTACAACAACTTCTCCTCTACTTCTCTTGACATATAGACATCAACTTCTCCTCTTGCTAGCAATAACTTCACTTTTTGGCAACAATTATTCAATTCAGTCTCTCATTTTTAATTATCTTTTGCATCTTTAATTTGAAATTGAGTATTCTAAGGTTTAATTAGGAATGAATTAAAATTTGGGGATTTTGTTGAAAATTAATTAGGGCTTTAATTTTAGGAATTTTGTTAAGATGTTTGATTTGTTGTTGGTATTGTTGAGATGTTTGATTTGTGTTGGTATGTTTGATTAAATGCATTGATGGTATTATGAGAATTGGTTTATTTTTGTTGAGATGTTTGATTTCTCTTCATAGCAAAATCTTTCTGAATCTTCCATTGTTAAGCCTCAAATTGAAACAATTGAGAATCAAAGAGTTGATGATGATCAAGATTTTAATATCAATTATCTTAAGTGTGATCCATGATTATGTTGTCAAGTTTTTTCGTATTTGTTAAACTTTTATTTATTGGTAGAGATGCATTTGTGGCTAAGGCTCATTATGTCCCTTTGACTACGTGTATCTTTATATGCTTATTAACGAAATCCACTCGCTGTTGAGTTTAGTATGTAAATTTTGCCCAATCGACTTTCGATTTCTGGAACCGCTACCGACTCACACAAAGAATAACAAAAACCAATAATACACAATTAAATCTGCTTATATTATATATAATTGGTCAAACATTTTGATTTGACCACATTGCAATTTTACACAAATACAATTGTCCGCACAGACACAAACACACCCGCCGACGGCTGAGGACAAAAACCAACATTGAAATTTTGTTCTTTATTTTCCCTTGCCTTCCCCAACGGCTTCTCTTCTAGGTTGTTGCCTTTCTTTACTCATTTTTCAATCTATATATATACATAAATTAGTGCTTCGTTATTTTCATAACACAAAAATCAAATCCCCAGTGATCTCAGACTTCATTTTTCTCAAAAACCCAGAATTTCAATCTCCATGGAATCTCATTCCTCTTCTTCTTCAGCCTCTTCCACCACCACTTACTTGTCCCAAACCATGCAACGTACAAAGGGTTTAATCTCAAATTCAAATTCACTTCCTTATCACCAATCTTCACTTCACTCTGTTAGGAGGCCTTCTTCGAAGCCATGGCGGAAGCCGGCAATGGCTCCGCTGCCGCCGACCCCGCCAAGAATCTACAAAGTGGACCCCATTAACTTCAAAGACCTTGTACAAAGCCTTACCAGCGGGCCGGGTTTTTTGGAGGCTCGATCTCTGCAGAACGTCGCACCGGCGCCGATTGATGTTCGGAGAAATGCCTCTGTTCTGAACAATGTTCTTTCTTCTTCTTCTTCTTCTTCTCCGGCATCGAAAATTATTTCACCATTTTCAGCCATTTACAAGGACTTGGCTGAAACACTGGAAATGAGTTCTACACCTCATCATCAGAAGGCGCATGATAGCAATGTGGACCCTAGTTATCTGAGACTGAACTTGCAGTCACCTTCTTCCCATCATTGGTTTTCTTTTCCTCTGCTCAGCCCAGGAACTATGTCCAGTCTGGAACAGAGCACAGTGCTTTAGGACTATTTCAAACCCTAGCTAGGCATGAGCCTGTTATATAAATATGTCAGCCCAATTTCTATAAATTGTGGCCTTTTTGTTTTATTGTTTTTGTTTTAAGTTGTAAGTTTTAACATCCTGTTATGTTGTAGGGAGTTTGATATAAATGCGCAGAAGCCATTTTTAATTTGAATGTGAAATTATGAATCAATGAAATCAGATGGGATTCAAGAAAATGTCTTGTTTGCTCAGAGTTCTTAAATTCTTAGCCAGTTTTTCTGAATCCAAAATTTGATGAACTAGGCACGCAAAATAATGCAACCTTAGCGAACCTGATGGACTTTTATGACGGCCTACATACATGTGGTGGGTGGGGGGGCAGCAGACAACGTGAGACACAAGAAGGGAATCAAGTGGATACGACAAAGTGACTTCAGACAAGACAATACGGGATTCTATGTTTCAAGGGCACTGTATAATCAAGCTTACTTTGACACAAATTGAGTGGTAACAATTAAGTGATATGACACAAGTTTGTTTCTATTGAGAAAGCTATTAGCGACGCAACGTGAAAAATAAAGGCAATCAAACGATAGTTTCAGTAAGTACGAATATTGAAATCCATGATAATTTCAGTAATCATGAATACTGAAATCCACCCGAAATATGAGAAAACCTCAAAGTTTATTTTTGATGAAAATGGTGATAACTACCCTAAACCCTTACTAAAGTTGGAATATAACTACTTCAAATCCTAGAAGCACTATATATAAATTATAATTAAAGCCTAAAAATGAAAATAACGAAATTTCAAAAACATCAAAACTTTTTTTATTTATATAGTATAAGCGATAGTCTAAACTATATGGGAAGGGGATTTCTTACTCAAACATACTACTATGATGCCATGAGGGTTTGAACATGAGAAAACTAGTCAGCAAGTCAATGCCAAAGGCGAATCTAGCCAGTTTTTGGCTAGTTGGCTAATTGGCTAAAAATTTTCAACAAAAAAGGTAGATATGTTAGCCCATCCAAAAAAAGAAAAGAAAAAGAAACCCTATTTCTAGTTGCCCAATCATCCATCAACATATTCTCTTCTCCTTGTTACACTTTGCGACTTTGTCCATAGAGAGGCAGGACAAATGAAAGGATAAAGAAGGTAACAATCATTACGTCCCCTAACTATGAGTGTATCTTTTTATGTTTATTAATGAAATTCACTTGTATCGTTGAGTTTAATACGCAAGTTTTACTCAGGCGGCTTTCAAATCATGGATCTGCCACTGGTCAATGCCCTTCTCCACTAGACTAGACCTCATTGACAAAACATGTCAAAACTTAAATTGATGCTTTGACCTAGTAAACAAAGTTATTTGGCCGAAAAGCTCCATTCATCACAGAAAAAGGGTGAGTTTGACTCGTCTCGCCATTCTCTTCAAAACAACGGGTAATAAACTCAAACCAGAGCTTCGAGCCCAACCGATTTTGCATCCTTTGTGCAAGCATCGATTCAATTGCTCCTCAATCTCCTCCGCAAGCCGTTGGACATCAACTAGGGACAATACAAATTCTTTAGCATCTATGACATAACTAAATTGAAACATAATACAACAATAAGCATATGAGTCCATGACACAAGTTAAGCATGTTTGGTTTCTTCAACATGTGTTAGTCATCGAGAAGTAGTATGTAATGTGAAGTTCTTAGAGCACTTCTAGCTGTTTGTTTTGCCAAGGCAAAAGGCCCCTGCCTGCAAATTCAAGCCACCAAGCAAATCCAGACCGGGTAGGAAGTGGGCACCACTAAGAGCACTTCCACCCTCAAAGACAAGGAAAGGGTTGTCACTATTCACGTGAATAGTGGTAGCATTTGCAATTTTGTTTCCACCCCTATGGGATAGGGTAAGGGCAATTACTATTCACATGAGATACGAGGAGATGAATTTATAGAGTTTTTGGTGTGGGAAATAAACAATATGGCTAGGTATTTATTTATAAAAAAAAAATCTGAATTTTGTTGTATTTGTTTCCAATTTTTTTTCAAATTTTTTTTAGTTATTGATGTCATTATGACATCAGCATTGTGTCATTTTGCCCAAGCAACAGCTCGGGCCGAACTTGCACGTGGGCTTGCCTAGGCTAGTGGGACCCACCCCCTGTCCGGGCTGGACTTGGAGCGGCGGAGTTGGATTCTAGTCCTTGGGTCCCCTCCTGCCCGGGCTGGCCTTGCGCGCTGGAGATGCTCTAAGATTGGACAAGTCCAAAGGCAAGAGCCGAAGAAAAAAATATCAAAAAATTCAGAATTTTATTTATTTATTTATGAAGATTTACCAATTTTTTATTTATTAATCTCATACATATATAAATAAAATTGATCCCATGTGAATAGTAATTATCCTTGAGTTGCCATGGCAATGGGAGGAAAAAAATAAATTCCTAGGGCATATACTATTCACGTAAACAGTAATCACCATCTTCAAATAAAGTATTTTCTACGGTAGCACCATGAATAGCGCATAACAGAGCAGCGCCCAACACCCCAGCAACTCCCATCATATGAAATGGGTTCAATGTCCAATTATGAAACCCTTGGAAAAAGAGGATGAATCGAAATATAGCTGCTACACCAAAACTGGGCGCAAAAAACCAACCAGACTGACCTAGCGGATAAATTAGGAATACAGAAACAAAAACAGCAATTGGACCGGAGAATGCGATTGCATTATAAGGTCGCAATTGAACAGATCGAGCAAGTTCAAATTGACGTAACATAAAACCTATTAGTCCGAAAGCGCCGTGTAGAGCAACAAAAGTCCACAGACCGCCTAATTGACACCAACGAGTAAAATCTCCTTGTGCTTCAGGACCCCATAGTAACAACAAAGAGTGTGCTAAACTATTAGCCGGAGTGGAAACTGCGGCGGTTAAGAAGTTACAGCCTTCCAAATAGGAACTTGCTAATCCATGGGTATACCATGAAGTTACAAAGGTTGTACCTGTGAACCAACCCCCTAAAGCGAAATAGGCACAAGGAAAGAGCAATAGGCCAGACCAACCTACAAAAACGAAACGGTCCCTCCGTAACCAGTCATCCATAATATCAAATAAATCATTTTCGTCTTTGGTAAATTTACCAAGGGCTATAGTCATAGTGATCCTCCTATTCAACTACTTCAACCATTTTCGAACACCTCATAGCATTTTCCGAACGTTCGAGGCTTCTATCATTTATGTATTATTTGATTTCTCGTACACTGTCCCTTCTTTTGAATGGGTTTCGAATAGAAAAATAATTTATTGGTCTGTAACCCGACCTAGTTTAATCCATGAACTCAATTCGGTTATCCCTTCCTATTCTTAATAACTGCCCGAACCATGAATTGTTTTATGATCCATCAATCAGATAGATGGATTTTAGAATTGTTCAAGAAACAAGTGATCCCTTTTCTCGATACCGATAGATCCTATACATATTCCTCTCGTTCCATCAACTAATCTTAGTCTTGAATCCCGTTGAAGGGGGGAGATTGATAAATATTTTTATGTATTCTTCTAATACCATATATTTTATTACTTTATATTTTACTCTTTTATTTTAAAAAATTTCCTATTATTTTATTAATATATTGTATTTAATTAACTTGCCCTTACGTTTTACCATGACAAATAGGTAGAAGTGCTTTAATGTGAAGTTCTTACACGAATGAATATATCTGTGGAATTGAACTTTAAGCTGTGATCTTACCTATAGACACATCTAAAAGCAGAAAGACCTTGAGCATCTATTATGAAGAGCTTAATATGATTTAGGAATCTCATATGAGCCAATCAGCGCAGTCTAAGTCGATCTTCTGAGGTGGAACACTAGCATCAACTAGAAGTACTGTTAAAAAACAAACCTTAACCTTTACTGAATGAAGATCAATCCATTCGAAGCAACTTCTGCAGTAACAAATCTAGAAAAGAAGCAAGTCACGAGGCATAAAACAAAAGTGCAAAAATAAAAACACAAGAATATATTATAAATGTATATCCTCACTAAACAATAACTCATGTTTATTTTGCTTGAATGTTTTACATATCAGTTCAAACAACGTAACAAAACTGTGAGAGAAGGACTCCAGCATCAGTATTTGGCAATCTTGTGTGGATCAAATACAACTGTCCTACGTCGAAAAATGAATTGTCCATAAAGTGATAACTCTGCTTAAATTGCACTAATATAAACTCTCAACGTCAAATCCTAACGAACGTAAATGAGAAAGTCGAGGACAATATCGATACGCTCTCTCTAGCTACCAGTCTAGAGAACATGGCCCCAACAATTACGCGTATTATTGCAACTGATTATCAACGTTGCCTGAAATGCTTTACATATACATCAAAGGAGGCCACACGGAAAGTTGAAAAGAATGACAACCAGAATATGGCTAGAGCCAACTCACTACCATATTATATTAATTATTAATACCACTCGCCATCATACATACAATGATCAAAAGACAAAGAATCAACGGAGAAGAGAGAGAGAGAGAGAGAACGTCCAATAATGGAACACATTTAATTCTGCTTATATATATATATATATAAATGGTCAAACATAATTGATTTGACCACATTGCAATTTTGCACGCGTACAATCGTCAGAGCACACACATACCCGCCGACGGCTGAAGACAAAACCAGCATTGAAATTCTCGTCTTTATCTTCCATTCCCCTTATCCAACGGCTTCACTTCTAGGTTGTTGCCTTTCTTTACTCATTTTCAATCTATATACATATATATATATATATATATATACACACACAAACTAGTGCTTCCATTATTTTCATTACAGACTTTTTAGTTTTCTCCAAAACCCGGAATTTCAATCCCCATGGAATCTCATTCCTCTTCTTCTTCTTCTTCAGCCTCTTCCACCACCACATACTTGTCCCAAACCATGCAACCAACAAAGGGTTCAATCTCAAATTCAACTTCACTTCCATATCAGCAATCCTCACTCCACTCTGTTCGGAGATCTTCGTCGAAGCCATGGAGGAAGCCGGCAGTGGCTCCACTACCGCCAACTCCGCCAAGAATCTACAAAGTGGACCCCATTAACTTCAAAGACCTTGTTCAGAGCCTCACCGGCCCCCCGGAGTCTTTGGAGGCTCGAACTCTCCAAAGCGTTGCGCCGGCACCGATTGATGTTCATAGAAACGCCTCTGTTCTAAACCATGTTCCTTCTTCTGCTTCTTCCCCTGCATCAAAAATTATTTCACCATTTTCAGCCATGTACAAGGACTTGGCTGATACATTGGAGCTGAGCTCTACGCCTCATCATCAGAAGGTGCATGATAGCATGGTGGACCAGAGTTATCCGAGACTGAACTTGCAGTCACCATCTTCCCATCATTGGTTTTCCTTTCCCCTGCTCAGTCCAGGGACTCTGTCCAGCCTGGAACAGAGCACTGTGCTTTAGGAGGACCTATTTCAAAATCCCAATTTCTTTAAATTGTGGCTTCTTGTTTTTTCTTTTTCAAACTTTATATTTCTGGTTTAAGTAATAGCATCCTAGTATAGAGGCAGTATGTGATGATGTGATTTTGGCTGCAATGCTAAGCTAGCTGCTCCAGAAGCCTTTTAATGTGAATGTGACACTAATTATGAAATCAATGAAATAATTAAAGTGAGTGTCTTTTTTAGTCAAATTAATTATGGAGAAGTTGATGAACTATTGTTTTTTCGATTTTTGTTGCTCAAACTTATGAGACACTTGATATGCAAGCAAACGAACAAAGATGTCAACGGCAAATTCTGGTCACAGCACGTGAGATTACCGTCAATGAGAGTGATTACATGTACCAAACTTCGTCAGATCAACCTCAACTAACATTTAAGTGAAGGATTCAAAATTTGCTGCCATTGGCGGCTGCAAACGAGTGGAGGACATGGGGTAGTCGTCATATGTCACCACCAATAATAACTTTGTTGTGGAAAGCTAAACAAATTTTCTGTTCTTTTCCTTTTTTTCTTTGGTACAGCCGAAAGTGAACAATTGAAAGATACGGCACAAGTTTGTCGCTATTGAAAAAATTATCAGGGACAAAAAGGACTGAAAACGATTAGCTAAATGGCACAGATCAAATTGAATAGGTACTTCTGTATAATCTGCAAAACATCATTCATCTATATATACACAAAGAATAGTACCACAGCCAAAGCTACAAATCTGAATCAATTTTAGTCGGGGATTTTTTCAGCAAAGTTCATGGTAACCAGTAACTGAAACTGTCGGCAAAATAGAAAAAAAAACACAGTAAAAAACTGAGTTGAAGTCCCTTGTTCTTTGTGTCCCCTTTTGAAGTTGAGGAATTAATCAGCCAGTCTTATAATTACGCGGAGCTATTGATCCCAGTAGTTTCTAAGCTGTGACATGTGAAGCAAAAGTTCATCCCTGCCAAAGCCAGTTACACTGCTAGTCATTATCCATGGGGGTTGTACCCGGTAGTTTTCTCGGATAAACTGCTGAAAATCCCTGAGGTTCTCATCTGGCCTTTTACCTTTGCCCGCCTTCATTTTGTCACACTTGGTGAAGACATAAGTCATTGGTATCTAAAAGCAGAAAGAGCAGAAAATTCATGAGCATCTTATTAAGGGGTTAACATAAAAGGATTTAATATCAGAAAGCACTGTACATTATTACGTCCAAGCCAATTAGCGCAGTCAAGGTCGATCTTCTGAGGTGGAACACTAGCATCAACTAGAAGTAACACGGCAACAAGAGTATCTCGGTTCAAAAAGAAACCTTTCGTGAATGCAGACCAATCCATTCGAGCTGCTTCTGGAGCTTTAGCAAACCTACAAACAAAGAAAATCAATAGACATACAAAAGTAACAAAAATGAATGAGCAGAGAAGCTAACAATAACCAGTATTGAAACAACAGGATTTCCTCATTGTTTTGCTTGAAATGGTTTTGCACATGAATTCACACAAAATTACCAAACAGAGATAAAATGAGTCCAGGATCAGGGCTTAGCAATCTTGTTACCAACATAATATTCATGTTTAGAACTGATTGCCAACATTGCAGCCCATACTGAAACTTCAAAAGAATATCAACCAGAATATGGCTAGGGCCATCTCACTATGCCCTTGACAGATCATTCTATGATCTTATCTACAGCACTATATAAGGTCTCTTGGTCATTGTTAACATTAATTATGCCTATGTTTGTTAGAGTGAATAAGGATGAGCACAGGCTTCAGCACCATGGTCATAACTGCTAGTCCTTCCCCAAGAGAGCAGTGATGCATTCAATTCTAGTTGAATTGAACACTGATTCATAAGCAGTTGACTTCCCCAAGAGTGTGGTGATGCATTCAAATTCTAATTAATTATTTTTGTAAGCAATTTACTAAAGGCAGAGATAGGTGGGTTTTTTTATGGAGAAAAATCTCCATTCTATAGAAAATTAATCACAACGCATATCAGCAGGAGTTCATTCCTTGATGCCAACTAGTGCCTTAGAACCAGTAATTTAAAGGAAAATACCACGAAAATAAGTTTAGTAGCAGAGACATGTATCTGATCTCAAAGCAAACTGTCTGCACCACTGTTACTAAATTCAGCTCACAACCAAGTTCAGAAAACTTAGTCGCTTAGATTAAGAACTATTGAAACCACTAAAAATATTAATGTTATAGCACATAAATATTAAATGTTTGTTATAAACTCAAATCACCAAAGCCTCAATCAAAACTACTTGTGATCCTACAGAGAGTTGGTTGGTCTTGCAGAGAGCTGTAGTCTAAAGGAAGCGATAGGCCTTGAAATGCATGTCACATAAGATGCTAGACAACAGTATATGAGTGAAAAATTATTTTGATGTGCTTCATATGTCTTCCCATAACTAATACTTACTCTCTGACACATAAAATTCCCTTGCATCCCCTCTTTCAAAACAAAAGAAAAGAAAAGAAAAATTATTGCATTCCATGAAAAAGCTCAAACCGAACTGAATTAGAGCACCTACTTCCAACAAAGTTCGAGACTTTCTGCAGCCATATTTATAGTTTTCCTATGTACAACTAGTTCCAAACTTTCAGAAATGGAGATCCATACAACTTTATTACCATATAAATACCAGTCAGAGATCATGAATCCCAAATAGGAAAAAGGTTGCAGAGAATGCAAAAGGTTGTCTTTTGCAAATTTAAACCTTACATTACACCTAATAGTACAAGAAGGAAGGATGAGGGCCTTACCCATAACCAGGCAAATCCACAAAGTACCAACTTTTGTTCACCAAGAAATGATTGATAAGCTTAGTCTTCCCTACACAAAATTACACAAAACTCAGCAAAACCCAGATACTAAAACACATTAAAACTGCAAAAACTTAAAATTCTAAGAACAAAAAGAAACCTGGTTTCTTAGATGTAAGTGCAACATCCTTCTTGCGAACCAAAGCATTAATAAGTGAGGACTTGCCCACATTGGAGCGACCCAGGATAGCAAATTCGGGTCGGTCATGTTTGGGGCAATCCTTAGCTCTAGCACTGCTCTTCACGAACTCCACCTCCTTAATCTTGGCGTCACCCGCATAGGGTCCGAGCACGATATTCGACCCGGATAGCACCATGTTCTCGGTAACCTCGGCCGGGTCAACCCCGGGCGGGATAAACAGGAGGGTCTTGTCGAAGATTGCTGGGTTAGCTGTGGCTTTTGAAGCTGAAACATGGCGGTTTGGGGTTGGGTTTCGAAGGGTCGGGTTTGAGATGAGGGTTCGGAAGGAGAGAGTGAGAGGCTGAGTTCTTAGAGGTGGAGAGGAAGATGGTGATAAAAAGGAAGTGATTTGCGGGATCAGGAGGCGGTTTCTCAGTAACATTTTTTGGGGTTCAAGAGAGGTTTTGAGAGGCTATAAGGCCATCTAAGCCATTTTTGGACAACGGATTGGAGGCTAAGTATGAGCTTTTGGCGGCTCTACTTATCTGTGGAACAAATTTGGATTCAATACATTAATATTTCAGTTTTAAACTTAAAAATCTTGTGACCGAAAATAAAAAGTTGTTGCAAAATATACAGAGTATGATAGCAGTGGAATTGAATTTACTTTTTATTTTTTATACAAGCGATATTAAGAGAGCGAGGAATCGAACTTAAAACCTCAGGTGCAAGAGTAAGGCCATCTCCAACTGGGGAGAGCTATATTTAGCCATCTAATAAATGATTTTAACCGTCTCCAACAACAAAGGGCTAAATTTAATATTTTAATAGTTTTTAGTATATCATATAAATTTATTAGTTAATTTAATTAAATTACTATTTATATCTTATTTAAAATACATTTTAGAAGAGAAATATTTGGGGATATGATTTTTGACATCCACGTGTCGGCACGTGATTAGCCCTATAGATTTCTTATTAGAATTTTTCTCCACTTGGCATATCTTATCATGATGTAATCCCAACCATTTTTCAAATAAGATTTTCGAGAGTCACGTGTCGTTATGTGATTAGCCCTCCATATTTTCAATTGGAATTTTGTCCACGTGGCACACCTTATCTTCATCTTCAAATGTCAATAAAAGAGATGTTTTGGGTTTCATATCTCACACCTTCATCTAATTCCTCGCTTTAATTTGTATAATTTGTCATTCTAAATCAATTCTACAATGGATTCCAATTGGGGTAAGTCTTCCAATTCCGAATTGGAAGACTAATGAGAGGAGAGGAGATGCCAACTGATGGAGGAGGATGAAGAAGATGATACTTTGAGTTTCAAAAAGGACCTTATAGCAGCAACTGCGGCATCCTGGGTGTGTGAGGAAACATCCCAACAGGTTGATACACTCTCGTACCTCAAACAACAACCTACAAGAGGATCTTGTTGCACATCTTTGGGCCAATCGAGCACTAGAATGATGAGCGGCCTTATGACATTAACTAGTCTTTTGTGTTTGCAACTAATAATAATTGACAATGCATTGTCATGTCAAGTCTTTGTCTTGTTTTAAAAACAACTTTGGTGTTTGCAACTAATAGTAATTGACAATACATTGTCATGTTCAAGTCTATGTCTTGTTTTAAAAACAACTTAAAAATTAATTTAAATGGAAAAAGATGAAGGATAGTTTGTATAAAAATGAAGAGAACGTGAGAAACTATGTTAAAAGGATGAAATAGAGGAAGGATAATATGTAAAATGATGAAGGTGTTGTGAGAAATTATGAAATAATAAGGTAGGTATTTATACAAAAAAAATTAGATTTTTTATATAAAAAAAATAAAAAAAACTTTTAGCTGACATCATCTAACGACTAGGTGACATCAGCTCATATGAAGTACAAATAATAGAACTTATGGAAGTTTTGTTTGGGGGGGGGGTGGGTGTTTTTTTGTTGTATTCTCCCTTTTTTTTTTTTTTTTTTTTTTTTTTTTTTTTTTTTTTTTTTTTGGTTTTTGTTGTTTTTGCCTTTCTTTGTGTATTCTGTGAGCCCACCAATTGGAGTGAGTTTGGGGATTTTGGACTATATCCTCAAATATAGCCCTCACTAAATTAAAATTTTTTTTTTTTTTTTTTTTTTTTTTTTTTTTTTTTTTCCAAGAATAACATACTTTATTAAAGGCAAACACGAACATTAGCATCTCCAGCTAAGATATTAAACAACCAATCTAGAGGTACAAAATTCCAAAAGTAACTACCACCTAACCTACACGCAAAAGTTGCAACCTCATGAGTAGCTTTGTTGCAGCTGCGAGGTGCAAAAATAAAAATTACTTCATGGAATTCTCGAATTGCGGTCTGGATGTCGAAGGGAATACTATCTACCTCCACAGCCACCACCCTCTCCCTCTTCACCATCTTGATGGCAACTTGGGAATCAGATTCCACCACCAACCGAGAGAAACCCCTTGTTGACAAGCAAATAGAACTGCCCTTATAACGTCCATCTTTGCCATGAGAGCCGAACCAAAAAGTATATCTCTTTGACCACCCGCTTGCATCATCCAACCTGTAAAGTCCCGAATCACCCATCCAAAACCTCCCCGCATTGTTTGCTCAAACCAAGCACCATCACAATTTGCTTTGACCATTCTATGCTTTTGGTGGCTCGACTTATCTGTGGAACAAATTTGGATTTAATACATTAATATTTTAGTTTTAAACTTAAAAATCTTGTGACCAAAAATAAAAAAAGTTTTTGCAAAATATACAAAGTATGATAGCAGTGGAATTGTATTTACTTTTTATTTTTTATTTTTTATGCAAGCAATATTAGGAGAGTGAGGAATCGAATTTAAGACCTCGGGTGCAGGAGTAAGGCCATCTCCAGATGGGGAGAGCTATATTTAGCCATCGATGTCTTGTTTTAAAAACAACTTAAAAATTAATTTAAATGGAAAAAGATGAAGGATAGTTTGTAAAAGAATGAAGAGAATGTGAGAAATTATGTTAAAAGGATGAAATAGAGGAAGGATAATATGTAAAATGATGAAGATGTTGAGAGAAATTATGAAAGAATGAGGTAGGTATTTATACAAAAAATTTAGATTTTTTTTAGATTTTTATATAAAAAATATATTAAAAAAAACTTCCAGCTGATGTCAGCTAACGGCTAGGCGACATCAGCTCATATGAAGTACAAATAATAGAACTTATGGAAATGGGTTTTGGGGATTTTGTAGCCCTTTTTTTTTTAGTAGTCCTTTGTGTAGCCCACTCTTGGAAATGAGTTTTGGGGATTTTGGACTATATCCTCAAATATAGCCCCCACAATTTTTTTTTCCCAAGAATCAAATACTTTTATTAAATGTGAACACGAACATTAGCATCTCAAGCTAAGGTTTAAACAACCAATATGGATGTACAAAATCCCAATAGTAACTACCACCTACCTTACACGCAAAAGTTGCAACCTCGTGAGTAGTTTTGTTGAAGCTGCGAGGTGCAAAAATAAAAATTACTTCCTGGAATTCTCGAATCGCGGTCTGGATGTTGAAGAGAATAATATCTACCTCCACAAGCACCACCCTCTCCCTCTTCACCATCTTGATGGTAACTTGGGAATCAGACTCCACCACCACCCGAGAGAAACCCCCTTGTTGACAAGCAAACAAAACTGCCCTTATAGCATCCATCTTTGCCATGAGAGCCGACCCATAAAGAATATCTCCTTGACCACCCTCTTGCATAATCCAACCTGTAAAGTCCCGAATCACCCATCCAAAACCTCCTGGCATTGTTTGCTTAAAATAGGCACCATCACAATTTGCTTTGACCATTCCGTGTTTGGGTTTTTGCTCAAACCAGACACCATCACAAATATAGCCCTCACTTAGAAATGACCTAAATGTTCTTGACCACTTAAGCTAAAAGTCTCTTCACGGGAAATTGTATTTTGTTTGTGATACTACACTGAAGTTTTTTAACTCTCAGTTTTCCTCTTTTCTCTGTACGATCGAAGTGTAAATGTTGAAGCAATCATCCCCTCTACATAGGGACGTTACACGACACAATATTGAATATGTGCAGGTGAAAATCAACTACCATGGTGTAAATGTGAAACTATTTCACCTATTGTTTCGGTGCATTTGATACATGTATCAAAAGACTACCCTGGGGCCAATTGCATAATATCTACAACTATTACAACAAAAATTCAAAGGCATAAGATTTATTACATTGCAGCTATACACTGTCTACACATGCAGTTACATTTAGTGCCCTTCTGCAATGCAATTATGCTCTATTGCCAATATACTTTGCACACTAGTTACACTTTGGGGAAGTCCCTTGAAGTAACAGGCACGCCTGAGCCATTACATTTTAGTGCTTTCCAACTCTCCAGTCTTCAATCAAATTTCTCTTGTTTCCAACATTCTCCAGCCCTCTTATTATTTTCCACTCTCTCTTTAAGTTTCAAGAGCTTCATCACGTTGGTTGGGTGACGGTGTAATGTCGCGTTGCGCTCATATGATTGTCAACGTAATTTCTTTCTCTTCAAGTGTGAAAAAATCGTCACCCACAAGCACAACAATGTAAATTTGAGGACCAAAAAAATATAAAATTAAGATATATCAAAACGGCGACGTATCACAAACTCTAAGTCCCAGTTAAGAAGGCCGACTCTGCAAGTCAGATGAAGGAAGGAACAGCATTATTAGCCTTGGCTCTGTGAATCGGCGATCTTCTCTATCTATCCACATTTCGCAATGGCGTGGTTCGCGAAATCCATTGCTAACTCACTCAAGCTCGATGACGAAGAGGACGACGTTTACCACAATACGAACCCTAGCTCCAATACAGACCCAAATTCATCCCCACCCGACCCCCAATCCGGTTCGCCGTCAACTCCCACAGTCAAAGGCGACCTCTCCGAGCTCACCAAAACCCTGTCCCGCCAGTTCTGGGGCGTCGCCTCTTTCCTCGCCCCGCCGCCCGATCCAACCCATCCTCCTAACCCGTCCGCACCGCCCCAATCCGCCGATCTCGAACCTTCTGATGAGGACGTCATCGCGGGAATTCGCAGCGACTTTGCTGAGATCGGCGGGAAGTTCAAGAGCGGGATCTCGAAGCTGTCGAGTAACGTAGCGGTCTCGGAGTTCACTAAGATCGCTTCGAATTTGCTTCAGTTTGGATCGGAGGAGGAGGCTGAGGCAGCTGGGGCTGCTCTTGGAGTGACCCAGGAGGTTCTCGCGTTCGTCAGGAATGTCTCTATGCATCCGGAGACTTGGCTGGATTTCCCTCTCTCCGATGACGAAGATTCAGATGGTATGTTTCGCTTCGAATTTGACAATTTTTTGGGTAATTCAATTCAATGTGCGTCGGCTTGATGAATCATTTGTTCATCTTATTGTAAATTTGTGTTATTTATGGTCAATGTAGTGTTCATAAAGCATGAATTTGAGGTATTTGTGTTGCCCATGTGGATTTTTCCTTTCGTATTTGTTTCAATTGTTAATTTGAATTGAAGGGATTTAATAATAAGGTATATCTCTGTTCATCATGTTGTGATTTAAGGGCTTAAAACTTTAATAGTATTGAAATTGACAATGGAACTTTTGTTGAATTTGTTGCTGAGTTAAATTTATTCAAGTATTGTCATAATACATGTCGTTGATCATTCTCTCCATTGAAACTTGTGGGGAATTGGAATAAGATTCTTGTGACTTGTGGGTTTGCTTTTCCAGATTTTGAATTGTCTGATGTCCAACAAGAGCATGCTCTGGCTGTTGAACGGCTTGCACCTTCATTGGCTGCTCTCAGGATTGAACTTTGCCCTGAGCATATGAGCGAGGCTCACTTTTGGATGATTTACTTTGTGCTCTTGCATCCTAGACTCAGTAAACATGATGCCGAGCTTCTGTCTACACCCAAGGTAAGTTGATTCTATGCGGCACTGACCCAAAACGCCCTTTTCGTTGTTCTTGTTCATTGCCTTTTTTTGGTGGGTTATTAATTTTTTTGCCAGCAACAATGCTTTGCTTGACTTAATGATATGTCTGCAGATAGTGGAAGCTAGAGCAATGTTGTCTTATGAGTTGAAGAAGGGAGCTAATGAAAAGCAAGAATCAGACCCTTCAGGAAGTGGCACTATTTATGTGAAAGGAATTGCTGATTCCCCAAAAGAACAGCATCTTTCTGTGCCACCTAGTGTTCAATCTGACCTAGTGCCTCCCCATACATCTACCATCAGATCAGCTCCTCAACCAGTGGCAGTTGATCTTGAGACTGAGAAGCACACAGTTCAGAGTAGTGAGATCCAAATTATTGACAAGCCCGTTATTGAGGAAGGACCATTGAAAGAGACGAAATTTCAACATCCACTTTCTAATTCTTCCTCCAAAGTTGCAGATGAGAAATATGAGGATGATGCTGATGATTGGTTGAAAGAGGGAACTTCAGAGATAGATGGTGTTGGGGGAACCTCCATCCCTATAGAGAATGACGAGGATGTATCTTTCAGTGATCTTGAGGATGATGATGGAGAGGCGCCCTCAAGTTACAAGAAGGTCACATCTGGCTCTGATTCTTCAACAAAAGACTCAAGAGATTGGGTTCAGCTAAGCAGAACCTCTGCTGATTCAGACAAGGACATCAACTCTGTTGAGATTAGACATGCTGGGTCTGAGCAGGTAAGTTCCCGTAACATGGAGACCAAAGAATCAAATGACTGGCTTGACGTTGAAGACATTGATGTTATATGATTACTTCCATAAGAACCCTTTTTAGGTCAATATGGCCTATTCTTCTCATTCATCTGTTATTGTGAATAGATTGTGGAAGGTTTCTTTAGTCTTAGTTTGGCTATGGAAACTGTATTATTGTAGATAACGCCTGATACTGGATAATTGTTTCTTATGAAGAATGTATTTATAAGTGTAGCAAAATACAGCACCATGCAATAATCTTGATTTGTTTATTTCATATAAAGTTGTGCTTTGTTATGCGCATCCTGGTCCGTACTGGTAGTGTTTGTTTTAGTTTTACTTATAGTTGTTTGTTCCTTCAGGAAGGTTAAGTTTCGTGAGAAACTCGTTCAAGATCAAGGTTGAAGATTTTTATAAGACTAAAACAGAAAAGAATGTGGCCGCGCTTGTTAAAAGAAGTATAGAAAATTTGTATGTGCTGTTTGATTGTGTAGAGAAGTTCAGTGATAGCTGGTGACCTGAGAGATGTGAACCGTATTGACAATTATATATGACATATAACATAGAGAACTTTTATTTTTATGTCTTCGAGAATGATAGGCGCAGTTCTCAATACATTCTGATTATGTCTTGGTCTTGCATTAGTTTGGTTCAAACCTGTACTAACCATTGGTTTCCATTCTTGTAAAATGTACATGAGTAGGTGTGAATGCCTTTTGATTTGATGCGGTTCTCCTAATGGTTTACGTGGAGTGCAGATTGTATAATGTGAATGTTCCTCATTTTAGAAAGAAAAAGTACAAAGAATAAAAATATTCCAAAATATTCCTCCTCCACTCCAACCAAAAACGAAACTATTAGTAAACAAGCCTTATATTTCAACCAACAAAGACAATAAAGCTTTCAAATGGATGGGAGATTGCATAATTATTAATGCGAATAATTGATTATGCATACAAATTCTTTTAATGTCATGCGAATAATTGATTATGCATAAAAATTCTTGGATTTGAAACTAATCTGTACAACGAATGCCCATGAGCCTTTGCCCAAGTGGCGTGGGATGAGGCTGAAGCTAAAATCTAAACCTTACTACAGGTAATTACAAATGAAAAGTAATAAAACAAATCTGTACAAAGAAAAAACACAAGCTGCCTAGGAAGAGAAGAACTACTTTGACCCCTGATCACACACGTATTTACAGATACAACCTTAAGCCTGATTAAAAGCACCACATTAATTAATTGATTAATTAGGAGCTTAATTATGATTTGATGGCCCCAAAACTGCTTGAAAGGCGCTCCAGATGAGACCAGACCAAGCTTCCAAGTGAGAATCTGGGCCTGTCTTCTTCTTCTTCTTCTATTCTTCTGTTGTGTATTTTGTTGCTTGCCCTTGAGGAGGACGAGGGCTGTGGAGCCCACTTGTGGGATTTGTGAACTGCAATGATGGATTCTCCAATCTCCTTTGTCACGAGTTCCACTGCGTTTGGATTTACTTCATCCCCCGAAGCATCCGTTACATAGATTGATCCTACTGCTCTTTCACCATGTGTTCCAATCTCAATCCTAGACATTGATAGTCCATTCTCTCGGAAAACCCTTGTGATGTCTGATAACAATCCCATTCGATTTTTAGCGCACAGGTCCAACCTCAAGCCCTGCTAAAGTATTATTTCCGTCGTTAGTCAGTCACACACGAGTAACGCTAGAAAGATCACATTTTTGAACCTGATATGTGATCATTAATATGTGGAATGACTATAAGAATTTATATAATGAGCACAGATAATCTAATACCTGTGAGATCCTTCTCTCTATTGCAGCAACCAAGCATAGGGTAAGTTTGTGCCTCTGACTCTCTGTATTCGAAGTGTAACCATCCTTATGCCGGACAAAATACTCCTGTACATGTCACATATTTCACATTCAAATAACATCAAACACAATACAAAGACATAGAACATGGGACAAATTTCAGTTACTAATTGCCATGCACAAGCTCAATTAATAGTGTGCCTACCTGATCCGCCAGGGTGCCCCTGGAGGCAACCACCGCATGGAACACCACGTATTGCAAGTCGGTTAGGGCACACACGGTGTCAAACAGTAGTTTGGGTCGGTCTCTGCTCCTCACATTCACAATCCAATACCCTTTCTCCTTACAACTCTCTATGTTCACATGGGTCCGATCACAGCCCTTCTTGTGTGCACTGCTGCCACTACCATCACAACCACGACAACTTTCATAGTCCTCGTCGGCATACATCAACTGGTGGAGCCGCCGCTCCTTGTGGGTGTGGCCACCTGCTGGGGTGGTCAGCCTTACACTCCTCTTCTCCCCCTCCTCATGATGGGCTTTAACTACATTCTCTAGCTGCTCCTGTACATGGGCCAGCCGAATTGGGTCTGTTATGGGCCCACCTTCCAGCCCATCTTCCACGTAGAAAATGCTGGCCGCCCGGGTACCGTGGGTCCAAGCCACGGCAGTAGTGATGTTGCAGCCCAACTCAACAAGGACCGCAGATATCTCAGACACTAGGCCCGGTCGGTCCTTGCTGGTCATTTCTAGGGCTAAGTCGTTTAGCCCGGGTGTCACATTTCTTCCTGGTAGTCTTGCCTCCTTTGAAATTCCTCCCCTGCTAGCACATAGTGCCTGCAAATTTATTAGTTATGATTAAAACAAAACGAAACAACAGAACTAGTGTATGAGGAGGAAATATATATTATGCGCTTTGTCTGGCACGACATGGCTTCAATGGGGGCCAATTTAGAAGAGACTGGGACACAACTGTTTTGGATCATGTTGGTTCAGTTCAACTCTCAATTTACACCTCTAAAATTAGCAGGATGGATTGAGGAAAAATTACTCTTTGTGCTAGTTCTTATGTGACAACTCAACGTGGTGTTACGAATTCACACATACCTATTTGATTTTCGTTATAATTTAGGTGAACACAAACAACATGCCACGTAGTGTTTACGTCGGTAAAAAGGGGTTTGAGAGAGAGAGAGAGAGAGAGAGAGAGAGAGAGAGAGAGACCTGCTGAATATAAAGTATGAGGCTTTCGTCCGTGATTTTGTTGCCGAGTTGATCCGTCACGTGGAACACTGCACCACCAAGCAATCAAAACAGACCCAAATGAAAATCCGGCAGCTACTACTCGTGGATAACTCATACATAGCTCAGAAAGCGATCATAATTATACACAACAAAACTCAATAAATACGAATAAATAAAATAAAATTATCTAAAGCATGTCTAATATATATAAAAATAAAAAAATTGGTAATATTATAATAAAATTCCACTGTGTGTGATGTAAGAGTGATGAAGGTGGTGAGGAAGTGTAATTACCATCCATAAACCATCCACCATCAGAGGATATGTATGATTTGGAAATAACAAGGTCAAGATCTGTCAAAACTTGGACCATCTCTAGCAAAATCCCGTTCTTGTTTGCACTGTCAACCTGTAAATTAATTATTAATCAATGCATGTAAAATAATAGGGTCAACGTTTATGTAGTTTTTCTTTTTTAATACAAGCGATAGTCTAAATTATAAAGAAAGGGGGTTTCTTACACACTGACACACACTACATACTAAAGTGCCATGGGGATTTGAGGTTCAGATAGTTTAAATTCAATGCCTTATGGTCTAGTTAGGTTTGTGCACAACTAGATGGCGTCATCTGGTTAGGGTTTGCCACTGCCTGTGAGGGACTTAATTGTGTATGGATTGTAGTGACGATATATAACGTGCATGGAAACTGTTAACCAAGGCCTGGCTTGGCGTGAAAACTGAAAAGCGAAAAAGAAAATAAATGACGACAACAACAAAAGCTTACATTTTCTCTCAAAATAATAATGGTTCCTAGTTTTCTAGTGGCCCTCCACTCGGTGTCGGTGGATATCAGACAACACAGAACTCTCTCTCTCTCTCTCTCTCTCTCATTGTGATTTTATTTGTATATATATAAGTTAGGAAAGTGCGATTATGGGTTTATGACCTTTAAACCAGATTAGGGACGAAACAATAAATTAATCTTCTCTAATATCTCTATGGATCATGGACATCCAACTAGGCAAATAGAAAACAACGGCGAAGAATTGTATCCATAAACCATCAACAAGATAATATATATATATATATATATATAGACTCTATGAATGAATTTAATTTGTTAATTAATTAATACTATTGATGATATGCACCTAACCTTCACAAGCGTACAATCTTTGTATGAGTCATTGTCGATACAAACCCTGCAAATTGCAAAACCAAACCAAATCAAACCGGTCATTCATTATCCATGCTTCCAACATAAAATAAATTAAGTTTATGAATGATAAAAGTTAATGTAATACCATGGAGGGTAGATTCTTTCAATGAGGAATTCGAATTCCGGGTCGATATATGGCCGGTAAATAATCTCCATCTTCTTCTTCTTCTTCCTTCCTTCCTTAGCAAATGTATGACTAACTTTCTGCAGCTTTGTCACAACAACAAGGAGATAGCATTGATAGCTGTATATATAGAGGAGTTTGAGACCTGTCAAAACACATGCTGAAAACAACGCGTCTAAAAAAAATAACTTGTACAAGGGATAAGACAGCGGCGTCGTCTATATATATCTTGTTTCTTAAGTCAAATCATATGACATTAGATGAATTACGGCACATATATCTTATCATTAAATAAAAATATTTCATGAATATCTAGAATCCCCAGCTTTGTTCTTATAGAAGGAGAGCTAGAAAGACCAAGATTTTCTCGATGATTAGCTTGGAATATTCAAAGTCTTTTTAAGGAGGGCAAATGCATTCTATAGAAATATAATTGGTTTGACCAGGAAATACTGTGGCAATTTATTCGGATATAGCCAAATCTCTAACCAGAAATTAAGGAAGAAAGAAGAAAAGTAAACCAGGATTGTTTAAAACTTTTTATAAAACCCAGATCAAAACACACACGCACCCCTTCTCTCTCTCTCTCTTCTCTCTCTAGAACTACTCCATCAACATAATATAACATTGATCTAAATATTTTTATGGATTAAAAAGCTTGTGCAAAACTTAAAAAGAAAGCATAAATAAAATCAATACTGACCAGTCGATAGATAGAGGAGGAGCAGAAACCTTTGCAATTTTGGTAAATGCGAACGCGCAGCGCAGCTTGGAACAACAGTGCTCTGTTATATATGCATATGTATATATACTATATATAAATGAAGAATGGGTGCCTAGATCAATTATATAACCCACCCAAAACTCTTCTTCCTTTTCAATTTGCCGTTTGCTTTCTCTCGCTTTGGCCTCATCAGCTGACAAGTTTTAATAATTTTCCCTTCACATTTATATCATAGTGTGTTGTTAGGTTTTATTTAACACACGTGCTGCCCTGCCACGCGGTCGATTGAGGTTTCCTAGGAGAACTCAAACTTTGGTTGCTTTTGAGCCACGTACAAGCTTGCCGCCACGTGGCAGACGGACCGACGTCCTTCAAATTTACGTGATCATATGATGCTTCCAACTGCGGCGGCTCGGCATCAAATTTCATCAAAAACAAGTTCACAATTGTGGTTTAGAATCTATTTCGGGATTTACAGCTAATTCTTGGGAAGACACAGAGGTTTCTAGGACTCCACTTGTCATTTTGAGGTTTTACCCAGTCAGCCTTGTTGTGGCTCTGATCTCATCTCATCTCATCTCCAATAAGAGTGACCATCACACGCAATCTAATGGCCACAAAGACGGGTCTGTTTGCACCTGTTTTGACGTGGCAAGAACATGGTGCACTACTGGACTTGTTTCGTCCCCAACATAAAATTGATATTGTGAAGCCCAAAAATTCATAAAACTCAAAAGATTGGATGTACAGTCCATCCATGTTTCTCCCCTGCTATATATAATCTAGCATCTAGTGTAGGCAACATTGCCTTCAGTGCCACAATTATAACAAGAATTGTTGCCACCTTCATCATGCATTGATGAATGATGACAATGAGATTAAATTCCAATTTAAATTTCACAATTTATAGAGAGAACCTTCCTATTTTACAGTTCATGAAAAGATGTGTAATATGCTGACAGTAATACAATTATTAAAGTTTGTTTCCAGTACCCAAACAATTCGATGGAATCATGTTTATTATTATTATTATTATTATTCAATATTTCAGCTTGATTAAATTAATATAGATTTGACAATTTTAGCTTTTTGGGTTTTTAAGTGTTATTCAAAATATAATAAAAGAAACATGCATAGAGAGAAAAAAAGGATTTAGAATTTAATGTTTACTACTAGAGTTATACACAATATATTTAGAAGTCTCCATGAGTTTTCTTCAATTTTATAAAATTATTTTACTTCTAGTGAAAAATTATATTATGTATATATGAAATTAAAATATTGTTTGTATTTACTAACATTTATTATGTTTAATATTTGACACTATTGTTATTATACTCAGAAGGAGTAATGCTATTTAGACACATACTATTGACCACCTTAACCGATCACTTTATGTGGCAACTGATGTATCATGCCATGTTAATTAATGACTGTTGTCATGTGTATTATATTTTTTTTATTATTCTCTTTTTAATAATCCTTGAAAAAAAAATCAAAACTAAAAAAAACAAATTAAAAAACCCTAGCATCCCTGGTAAGTGGCCTCACGTCTGTTCTCAACTCTTCCCCCCGTCTCCAGCATTCCATTCCTCCATTGTTGCTGCACTCTGAGCTTGTTTCTCCGTAAAGTAATGGGTGTTACATTGGATATCTGCAGAGGAAGACTAATAATCTGCTTGGTTCTCTTTTTCAACCTTAGTCATCAATGCATTTTCATATTGTTCCACAAATTGCTTCAAGGTAGTCTTATCATTTACGTGGTCATAAAAAAAAATGCATTCATACTCTCACTTCGTTATGTGGTAGAAATGCCCGCCCAAAAACTTCCTTTTACAAAGCTTGGCACCCAACGACGTCTTTCATCATATAGGCCTCGTAACCAATCATTACTCTGTAACTCATACTTCTCAATCATCTATTTCCAATGATCTTCAAACTAAATATTGGTCAATGAATCATACACAATGTTCTCAAAGGCAAATTTACTAGATTCATAGTGTTTGTAACTCTTAAGCTTTTCAGGAAGCTTCTTCATTATATGCCATAAGCACCAACGATGCTTAGTTTTAGGAAAGACAATCTCAATGACATTTTTCATGGCCCTGTCTTGATCAGTAATTATCCCACATGGAGCATGCCCAGACATGCATGCCAGCCACACTTTAAATAGCCAAACAAATGTCTCAGTATCTTCACTTGATATCAGTCCACATCCAAGCAAAAGTGAATGACCGTGATGATTGACACCTACAAATGGAGCAAAATGCAAGTCATACTTATTCGTCAAGTTGGTCGTGTCAAATGTAATGGCATCACCAAATTCCTCATATGCTGCCCCACTCCTGGAATCTGCCCAAAACACATTCTGTAACCGACCACTTTCATCTAGATCAATTGCATAAAAGAAATTTGCATTTTGAGCTTGCATCTTCAAGAAATACTTTTGAATTGCAATTGCATCTCCTTCCCCAATCTGTAATCTTTTAACCTTGTTAATGTAATTTCTACAATCATTTTCCATGAAAGGCATATTCTCATGCCCTCCGGTTCAACTGCCATTGAATTATAATTCTTATTTACTCTTATTCCAGCTATATCATTCACTTCAATCTTCCTTTTCATATACGAACTTATTGCACAATTCATTTGAAAATATCGAGCATTGTCTGGATTCAATCCATGATTATGATTGAGTTTGACTGAGTTCACTTTCCATTGCTTGCAGTACTTTGTGGGCTCCTTGATCGAGAACATGATAAAGTCACATATTTCAACTCCCCACAATCTCCTTTCTTCGATAATCTCTTCTTCATTGGGAAACCTACTCGATTTGCATTTTTTTTTTATAATAATCAAGCACCTTATCAACTGTGTTAAAATCATATTTACCTTAGGTTCTTGTGTTGTTTCTTTTGGGCTCATTGTATTCTCCAGTCCAATCTCACCAATCTCAACCTCATTATTTTCTTCACCCATCTCCACATTTGAATGGCTTCTTGAAGGTTCTTTCATCCTAAATAATTCTAAATATTTATATAAACTTCCTGTAATACATATGCAGTATAATACCAATTAATTTAAGAGTGTATATATATGTATGTGTATGTAATTTAAGAGCACTTATACATTAGGTATATTCTTACAATAAAGAGTAATGGGTTTGTGATGAATCATGATAGACAAGAACAAGGCTGGTTGCTTAAATAAGCAATCCCTCATGCAACATGGTTTTCTACATCCTACTTATTTAGTATTGTATGGCTGAGAAAAAGTGACTAACCTTGGAAGGATTAACAACCCCATTGTTGAGACAAAGCCACTAACCTTGGAAGGACTACCAAAATCATATATATATATATATATATATATATATATATACTTGGGTAAAATCTAGGATCCACCTAGATTAGGAAGGGAATTCTATGGAGATGCGATGCTCCTATTACAGCCACGTTCTAGTGAAACTCCTATCACAGTGCAGCAACAATGGAGGAAGAGAGTGTTGTGGAGACTCGAGGAAGAGTTGAGAATAGACGTGAGGCCACTTACCAGGGACACTAGGGTTTTTTAATTTGTTCATTCAGTTTTGATTTTTTTTTTTAAGGATTATTAAAAAGAGAATATTAATAAAAAATAGAATACACATGGCAACATTCATTAATTGACATGACATGACATATCAGCTGCCACATTAAGTGGTCAATATTGTGTGTCTAAATAGCTAATTTTTGTCCTTTTTCGCAATGCTCTTTGAAGGTACTAAAACTTCCCAAATCGTGTGAGTTGAAACTTATGTCATCTAGTCCTTTCAAAAAATGAAATGTTGACATTATAATACTCAGGAATTTGTCTAAGATACTCTTGCGATATTCATCCTTTCATTTCTATTATAGACGTCCAAAAAAAAAAACATTTTACAAGTTAATTATGTAAAATATTGGGTTTGCAATAGCACAAATAGTACACACATCAAATATTAACTAACAAAAGAAAGGCATTATAACAAAACATTTTTGCACTACTCAATCTCAATTAATTCATTTGCTTAGAATTGAAGAAGTTTACATACCGTAACAATTTAGCCCAAAGAAGTTTCCATTATATTTGTCGGATTAGGCTTCTTTAACGAAAGTTTCCTGTACCTACAGAGGTTCATCGAGAGAGGTGTTTTATATATAATGGAATCCTCTTTTTCTTATATATATTTTCCCCGATTTTCGCTTATCGATAAGAGTAGTTTACAACATTATCCAGTAATATTAAGCTATTACCCAAGTCTCTATTGTTCCTTTTTGATTTTTTACTTTTCTAGAGTTATTACCCGTATAAACAATTTAGCAATTTCACATTTAATACTGTATTATACACATGCGGACCTATAAAGTATAAATCAATGCAACTAGGAGGGTCCATTTTTCATAACTTTTTTTTATTCAATAGTATAGCCGTATGGCTATAGCATTTAAATATAATGTATATAGCCGCGCGGCTATCCTCTGTTTTTCTCCCCTTTTTTTTTTAATAAAAGAAATAGTATCGCCGCACGGCTATACTTAGTTATTTCAACTTTTTTAAAAGAAATTGTATAGCCGGGTGGCTATACAAGGATTTTTTCCAAATTTTATTCTTGAAAAAAGTATACGCCCCGCTATATAGTATACCCGCATGCGGGTTTTTTCTAATTTTTTAAAAAGAAATAGTATACCGCATGGCTATACAGGGTTTTTTTTCCCAATTTTTTCAAAAGAAATAGTATTTCGCACATCTATACTGGTTTTTTTTTTTTCCAATTTTTAAAAACAGAAAGCTATACTCGGTTTTCCCAATTTTTTAAAAAGAAATAGTATAGCCGGACAGCTATACTGGGGTTTTAACAATTTTTTAAAAAGAAATAGCCGTATGGCTATACGCAGTTTTTCCTCATTTTCCAATAATGTTTCAAAAACAAATGGTCTAGTCGCATGGCTATACACGGATTTGTCCAATTTTTTTTAAAAAACAATATTGTCGCACGGCTATACTATGTTTTTTCCTAATTTTTTTTTAAAAAAAAAGTCTAGCCGCACGGCTATTCTCGGATTTTTCCAATTCTTTCAAAAGAAATAGTATAGCCGTCCGTTCAATTGGAGTTAGTTGTGGAAGATCAATCATAGTAATCCCAGTAATCCGAAGCTTTAGGGTAACTAGACCTAAAAGAGAGATTTTGTATTAGGCAAGGCCATTGAAAACCATAATGGATACCAAAATCAATTGTGTGGATCCTTGTTGCTTTCTCAGCTACATTCATTATTGTCTTGATTAAGAAGAAATTTGATAGCTTCTTAAATGGACATGCGGCAAGATAAAGATGGTTAGCTTTCTCTCATCTTCAAAATCAGGATAGCCATGGGGGGTGGGTCGGGGAGGGAATAGAGAGAGAGAGAGAGAGAGAGAGAGAAGAGAGAGAGATGGTTTTGCCCCTCGATTTCATAGAACAATTGATAGACTTTGACGGTAGGACCGTTTTGATATTAAATGGAGAATTGGAGGACTATTGAAATGAAAAGTTTAGTTCATGGATCAAAGAAAACTTGAGTAATAGTTGGGGGACCATTTTAGTCAATAACCCCTAGTTTGATCATATTAGAAACTGGAGGCATGGAATATCTATTTTATAGATAGCTCATCACACTCTGTTTGGTTATCTAATTTAGAAGAATTAAAAAACCTTCATTACTCTTCTGTCTAACTAATAAGCCATTAGAAAAGTGTAAAAAAATAAAAATAAAAATAAAAATTCATTAGAAAAATTAGAAATCAGTATATACCTCTTGAAGAGGTTGAAAATTCTCTGAAGAGGTTGTATATCAATCAAGTAAATCAGTAAAAAGAAAAATCATTTTATTTAAATTAATTCATATGGTCTTTGTTGGGCCCATTAAATTCAATGATATGCTTTTGAAACTAAAATCAATTTCCTTTAAATTTTTTTATTTAAAAAATTATATTTAGAGTGAGGAGCTTATTTAATGGTTCAATTTAACCATCAAACCATTTAAAATGCTTAAGTCCATTTATTTCCTCACATTTGTTGATGATGAAATTGAACAACTTAAATAAGCTCCTCACTCTAAACTCCTCATTATAGCCTTTTCGAAAACTTAAAAGGACAAAACAAATCAAGTAAAATCCAATGAACATGAAGCCAATCCTGAGATTCGAACATGGGCAAGCTACTTTTGAAACTAACTAGATGTGAGAGTTTTTGGCCCGAACCAGCCCGCTCTTATTGGCTCCAAATATATGATCCCTTTGGAGTGAAGGAAGACTATGATTGCTGGATCGTCTGAATCGAACGGTACATATTTGAATTGCATCTCGTCTGCTGGATGAATGCCGCGTGGTGGGTTCTAAGAATTTTGGACTCGGGGATCAGATATCATGTGTGTTGCTTAAGAGCTCACAACACGTTGATTGTACCAACACGCATTAATTTGTCTCTATGTCCAGGTTGGGTGGAACTTTAAAATTTTAGGGAGATTTGTTTGACTTTATAGAAATAAATTGAATACACAACATGAAATCAACACAAAAAATGTACCTAATTTTTTTTTGAAGTTAAAATAATTGTTATGCCATATATAATGTTCTTAAAAATAAATTATGATGATATAGTAAACTAAAAAAAAAAAAAAAAAAAAAAAAAAAAAAAAAAAAAAAATAAGGTTTTTAAACAATTAATGAATTTAGAGTCTCAAATTTTAGGACTGCAAGATTGGAGAGACAAAAAAAAATAAAGTGGTAATAGATAAAATTGATATTGAAGAAGGGGAAAATTGAACCTACAATCTTAGGTGCAAGCATTGCATTTTTTTTAAATTTTTTTTCAACTAAGAATATTTGATGGGTTTATGGAAATGTAACCAAACTTCCTTCACAATTTGTATATATACATATAAATGTGTGTGTGTGTTTTTTAATATTTTAAATTTTACAATAACCTTAGGGTTTTGTTTTTTAGTTTGTGGCTTTGACTCTAATGGGTCGGGTATGAAGAATAACAAACAGATATGAGGACAAATTAGAGGAATTTTTTGGGTAGGTGTTCAGGGAGGGGCGGTGATGATATTCTAATCCCTGACCCGAACTTGCCATGTTTATATATATATTATATAAATCTCTACCATTATTAAGCTGTGTGATGGTGGTGCTACATCTATAATGATATCATATCTTGAACATGTAGTTTTGACATGTATTAATTTCTTTAAATAGTCAATATTTTTAGTTAATAAAAATTGAATTGATACGTATGTTATACTCATAGTGCTTTTTTCTCGTTCAACAAAGTAGTTTTTTTATTGATTTCGTAATGGGTGGGTTGGGGAATACGTTCCCCACTGAAGATGGGAATGGGAATCTCCAATTTGAATATTACGGAATGGAGGATGGGAAAAAAAATGTATAACAAGGATGAGGATGAGAATAACGTACCCACCCTCAATTTGACCATTGCCATCCTTAAATCCACCCTCTTACACTCAAGTCATTTAAAATTTATTTAAAGTAGATTATCACATATATAATTGTTGGATGTAGACAGAAAACCAATAAATAAAGCATATGGTGGTAGTTAAACATTAGAAACATGAAGCTGAAGATCGTCGGGCGTTCTCACCCATTCAGAAATCTGAACCAGAGAAACAAGTACACGCATACACAATTACACATAGCTTTTACTTTCCTGCACGAATCTCTCTGCAACGGCTTTTAGTTCATCCCCTTCTCACTTTCACAGGTACGACTCTCTCTCTCTCTCCCTCTCTATATATCTCTGACGCAGTCTTAGGGTTTATAAACGACCGCCAATCGTTTGTTGAAAAACCCAAGTGCCCATTTCTGCTTGTTATGTATAATCTTACTTTTTTGCTTGTTTAGGACCATGCAGAACTAAGAAACTTGGCTCAACTATTGGTCTTAGTTAAGGTAAATGCTTCTCCTTTTCTCTCCAAATTGAACAGCGTAAGACGTAAGCTTTACAAACTTTTATCACCAACCAAATAGCGGGTGGAAAGTTTCAATCTAAATCAAAATTGGGTACTTGAGATTTTGTGTTCTTGATGGACCATCAATTGGCGAAAAAGGGTTTTGATTATGCCCGGAAAAGGAAGAAATGGCTCTTTGTAGCTGCTGCTTTAGGCTTCTCTGGTTATGGCGTGTACAGGGTTTATAACTTGCCTTCAGTATCTCAAAAAAGAAAAAGAATTTTAAAGCTTTTAGGAGCTTTAGTTTCTATAGTTGAAGTAGTTTCAGACTCTGCTGAGTCAATTGGAGTTGTCTCTAAGGATTTGAGGGACTTTCTGAAATCTGATTCTGACAAAATTCCAAATAGCTTAAAGCAAGTTTCCAAAATCACAAGGTCGGATGAGTTTTCAGAATCTGTGGTTAAGCTCACACAGGCTGTGACTTTGGGAGTTTTGCGGGGTTATCGATCGGAGGCAAGGAATGATGGGGACAATGGAATTTCTAGTAATTCAAGCTTTACAGACCAGGTTATGGATAAGCTTTTTACCACCGCCGGGTCTGGTTTTGTTTCAGTTGTTGTTGGAAGCTTTGCTAGGAATTTGGTATTAGCTTTCTATTCAGATGAGAAGTCTGGTGGAGGATCTAATTCAAACAGTTCCCCAAGTATGGACCATTTTGTTTCGGAAACAAATTCTGTTCCAACATGGGTGGATGTGGTTTGTGACAAAAAGTGCAGAGACCTGATTGGTGATTGTATCCAGTTATTTGTAAGCACAGCTGTTGCTGTTTATCTTGACAAGACTGTGAATATCAACACCTATGATGATATCTTCTCTGGGTTAACTAACCCCAAGCATGAAACAAAAGTGAGAGACATGTTGTCATCTGTATGTAATGGCGCGGTGGAAACTCTTATCAGAACATCTCACCAAGTGTTGGCAAATTCAACTTCAAAGGGCAATCCTTCAAATTTGAATTCGAGTTCTTATCTGGCACTTGATGAAAGACAAACTCCAGCTCGAGATGAGGGGTTCAGTGAAAAGGCATTATCGATGCATTCAAAGGCAACAAATGTGGATGATGAGACGAAAGACAGTGGTTGGGTTGGAAAAGTGTCCTCTACTTTGGCAGTGCCAAGCAATAGGAGGTTTGTTCTTGATGTGACTGGGAGGGTTGCATCTGAAACCGTCAGATCATTCTTGGAGTTTTCGTCGGAGAAAATATTTGATGGGATGAAAGGATATGCTAATTCTGTTCGTGAGGAAACTGTGGACAAGGGTTTTGGGATAGTGAGATATGCTAATTCTGTTCGTGAGGAAACTGTGGACAAGGGTTTTGGGATAGTGAGATATGCTGCTGGAAAGTCCTCTGTTATTGCTACTGTATGGCTATCTTTGTGTTTACACATAATGGACAGCCCATGGGCTTTGGTGCCAGCTTAGCTTGTTAAGTATATTCTCACTTGACAAGTGCGTATAGGCAAAAAATCGCTCTGAAACTGCTTGGATGGTGGATGCTTGTGTATATTTCACCCAAACCCGTAAATTTCATTAGGATTGACGGACTGATAAGAGAATGATGCTTATGACTGGAGGAGATTTTATGGATCCAACCTCGATGGCATGCTGGTCTTCATTGGTTGATGATGTTTGCGAGATCGAATGTTTTAGAATTTGTAAAGAAAGAAACTTCATTGTTCTTTAGGTCAAGTGTTAAGATTAGCATACTTAAAGCTAGAATATTTATCATTTCCATTATATGATTACAGCTATCTGTTGGTTCTTCGTGTCACATGGCAGTTCATATATTAAGATGTTTTAGAGCTCTGCTACGGAAACCTGCCCACAGTTCCTCTCAATTTGCGTTTCTCATTTCTGCCGGACTGGCACGACTGCCTCAAAGAGAAGAAGATTAAGTTCCACTGCAATTCACAGTGAATTTGTTGCAATCCATATACATTACAAAGAAGCAAAACATCTGTTCCGATTGTTTGCAAATACATTCATACATTTGATTCTTGTAGATTGGTACATATCCTGTTGTGTTAATCAAACATCAGTGAAAAGTTTTACTTTCTTTGTGGCCATAACATATACGTGTACTTGGGGTCTTTGCTCCCGCAACTTTGGTTCTAGGTGTACTTCAAAAGTTCATTGCAATCCGTGTGAAAATTCGTAATGGAGACGACATAAATCAGCCTAAAAAGATAGGCCGTAGTTGTCTGCTGCATGGAAATTTGCTTGCTTTATGTCGAGAAGGAACGGCCATTCCGTTGAGAGGTTATACTACAGAAAAGTCCAATATTCTATCCAGATTCTAATCCACACATGATGTCGAGAGATTATCTATTTTGTATGGTTTTGCCTCGTAGAAGATTGGACTTCCTTTTAGGATTTTGCATCGTCATTCTGAAAACAGAAAATACTGCATAGCTAGAATTCCAAAAATTATCCAACACCTTAAACAATCAAAGGTTTGCAAAAGTTGTAGCCATTGACCAAAATGGTCACACCCACTTGACCAGAAAAGAAAAAAAAAAAACATGGTCGCACCCCATCCATGACAAGAATTCGACCGTCGTCTACCTTTAATCTGAACTAAATGAAAAAAAGGAAAAAATATATATTATATTTTTAGGCGGGGGGGGGGGGGGGGGGGGGGGGGGCGCGTGCCTTATATAGAGGAGGGGTATAACTAGTGTCGTGGAAAATGATTTTCCTCCTTGTAAACAGCAAAGCTCAAAAACACCATTCATTGGAATGTTACAACTTAAATACAATTCAGCAAATGCAGAGTAGTGAGTTCCTTCTTCAACTACGACTGTTTCAACAAACTATCGGGGATCCCAGGAATTCAAAAAACCTAGCTGTTAGCAGTTGCCTTGATCCTAGTGTCTAAACATGCGTAAATGAATTAATGAATGACCCGCATCCCTGCGCAAAACTCCTCTATGACGTCATCAAACATGAGAAGATCAGTATATATTGGTTAACTTGAGCTTGCATCAGTCTCCTTTACAGCTGCCTCTTCCTGCTGCTTCTTTTTCCAGTACTCATCAAGTGGGGGTCCAAATATTGCCTTGCCTGAAACAACTCCAATCCTGCAAAACCCCATATACAATTCCTTAGGTAGAATAAATGTCACTTAAAATCACATCACTCACATTGGAATTTAAAATTCCAAGTAGATTATATCAGGAATACAAGTTTATATAGCTGCCTGCAAGTTTGAGGGGGCAATATTAAGGCGCACTTTGTCCAAAAAAAAATATATATATATATATCTTAAGGCACACTAACAGCATACCAAATATCAAGGCTCTTTGGGAGCTAGCATTAACGCAAGAAAAAAAAACAAGTAAACACAGCACTAAAACTTTGGTTAACCCGTTCTCAGCAGAAAATTCAGCCAAAATAAGACACTATGCACTAGGGCTCCCTTTTTTCCACTGGACATTCATAGCAGAAGGTTGGCCACAATGTTTTAGCAATTAAACCAATGCTTTATCTGCTTCTAGATTTTCACACTTGTATCTTATACCTAAAAATGCCACACATACACATCTTTACAAAGTTCCGGGAGACACTTTTTTGTGCAGATTCAGTGCTCCAGAGCTATTACCAGACAGGACTAACAATTGACGCAGGATATACGTTATTGTATTCTAAATTCTAATTATTTCATACATTTCAAAAATTGTATATTTTTCATGTATTTTTTATATGAAGTTTTATTCTTTTTCTGGTAAAATCTAAGTCATAAAGTTACCATACAAGTTTGGGTTGTTTTGACAAGGTAATTCTTCACAGTAAAGTTTTCTGAAGCCTATGGATGAATTAGACAAAATTTTATCCAATTGGAATGTAATGTAGCCTACCTTCATTTCTGTTCTGCGTAATTATACATAACCACTTCTGGCACCATCTTATTTTAGAAATGTGTTTCTTTTAATGATTCATTCGTTAACAACCAACTAGATGAAGATGTTAGATCATTTTCTCTAGACACGAGGACTGAAAAAACAGTAACAAGATCAACGAATTGGAGAAGATTAGCCATGGGATGTCATGCATTTAGAACAATAACGAAATTTGGATAATAATTCGAATCGTGGGCGTGCAGTGAATCTCAGTGCACAATACAGATTCCTCATTGCATATATATGTAGTAAAAAAGAACAATATAAGCTTTCTGGCAAAAATTGCAAATAAGATGCAAGTTGTGTTTAGTAATTCATTCGTTTGTATGAAAGTCACCACACTACATCAGTATCCTTCAAGATTTCCCAATTACTACCTCTTGTCATCCCTGTCTCAAGCACACAGTAATCTCACCAATCCAGTAAACAGATGGTAGAATGTAAACAAGGCCACCAAACTATGTGATTTATCGTCCAGTACTTCGAAAACAGAAATGATACACACAAACCCTTGCAAGCATACACGCAGACAGAAGTACTTCTATTTTTCAAGAAAGTAACCTCACCAATTCAGTAAACAGATAGGAGAATGAAAAAAGGGCAAGGCAGAAAATTTACAAAAAGTAGACAACCAGACTTTTGCATAGGACCAAAAAGACAGATCCAGTTTGAATACTTAAACCTCCATGTACGGTTTAAAGTAACGCATGGTGTTAGCCTGTTAGGGTCCCGGCTATCAATTTGAGACCGTTTTAAGAGGCAGATTCTTATATCAACCCCTGGGTTCCAAATTCCCAATGTTATATATAAAGGAAAGGAAAAATGAGAAAAAGAAATGACAAAGGAAAAAACTTAAAGAAAAGAAGGATTGCTTGAAACAATCTTTGTCACTGTGAAGGATTCACTCATGATTCATGAACTAAGCCTAGCAGTCCTACAAGCGCAGCATTGAAAACCACATTCTGCTACGAAGGTCGTAAAGAAGCCATGTCTCATGTCCTAACTCATAGTACAAACACCACATAAAGATCTATTTTCCTTTTTCATTGACTTTATCTGTGACAACTGAACATACCAAACTTCACATTGCCATTTTCCTGCCATTTTACATATCTAATTCTCTGGAAATGGATGACAAAATTAACAATGACAGAACTTCAGTCATGCAATACAGAAACCTAAGTAAATTACTTAATCTTCACATAGTCACACCCAAACAATTTTTAACCAAAACAAAACAAACAGTAGTTAACCAAAACCCAATACGAGAATGATTCTGCTAATTTTATAGTCAAGCAAATCAGATAGGAGAAAAGGAACCTAATAATGGGTAATTGAAAGTTGACTTATTTATCAACAAAACCATTAAACGTGTACCAAAAGACCAAATTAAAGCGTTCTTGGATTAACAGATAGTGCAGGACAGCCGATAAACACAGTATAACATAAAGGGTATGCCCGATTTTATAATTATCATACTCAAATTTATTTGTAAAGAAAGGGACTTACACGACTGCTCCAATTACCATAGGAAACGAGAGGAATCTGCTTCGACTAAACATTTTCAAATTTCAATACAACAGTTCTAGTTTTTGTTGCAATTTGTATGCCTTCTCAAATTCAGGGTTTTTCAGGTTCTTGCTCTTCGAGGGTTTTAGAAATGAAAAGATCCTATTTTCTGGATCGGTTTCTGCAATTTTTCGATTTCCACCCAGATGTGTTTTAAACTTGGGACTTCTAAATCATTTACGGGCTGTATTGATTCTACTCTATATTCAATGCAGTTTAATGCTAATACAAATAATAAAATGACGCTTAATTCAATCAAAAACCCGAGTAATGAAAAACTAGCCCCTTGGCATTTTTCATTTTTTCATTTTATTTTTAAAATTAAGAAAAAATAACATGGGTAGTTATGTTTCATAAAATATGATATATTATCTGATTTTGTTTTTAATATAAAAAATATGAATTTACCATATTATCCTTACTAGCCCCTTGACACATGCTCACGCATGTGCCAATTTGTTTTATTTTTTATTTTATTTTTAGAATTAAGAATAGATAACATGGGTAGTTCCATAAAAATAGGACCTATTATATGATTTTTTTTTAAATATGAAAAAAAATTATGAATTTACAATATTATCCTCATTTAATTAATAATTTCAAATCTTAATGTTTGAATTAACCAATGACTTTTTCTGGTATTTTGAATGTTTCACCATTCTCTACATTTTGCTTTATATATATATATATATATAATTAATAATTTCAATTATTAATGTTTGAATTAACCAGGGCATTTTCTGGTATTTTGAATGTTTCATCATTCTTTGCATTTTGCTTTATATATATAGATATATCCAAAAATGACGATTTAAAAAAAAATAAAAATTAAAGAAAGGCAATATATTGCATTCATAATTTAGATTTAAAAGTGCTACCAACGTGGCCTAACCCAATAGAAAATGACATTGACTTGCAGACAGGATGTCTCATGTTTCAAACCCCCATGACATCTTAATTGTGTGTGTGTGTGAGAAACTCATTTCCATGAAGTTTAGACTATCGCTTATGCTATAAATAAAAAAACCGCTAGCCAATACAAATACAAACAACCACATGGGTTTAATAAAAACTCAGAAGTAGAATAACCACATAGGGTTAATTCAAATAAGGAGGATGGATTCAACTGGCAACAATAAGTGAATAATGTGTACCTCTACTCATAGCCACATAAGGTTAAAGAAATTCCGACATAAAAGCCACAAACGTGGAAAACTCAGACAAAAGACCTCAATGCACAAAATTACAACTGCAATTACAAACTTTAAAATTACCATCTATAAGATTACTGTTAATAGCTCTTACCACCTCTATGAGCCGAGCCCATCAAAAGAGAGACGTGGCCACGATATACTAGGTCTCCTGCATACCGATCAGTTTTTAGTACGACAGACCACAGACTGAGCCAATGGTCAGTTGTTTTTATGTCTACCTAACCTCCAGGATATTCTATTCAACCAGAAACACATAGATGACTAGCAAAATGTAACACCTTGACTCCAAATTTAATTCATATTTTAATTTATTTAAGTGAATTTACACTTTACCCTTAGGGTAGAGGTATTTTTGGACATTTTCTTATCTGGAGAGACTTTGGGACAATGAGTGGTTCGGTTGCGTAGGTGGTACTGAGACGAATCCGTAGACATGCGGTAGGCTTGAACCGGAGTTGTAACGAAGATTTGACGATCAAAATAAGTTCAGTGGCGAAACCGTAATTATTTCGAAAAGGATAGAGTACAAATCTGATTTTTCACTTTTATCTCTTTCTCTCTCGCCCTGCGGCTGAAACCCCCCTCCCCGACGTTCGTTTTCCCCGGAATTTCAGACGGCAAGAGCTCCGCCGTCCGACCTCCAATTCCGGTGCCGTCACTTGCAAAAGCTTCCTTTCTTACTCCTCTACCCAGCCCACCCCTTTTCTCCGATCAAAGCCCCAGCAAACGGCGGTGGCAACGACGTGAAGAATCAGCCAAAACTGTCAACGTCACCGGCGACGTTTCCGGCCACCGCAAGCTGCACCGTCACTTGGAACAGGTAGCCCTCCTCTCCTTCTAGCTATTTCCTAGGTTTTTCGACGACAATGGTGACGGTGGCAGCCGGATCGAAGCCGTGAAATTCCGGGTTAAACCGTGAGTTTCCGGCGCCGATTCCGGCCAGTTTCCGTCCGAATTGGGCTTCTCCGTAGTTTAATAAGATGCTCCACTCGTCGAGTAGTATCTAGGATAGGAAGGGTGAGCGGTGGTGTGGAGATTTTCCGTCGCCGGAATTTACTCTACACACCCACGCGCTGCCGGCATGTGCACAAGGGTGGTGAAGCTGCAATGCGTCCTGATGAGATCTTCAGGTTGTCACGAGCGCGTAGGATTTCGCGAATCTCAATTTGGATGTCGTTTGACTATCGAACGGATTTCGCATTTTGTGCGTTATCCAGGTTCGATAGTTTCTGACTGTTGGATCGTTTCCAAATTGAAGTATGTTGATCTAGGTATTCTTAGAACCCTATAGGAATTCGCGGATCATGAATCGGAGCCCCGGATGTTCCGATTCAATAATTCATAGTTTATGGGTTAGCGATAACCGGCCAATTGTAAGCGATTCCCAAACCTGTAAGCGGACCTTAAGATATCCCATTCTACGTACACGCATCGAGAACTTGGGGATTTAAGTATTCAATTTGTGATTTCCGTTTCGAAGTGTTTTTATATTAATTAAGGGTTCGTATCTCGAAATAGGTGCTCCGGTCGATCATACTCAGCAGGCAGGACCCTCTCAGGGTTGGGCAGCTTGGGGTTACTTGTTAGTGGACTTTGTTTTCAAGCATACGCATGGTTTTATTGATAAAAGATTTGTGCATAAGTTTTGAATGGTATCTATGATTTAATAAATATTTGGTTGATGGATTTTGATATTCTTATATGCATTGGTAATATATTTTTGGTATGGATATATTCGAGTATCGTTAGTATGTGGATATAGAGTTTTGGGTCGTTGATGTGAGATTGTGAAAAGATTGAGTATGAAGGGGGTGTTGAGAGAAAATGTAAGATTACACTATGTTAGTACCATCCCCTGGTTACTAGGCTTCCCACACGTGTCGTTGGCAGTGCCGGTGTGTGGGAAGAACATGGGATTATGGGTCTTACACGTGCCGTTGGCAGTGCCGGCGTGTGAGACACTTCCCATATGTGTCGTTGGCAGTGCTGGCGTATGGGAAGAGTATGTATATTGCTTGGAATCATCACACATGTCGTTGGCAGTGCCAGTGTATAATGGTGTGGTCTGTGAGTGTAGGACTTGGTATTTGAGTATGTGAGCTACACGTGTCGTTGGCAGTGCCCCTGTATGATGGTGTGGTCTGCGCGTGTAGGACTTGGTATTTGAATATGTGAGCTACACGTGTCGTTGGCAGTGCCGGCTTGTGAGCTATGGAGTTTTGTCCCCCGGTTGGACCACTCATCCCTAGTCGCAGGATAGCACTTAGAAATTCTGCTAGCTAGCCAAACAATCCCCCGGTTGAATTGTTTCTCAGGTACATTAGTAGTGAGAGAAGTATATGTTATGTTTATATTTATATATGTGTGTATATATATATATATGTAGTGGGTTGGTAAGAGCATGATAGTTTTGGGATTGGAGTTGTGGTTTGAGAGTTTGGGGTTTAATGGATTTTGAGATTAATGTTTTTGAGCTTTGGTTTATGAATTGTTAACCTGCATGACTTGAGCATTATTTTTACACGGTGGGATTATTATGTTGTTTTAAATGCAAACTTTATTTTTGTCCACTAACATATTTTCTGTTTTGCGCCCCCCAGACAGTAGTCACTCATGGTAGCTTGCAAGTGGTGTTCGAGGCTGAACCGTTTACTTCCCTAGTTAGGATCTGTGTAATTTCCTTTTACTCAACTGTTGTTGTAAACTAATTCTGTTGGATGCTATGTTATTGCCCCTGTTAGGTTTTTACTTGAGGCTGGAAGCCATTTAGTATGTTTAGTGAAATGTTGAAAGCATGCTGCCAGTTGGGATTCATATTATGTAAATTATGTATATTGAATTTTGTTGGGTTTATGCATAATTACAGAGGGGGCTTTGCCAAATTTTTGGTAGAACGTCTCGGTTTTTAGTAAGTGGGCCCAGCATCGGGATGATGACGGCAAAAAGACGGGATTCGACCTGGATTCAGGGGGATTCCGGGGCGGGTCCTGTCAGCTTGGTATCAAAGCGTTAGGTTCATTTTTCTTTAACTTTTGCACTTTTACTGCATTGTTGATCTAATGATTTTATGGTTTCTTTGCGTAGAATCATGTCAGCTCGCAGAGCAAGAACTAGAGGTCGTGGCCAGAGATGGGCGCTAAATTCGCCTTCTTCATTTCCGTCACCACCTCCATCACCACCAGTGCCTTCGCCTTAACCATCTCCACTTGCCGGAGATAATGTTTCGGGTTTGAGGCATGTACTTAGCCAATTCACAAGCACCATAACCATAGCTTTGCGGGGAAGACGTGGTACTGAAAGCTCTTAAATTAAAAGAGTCAAGGAACTTGGAGCAAGGGAGTTCATGAGTAGCACCGACCCAGCGAAAGACGAGTCCTGGATTTCAGATGTGGAAAGAATCTTTGAGGTGTTAAGAGTGTCCAGATGGTGATAGGGTCCGTTTGGCCACTTTTCTGTTAAAAGGAAATGCCTACTATTGGTGGAAAGCTGCAAAAAGGGGTTACGAGAATCCGGTTGCTATAACTTGGGAAGAATTTCAAAGGGTCTTCTCCGAACAATTCTATCCACCTTTCTACTAGTATGTCAAGAAGTCAGAATTTTTGTATCTGAAACAAGGGTTTATGTTGGTGGTAGAGTATGAACACAAGTTCAACGAGCTGTCGAGATTTGCACCAGAGTTGGTGGCTACTGAAGAGGATAGGTGCAGACGCTTTGAGGGAGGTTTATGGTGGGAGATTCAGGCAGTGGTGACTGCCAACACTTATCCTAACATGAGGGCTTTGGCTCAGGCTGCTGACAGGGTGTCTAGAAGATGTGCTATGGATGCGAGTAGGCGTCGCAAAGATGGGTCAGGGATCGGTGGGCCGCGCCAAGGTCCATCAAAGAGAGGAGGATCTAGCTCCAGTTTTGCCAGCGGCGGATAATCAGGAGGACATGGATCTAGCTCTGGCAGTGGGAGATCCGGTTCTCGTCCTGCATGGACTCAGTATACAGAGCAACAGCTTGCAACTAGCATAGCTAGGACTCATTCACGGCAGACTGGGTTGACATGCTTTAGTTGTGGGCAGGTAGGACACTATGCGAAGGATTGCCCTACTTCCATTCAAAGGGGTAAACAATGCCAGAGTAGCAACCCAACATGTTACTTTTGTGGGCAGATGAGGCATACTAAGAGGAGCTACCCAATGATATGCCCTGGTGATACAACAGTGTAGTGAACTGGAGCCCAATAGGGGCAGGGTAATATGGGTCAGCACCAGAGTCAAAGTGGTGCTACTTCCTCTGCAGTAGGATCATCCAGTAGCAGGGCATCGTCATCTTCTAGGGGTAGGGGTGGCAAGAATTCAAGAGGTCAGCCTGGGCGTTCTACCACTCAGGCCCGAGTGTTCTCCATGACTTAGTAGGAAGCACATGCCACTCTGGACGTGATTACTGGTATGATTCCTATTTTTGGTTATCTTGCTCGTGTTCTAATTGATCCGGGGGCCACACATTCCTTCGTAGCACACAACTTCGTACCTTATGTCAGTGTTAGACCCGCACCTATGACATGAAGTTTTAGTATTTCCTTACCTACGGGAGAAGTCTTGTTTGCGGACCGGGTGTTCAGAGATTGTTATGTCCAAGTAGGCAATGCCTGGTTGGAAGCAGATTTGATTCCTTTAGAATTGGTGGATTTTGATATTATCTTGGGGATGAATTGGCTGGAGAAGCATTATGTCTCAATGGATTGTTTCCGGAAGGAAGTAACATTACGGAGTCTAGGACAACCCAAAGTAATCTTCCGAGGAGAACGTAGAGTCCTCTGTACTTGTCTTATCTCCGCTATCACAGCCAAGAGGTTACTCAAGAAGGGGTGTGAGGGATACTTAGCCCACATTATTGACACTCGTGAGATCACCCTGAATCTGGAAGATATCCCCGTTGTTAGTGAGTTCCTAAATGTCTTTTCAGATGATCTCCTTGGTTTACCTCCTGAAAGGGAAATCGAGTTCACAATCGAACTTCTTCCAGGCACCAACCCTATCTATCTGACTCCTTACAGGATGGCACCAACTGAGCTCCGGGAGTTGAAGACTCAGTTGCAGGAGTTAGTGGATCTAAGATTTATCCGACCCAGTGTTTCTCCGTGGTGTGCACCAGTGTTGTTTGTGAGAAAGAAAGATGGGACCATGAGGTTATGTATTGATTACCGGTAGTTGAATAAGGTGACAGTACGTAATCGATATTCGTTGCCTCGGATTAATGATTTGTTCGATCAGTTGAAGGGTGCTAAGTATTTCTCTAATATTGATCTGAGATCAGGGTACCATTAATTGAGGATAAGAGAAGAGGATGTTCCCAAGATCGCATTTAAAACGCGGTATGGACATTATGAATTTCTGGTGATGCCTTTTGGACTGACGAATGCTCCAGCAACGTTTATGGATCTCATGAACAGAGTGTTTCGACCATACTTGGATCACTTTGTGATTGTGTTCATAGACGACATCCTGGTTTACTTTAAGACTTTGGAAGGGCATAAGAAGCATCTAATGTTAGTATTGAGGACTTTGAGGAGGAAACAACTTTATGCCAAATTCAGTGTCGATTCTGGCTGGACAGAGTGGTATTCCTTGGACATGTAATTTCAGCTGAAGGGATTTATGTGGATCCGCAGAAAGTTAAAGCTATTGTGAATTGGGTACAACCCACAAGTATGACGGAAATACGGAGTTTTCTAGGGTTAGTAGGCTACTATCGTCGATTTATTGAAGGGTTCTCTTCGATAGCAGCACATCTCATGCGGTTGACAAGGAAAGATGTCACGTTTGAGTGGACGAAGGAGTGCAAACAAATTTTTCAGGAGTTGAAGAAGCGGTTAACCACCGCACCTGTTTTGGCTCTTCCAGACAACTCGGGGAACTTTGTGATCTACAGTTATGCATCTTTGCAAGGCTTGGGATGTCTTCTATTGCAACATGATCGGGTGATTGCTTATGCCTCGAGGCAACTCAAGAAGCATGAGCATAATTATCATGTCCATGACTTGGAACTTGCTGCAGTAGTGTTCGCTCTCAAGATTTGGCAGCATTACTTATATGGTAAGACGTGTCAGGTTTTCATTAATTACAAGAGCCTCAAGTACTTTTTCACTCAGAAGGTGTTGAATACGAGACACGACGTTGGCTGGAATTGATTAAAGACTATGACTGCACGATTGAGTATCATCCAGGCAGAGCTAATGTGGTTGCAGATGCATTGAGTAGGAAGACTACTGGGAATGTAACTCACCTCAGAACAGTCTATCTTCCGTTGTTAGTGTAACTACAGAAGGATGGAGTAGAGTTGGGAATGAATCAAAAGGGTGGAATCTTTGCTAGCTTGCATGTAAGACTCATTTTGGTGGAACGAGTAATTGCAGCCCAGTTGGGGGATTCGACACTTTGTAGAATAAGGGGAGAAGTGGAGAATAGTACACGGAAGGATTATGTCATAAGGGGAGATGGAGTGTTGGTAACAGGAACTCGTCTCTGTGTACCTAAGAATGATGAATTGAAAAGAGAAATCATGGAGGAAGCTCACTGTTCCACTTACACTATGCATCCGAGAAGTACAAAGATGTATCGAACCCTACAGATATATTATTCCTGGCCGCATATAAAGGGAGACATTGCCAAGTATATGAGCAGATGCTTGATTTGTCAACAAGTGAAGGCAGAGCAACAGAAACCATCGAGACTTATGCAACAACTTCCGATTCCTGAATGGAAGTAGGAACATATCACTATGGATTTTGTTTTCAAGCTTCCACGTACTTCTAAGAGACATGATGGAATTTGGGTGATAGTTGATAGACTCACGTCTGGAGTGGTGTGTGCCTCCTGCTAGGTCATGGAGAACACCCTGGCCTGAGTGGTAGAACGCCCAGACTGACCTCTTGAATTCCTGCCACTCCTACCCCTAGAAGATGACGGTGCCCTGCTACTGGATGATCCTGCTGCAAAGGAAGTAGCACCATTCTGACTTTGGTGCTGACCCATATTACCCTGCCCCTGCTAGGCTCCAGTTCCCTGCACTACTGTATCACTAGGGTATATCATTGGGTAGCTCCTCTTAATATGCCCCACCTGCCCATAAAGGTAACATGTTGGGTCGCTGCTTTGGCCTTGTTTACCCCTTTGAATGGAAGTAGGGCAATCCTTCCCAAAGTGTCCCACCTGTCTACAGCTAAAGCATGTCAACCCAGTCTGCTGTGAAGGAGTCCTAACTGTGCTAGTGGCAGGCTGCTGCTCTGTATACTGAGTCCATACTGGACGAAAACCGGATCTCCCACTACCAGAGCTAGATCCACGTCCTCCTGACCATCTGTCGTTGGCAGAACTAGAACTAGATCCTCCTCTCTTTGATGGACCCTGACTCGGCCCACCAAACCCTGGTACATCTCTACGGCGCCTGCCACCACCCATGACACATCTCCTTCACACCCTTTCAGCAGCCTGAGCCAAGAGCCTCATGTTGGGATAAGTGTTGGCACTCACCACTGCCTAAATCTCCCACCATAAACCTCCCTCAAAGCGTATGCACCTATCATCTTCAATAGCCACCAACTCTGGTGCAAATCTCAACAGCTCGTTGAACTTGTGTTCATACTCCACCACTGACATAGATCCTTGCTTCAAGTACAAGAATTTTTACTTCTTGGCATACCGGTAGGAAGGTGGATAGAATTGTTCGGAGAAGACCCTCTGAAATTCTTCCCAAGTTATAGCAGCCGGATTCTCATAGCCCATTTTTGCAGCTTTCCACCAATGGTAGGCATTTCCTTTCAGCAGAAAAGTGGCCAAATGGACCCTATCACCATCTGGACACTCTAACACCTCAAAGATTCTTTCCACATCTGAAATCCAGGACTCGGCTTCCGCTGGATCAGTGCTATCCATGAACTCCTTTGCTCCAAGTTCCTTGACTCTTTTAATTTCAGAGTTTTCAGTACCACGTCTTCCCCGCAAAGCTGTGGTCATGGTGCGTGTGAACTGGCAAAGTACATGCCTCAAATCCGAAACGTTATCTCCGGCAGGTGGAGATGGTGGAGGCGAAGGCATTGGTGGTGGTGACGGAGATGGAAGAGGCGGATTTGGCGCCCATCTCTGACCACGACCTCTAGTTCTTGCTCTGCGAGCTGACATGGTTCTACACAAAGAAACCATAAAATCATTAGATCAACAATGCAGCAAAAGTGCAAAAGTCGAAGGACAATGAACCTAATGCTCTGATACCAAGCTGACAGGAACCGCCCCGGAATTCTCCGAAAACCAGAACGAATCCCGTCTTTGTTACCATCACCCCGATGTCAGGCCCACTTACTAAAAATCGAGACTTTCTACCAAAAATTTGGCAGAGTCTCCCCTCTAATTATGCACAAATTCAACATGCATAATTTACATAATATGAATCCCAACTGCTAGCATGCTTTCAACATACAACAACAGAAGAAAGTAAATGGCCTCCGGCCTAAAGTAAAAACCTGACATGAGCAATAACAGAGCATCTAACAAAATTAGTTTACAACAACAGTTGAGTATAAGGAAATTACACAGATCCTAACTAGGGAAGTAAACGGTTCCGCCTCGAACACCGCTTGCAAGCTTCCTGAAGCAACTACTGTCTGGGGGGCGCAAAACAAAAAATATGTGAGTGAACAAAAACGAAGTTTGCATTTAAAACAACATAATAACCCCACCGTGTAAAAATAATGCTCAAGTCATGCAGGTTCACAATTCATAAACCAAAGCTCAAAAACATTAATCTCAAAAATCTATTAAACCCCGAACTCTCAAACCATAACTCCAATCCCAAAACTATCCTGCTCTTATCAACCCATTACATACATATATATATAAATATAACATATACTTCTCTCACTACTAATGTACCGGGGAAACAATCCAACCAGGGGATTGTTTGGCTAGCCAGCAAAATTTCTAAGTGCTATCATGCGGTTAGGGACGAAACTCCATAGCTCACACGCCGACACTGCCAACGACACGTGTAGCTCACATACTCATAACCAAGTCCTACACGCGCAAACCACACCGGCACTGCCAACGACATGTGTGATGATTCCAAGCAATATACATACTATTCCCATACGCTGGCACTGCCAACGACATGTATTGGAAGTGTCTCACACGCTGGCACTGCCAACGACGCGTGTAAAACCCACAATCACATGTTCTTCCCACACGCCGGCACTGCCAACGACATGTGTGGGAAGCTTACTAATCAGGGGATGGTACAAACATAGTGTAATCTTACATTTTCTCTCAACACCCCCTTCATACTCAATCTTTTCACAATCTCACCTCAACGACCCAAAACTCTATATCAACATACTCACGATACTCGAATATATCCATACCCAAAATATATTACCAATTCGTATAAGAATATCAAAATTCATCAACCAAATATTTATTAAATCATATATATCATTTAAAACATATGCACAAATCTCTTATCAATAAAACCATGCGTATGCTTGAAAATAGAGTCCACTCACAAGTAATCCCAAGCTGCCCGACCGTGAGAAGGTCCTGCCTACTGAGTACGATCGAACTGCGCACCTATTTCGAGATACGAACCCTGAATTAATATAAAATCGCTTCGAAACAGAAATCACAAAAAAAAATACTTAAATCCCCAAATTCCCGGTGCGTGTAAGTAGAAAGAGGTATCCTAAGGTTCGGTTACAGGTTTAGGAATCCCTTACAATTGGCTGATTATTGCTAATCCATAAACTTTGAATTATTGAATCGGAACATCCGGGGCTCCGATTCACGATCCACGAATTCCTATAAGGTTATAAGAATACCTAGATCAACATACTTCAATTTGAAAACGATCCAACGGTCAGAAACTATCGAACCTGAATAACACACAATATGCGAAATTCGTTTGATAGTCAAACGACGTCCGAATTGAGATCCACAAAATCCTACACACTTGTGACCACCTGAGGATCTCATCAGGACATATTGCAGCTTCACCACCCTTGCCCACGTGCCAGTAGCGCGGAGGTGTGTAGAGTAAATTTCGGCGACGGAAAAACTCCACACCACAGCTCACCTTTTCAATTCTTGATACTACTTGAAGCCAGGATCATTTCATTCAACTACCATGAGGTCCAATTCGTACGGCAGCTGGCTAGAATTTCACTTTGAAAATCGGCCAAAACCTAGCTTCCAAAATTAACTTCCAAACTTCAAAATCGTTCCAATCCTACCCCATAGGCAGCTAGAACTCAGAAAATGGAGGAGAAACCATACCTCACTCGTCGGAATAGGTGGCCGGAGGAGAGAGATCGAACGGTACGAAGTTCTGTAAAAAATCGGCCTGTTTTCAGGCTTATTCCGGAAGTTTGCGACGGTTCCCAGGGTGGAGATGGGTTGGAAGTGGAAGTGGAGAGTGGCCCAGTTTGTTCGTTTGGGACCGGTGCCGTCGATCGGGGTGGCCGGAGATGGCGGCTGTGTTGGTGGTTTCCGTCTAGGTGAATAGTAATAGGGGGTTTGCGCACAGAAAGGGACTCAGGAGAGAGAGAGAGAGAGAGTGTGTGGGGTAGAAAGTGAATTTTCAGATTTTTACTCTAACTCTCTTCGAAATAGTTACGGTTTCTTCATCGAACTTATTTTGATCGCCAAATCTTCGTTACAACTCCGATTCAAGCTTCCCGCATGTCTACATATTCGTCTCGATACAACCTACGTAACCACACCACTCATTGTCCCAAAGTCCATCTGGATAAGAAAATGTCCAAAAATACCCATACCCTAAGGGTAAATTGTAAATTCACTTAAATAAATTAAAATAAGAATTAAATTGGAGTCGGGGTGTTACATTTTCACCCACAAACTGATGGACAGTCGGAAAGGACCATCCAAACTCTGGAGGATATGTTGAGGTCATATGTGTTGCAGCTGAAGGATGCATGGGATGCACACCTTGCCTTGGTGGAATTTGCTTATAACAACAATTATCATTCGAGTATTGAGATGGCTCCTTATGAGGCATTGTATGGAAGGCAGTGCAGGACTCCTATTTGTTGGAATGAAGTGGGTGATAAGAAATTGGAAAAAGTGGATAGTATCTGAGCAACAAATGAGAAGGTGAAGATGATTAAAGAGAAGTTGAAGACCGCACAAGACCGAAAGAAGAGTTATGCGGATAACAGGTCCAAAGATCTTGAATTTGCAGTTGGGGATTGGGTGTTCTTGAAGTTATCTCGTTGGAAGGGTGTGATGAGATTTGGGAAACGCAGAAAGTTAAGCCCCCGTTACAATGGGCCTTATGAGGTCATGGAGCTAATTGGACCTGTTGCTTACAGACTTGCCTTACCTCCAGAACTATCTTGAGTTCATGACGTATTTCTTGTGTCCATGCTACGGAAATACATGCCAGATCCTTCTCATGTTTTAGAATATCAACCAGTGGAGTTAGAAGAAGATTTGACATATGAGGAGCAACCTGTGCAAATCCTAGATAGGAAAGAACAAATGTTGCGCTCCAAATCTATCCCTGTAGTGAAAGTTTTTTGGAGAAGTAAAAATGTGGAAGAAGCTAGATGGGAGCTCGAGGCGCAGATGCGGGCCAAGTACCCTTATCTCTTCCATTAACAGGTACGGAAATTTCGATGAAGAAATTTTTATAAGGGGGGTAGATTGTAACACCCCGACTCCAAATTTAATTCATATTTTAATTTATTTAAGTGAATTTACAATTTACCCTTAGGGTATGGGTATTTTTGGACATTTTCTTATCCGGAGGGACTTTGGGACAATGAGTGGTTTGGTTGCGTAGGTGGTACTGAGACGAATCCGTAAACATGCGATAGGCTTGAACTGGAGTTGTAACGAAGATTTGGCGATCAAAATAAGTTCGGTGGTGAAACCGTAATTATTTTGAAAAGGATTAGAGTAAAAATATGATTTTTCACTTCTCTCTCTCTCTCTCTCTCTCTCTCCCTCCCTGCGGCTGAAACCCCCCTCCCCGTCATTCATTTTCGCTGGAATTTTAGACGGCAAGAACTCCGCCGTCCGACCTCCAATTCCGGTGCCGTCACTTGCAAAAGCTTCCTTTCTTACTCCTCTACCCAACCCACCCATTTTCTCCAATCAAAACCCCAGCAAATGGCGGTGGCAACGACGTGAAGAATCAGCCAAAACTGTCAACGTCACCGACGACATTTCCGGCCACCGCAAGCTGCACCATCACTTGGAACAAGTAGCCCTCCTCTCCTTCTAGCTATTTCCTAGGTTTTGCGACGCCAGATCGAAGCCGTGAAGTTTCGGGTTAAACCATGAGTTTTCAGCGCCGATTCCGGCCACTTGCCATCCGAATTGGGCTTGGCTGTAGTTGAATAAGATGCTCCACTCGTTGAGTAGTATCTAGGATAGGAAGGGTGAGCAGTGGTGTGGAGATTTTCCGACTCCAAAATTTACTTTACACACCCACGCTCTGCCAGTGCATGGGCAAGGGTGGTGAAGCTGCAATACATCCTTATGAGATCCTCAGGTTGTCACGAGCGCGTAGGATTTTGCGGATCTCAATTTGGATGTTGTTTGACTATCGAACAGATTTTGCATTTTGTGCATTATCCGGGTTCGATAGTTTCTGACCGTTGGATCGTTTCCAAATTAAAGTATGTTGATCTAGGTATTCTTAGAACCCTATAGGAATTCGCGAATCGTGAATCAGAGCCCCGGATGTTCCGATTCAATAATTCAAAGTTTATGGGTTAGCGATAACCGGCCAATTGTAAGCGATTCCCAAACCTGTAACCGGACCTTAGGATATCCCATTCTACGTACACGCACCGGGAACTTGGGGATTTAAGTATTCAATTTGTGATTTCCGTTTCTAAGTGTTTTTATATTAATTAAGGGTTCATATCTCGAAATAGGTGCTCCGGTCGATCGTACTCAGCAGGCAGGACCCTCTCAGGGTCGGGCAGCTTGGGATTACTTGTGAGTGGACTTTGTTTTCAAGCATACGCATGGTTTTATTGATAAAAGATTTGTGCATATTTTTTGAATGGTATCTATGATTTAATAAATATTTGGTTGATGGATTTTGATATTCTTATATGCATTGGTAATATATTTTGGGTATGGATATATTCGAGTATCGTGAGTATGTGGATATAGAGTTTTGGGTCGTTGATGTGAGATTGTGAAAAGATTGAGTATGAAGGGGGTGTTGAGAGAAAATGTAAGATTACACTATGTTAGTACCATCCCCTGGTTACTAGGCTTCCCACACATGTCGTTGGCAGTGCCGGCGTGTGGGAAGAACATGTGATTGTGGGTCTTACACGCGCCGTTGGCAGTGCCGGCGTGTAAGACACTTCCCATACGTGTCGTTGGCAGTGCTGGCGTATGGGAAGAGTATGTATATTGCTTGGAATCATCACACATGTCGTTGGCAGTGCCGGTGTGTGATGGTGTGGTCTGCGTGCGTAGGACTTGGTATTTGAGTATGTGAGCTACACGTGTCGTTGGCAGTGCCGGCGTGTGAGCTATGGAGTTTTCGTCCCCCAGTTGGACCACTCATCCCTAGCCGCAGGATAGCACTTAGAAATTCTGCTGACTAGCCAAACAATCCCCCAGTTGGATTGTTTCCCCAGTACATTAGTAGTGAGAGAAGTATATGTTATATTTATATTTATATATGTATATATATATATATGTATGTAGTGGGTTGGTAAGAGTAGGATAGTTTTGGGATTGGAGTTGTGGTTTGAGAGTTTGGGGTTTAATGGATTTTTGAGATTAATGTTTTTGAGCTTTGGTTTATGAATTGTGAACCTGCATGACTTGAGCATTATTTTTACACGGTGGGGTTATTATGTTGTTTTAAATGCAAACTTTGTTTTTGTCCACTCACATATTTTCTGTTTTGCGCCCCCAGACAGTAGTCGCTTCTGGAAGCTTGCAAGCGGTGTTCGAGGCTGAACCGTTTACTTCCCTAGTTATGATATGTGTAATTTCCTTCTACTCAACTGTTGTTGTAAACTAATTCTGTTAGATGCTCTGTTATTGCCCATGTTAGGTTTTTACTTGAGGCCGGAGGCCATTTAGTATGTTTAGTGAAATGTTGAAAGCGTGTTGCCAGTTGGGATTCATATTATGTAAATTTTGCAGGTTGAATTTTGTTGGGTTTGTGCATAATTAGAGGGGAGACTCTGGCAAATTTTTGGTAGAATGTCTCGATTTTTAGTAAGTTGGCCCGACATCGGGATGATGTCGGCAAAAAGACGGGATTCATCCCGGATTCAGGGGGATTCCGGGGCGGGTCCTGTCACAAAACTCCGCCCTTGTGGTGAATAGACTTGACAAGCAAAGAGGTCAATTAAATGCGCGTCCTATCCTCGATCAGGTGTCACCTTACCATTTCATCTCCAAGTGGACATGCTAGTGATGGAAAGGGATCATTTAATATACCTCTCATCCATGTTCGACTGTCACCTCACTGCTTAACTCATGTCAGACAGTATGGTGATATGAAGTAGAACATTAAATGTAACTCAGAGTTGGGAAAAGATCTCTTCCAAAAATATCTTGACCTCACCTCATCCCTCCTATAAATTCCCATCATCAATCTTTAGATAAAGGTAATAAATATCCTCAATGTGAAAACCCTATATCCATCTCTCTCCAGTTCAAGTAAGTTTCTGACTTTACCATCGGAGGGGTCTGAACTGAGATCAACCCCAGTCCACCCTTATTCTGATATTGTTCCAAGTGTGCAGATCTGCCAACGGAGATTATTCACATTAAAATAGGCCCAAGCCCCCGGATAAAGGCCCAGATTATCTACACTAGAAGGATACGCGGTTTACAATTATCATAAGCACTTCTCATATCATTTGACAAAAAATTGTAAAAGTGTTCCTTGGTTATGAAAACACTTGCAAGTGCTTGAACATGCTTCTAATAAAAACGCTTCTAGTTAAATTGTTTTATTTTTTATTTTTATACAAACGATATTGGAGGAGGGTGACTTTCTCACACACACTATTAAGGTGCGTGTGAGAAAACCCCCACTGGTGTCAATCTGTTTAGAAGGTAAATCTCGGCTTCTCCCATATGTAAGGTGTTTGGTGATCAACCTAAGACTCTGGAACATTTTCTCTTGCTTTGCCCGAGGACTCGAGGTGTGTGGTTTGGTGGTCCCCTTAATTATTTCCTGGACTTGCATCCTATTACCACCCTTGATAACTGGCTCATGAAGTTCATAAGTGGTGAATTCTAGGACACTTCCCATAAGGGGTGGTACTTATCTCATATTTGCTTCCGCTGTTGGGAAATTTGGAAGTTTCGCTGCAATGTAGTTCATAGGGACATTGTCCCTACTCCGTTTCATGTTATTAGAAGTGCATCAAGTCTTGCTGAGGGATTTGTTAGTGTTTCCTCCCTTGTATCAACATTGACGGTGCATCTGCCTCTACCCCCTCTTCCGCTGGTATGGGTGCTATTATTCATGACCATATGGGTGATTTCATTGTTGCTGACACTCAAGATTGTGTGTTATCTTTAGCTGTGGAAGTGGAAGCATCCACAGCTATTTTGGGTATTTCCCTTGCTCCATCTCTCAACCTTCCCAATGTGATCTTTGAGACTGATTGTCATGATCTTTTTTTAGCCTTAGTGGCAAGGTGTAATTGGAAGTTATATATTTTTTTGGATGACGACTCAGCTCTCTTTTCAATCAATTCTCATGGAACTAGATTTGTTGTGAAGCAAATTGTGTTGTTGATGCTGCGGCAAAGCTTGCTAAACGGAGGTTGTAATTTGCAATTGGTTCAATAGTCCCCCACTCTCTCTGTAATTGAGATGTTAAATATTAAACATTTAAATTTGATGGCTTAAGTGGCAATTTGATATATAATATAGTTTTACATTCCACCTTACATGTTAAATTAAAATATTATTTTATTACTTTCTAGGCATATTATTTGAAAAGAAATAATGAAATAGCATCATAAAGTCAAACAACCAAAAATAACTACAAGAGAAAGAAATGTTATTCTACTTAGGATTTAACATTTTTGTTGAAGTGAGTCTCAACTATATTTTCTACATGCTAAAATGTTACGTTGGATTTAACATCTTCCTTGGAGATGTTCTAAGAAATGACCTTAAGAGGTCATGGCCAACTTTCTAGATTACATGATATTTAGTATATATAGAGGTCTCCTTATTTTAGGAAGGGGTAAGGACCATGGTTGAAGTTATATTTTTCCAATTCCTCTTTAAAATTTGTTTAAAAATATAATTAGGGAGCTTATTGTAAATGCTCTTACCCCATAACGGACCTATGAAATTTTCTAAAGGTGGGCTGATATCTCTGGTTCTCTCGTGCTTTTAGGCTTTGGCTTTTTTTTTCTGTCTGTTGCTTGTTGCCTGGTTGGAAGCAATTGTTTTGTTTTGTGTTTTTCGCTGGGTTGTTTGGGCTTAGTGGACCGCCCTCTATTATCTTGGATTTCTTCTTAATAGATATTGTTTATATTATAATTGAAACAAAAAACAAAAAAACGATGTATGTGTGTGGAGTAGAGAAAATCATGGTTTGTATAGATAGTGAACTCTTATTGGACCCGTTGGTAAAACAATTAGCATCAAAACATGATTCGGCTAAGATGCACTTTATTCAAGCTGGAGCCATTGACATGGTCAAGGAAACGACCCAAGTGAAAATTCCTTGATGTGTGGGAGGGTAAAGCAAGATGGCTAAGAGGGATGGGCTGATTTCTAAATTACCTAAGTTGGGTTGCACCTCTAAGCCTATATTCAAAATCAGGATTGGGCTGGAGGTGTAGATCTGCCTTGCTCTTAGCAGGCCAACTATTTATTACTTGGGGAGGGACCAACATTATTTCAATATTTTTCTAATATTTGTTAAAGTAAAAAAATATTTTAAATTCACAATACCCGTATGATCAGCTTTAGATGCTAGCGAGGAGGCAACATGATTTTGAATTATATTTTGAAATATAACAAAAGGCATGAATATTAAGTTCCAATCCCCTTGCTTCTCCTCCAGGCTTCTGTCTTTATGCCAAAGAGGGAAAAAATAACAACTGTCAATATATATATATAGACATATTTGAATAGCCTTTGAAAAACCCTAAAATGCTAAATTAATCTAAAACAAATTGTAATCAAGGTAAAATAATAATAATGCATGATTCCATAGCAGTGTTGGAATGATGTCAAGAACTGCACAGCTTGTTCTCTCATGCAGAAAGTTCTCTCTATATAAGTTGTTGTGCAAATGAAGCTGGAAACTTAATTAATGGTTAGTAATTTTCCAACACAAGGCTCAAAAACAAGGATGAAAGTGGGTATTTTGGTTATACTTATGGCAGCATGCCAGCAGCAGCAACAGTACCTCTACGCACAGTAAAAGGTAGAGTATATTCAGTGGGAGAGAACTTTGGTTGGAGTGTACCTCCGGTACCAAACTTCTATACCAGTTGGGCTCACGCGCATTGACAACTTGCAATTCCATTACTATCTTGAGAGATCAGTAGTTGACTAGAAGAAGCGTTGGTAAAAGGTTAATGAGCTTTTCACGTTCTAATTTAGGCTGTACCCAACCTGTATAACAACAATATTATTCAAACTGCTAGCTTGGTTGTTAGCAATTTTTAATGACGGCACGACATATCTACATTTTCTAATTTTATTTTAATGTTTTATGGCTCAGTGATTTTAAAAACTTTTGTGAGGATGTTCGGGTCACGTGGTGTGAGATACAAATTTTCCATAATTTGTTGTTGATCGCAATTATACATACTTTGCATGCTAATTTACTTCATTAGCAGCCATGCGAGTTACCAATAGAGCTCTACTGATGCAATGCAAGGACCATAGAATGTGAGCATATATGCTGAAGTGTGAATGGTCATAAGTCAAAAGTTAGAGGTGCCCGGCATGCATAAGTGGTAAGTGGGAGAGCAGGACCACTACAACTCCCAAGAAGAACTTCATTCTCCTCTGGTTTTCTAGTTATATAGCTTCACTGAAAAAGGCAAACTGCAAAAGCGGATGTGCATGCCAACTACTTTGATTTTTTCGAATCTTAATCTTCCCCCAACCATGCACGCTTCACAACTTTATCAAGGCATCTTGCTCCACTTGTTTCTTGCTTATTTTCATGCCTAGTTGCCTAGTTGCCTACTACCCCATCTTAAAATTGTTTAACAAAAAGTTTCAACAATTATCATATATCATTTGTAGACTAAGTAGATGTTTATTTGGGGGATTTCAAGGGAGAAAAAAAGCTTAATTAACATACCCCTTGTTTGGATTATCTCCTTGTCTTGAAATCCTTAGTTACTAATCTAAGTTGTTTAATCTTGTTTAAAGTCTAATTGTACAATTAAAAAAAATATCATCCTTAAACTTATATTAGTAAACCAAAATTGTCAAGACAAGAGTAGGATCTCGTGTAATGCATTTATGAGATAAGTACTTTTACCTAAAAGCTTGAAACTTTTGAGTTGGATGTTTTCCTATCACTTATTCACGCTACTTATTACAATTACTTAAGCTTTTGTTACTCAACCATTAACCATCTTCAGCAACTTCGTGGCTTTTTCGTTTTCGGTGAGAGCAATTACTTGTGGCTTTTATTGCTTTAATTTTCATCTTTTGAAAGGGGAAACTAAAAAGCAAGAACCCCAACCGAAATTACTTTTGGTTTGGGAGACTTTATTTTTACTTTAGCATACTATTTCTTTTTAGCTTTCGACTTTCAATACGTATCTATTGTACGACAAATTTATATTGAAAATATGAGTAGGTATGTTTCTAGTTGCTGGATCAGGAATTTTAATCATTTTGTATTTACTTAAGTTCTCTTATCAATAAAATACTATGGCTCTTTATAAAAAAGTTTATGTTCACATTCAATATCTTACAGGTGGAGAGAAGGCAGATAAGCCAGCATTCAATTTACAAGTTGTTCGCACTCATTATCACTCCATTTATTTACTTCCTAAGTAACTCTTAATTAAATTCAATAAAGAAAAGGTGGCAGTTGAAAGCAGCGGCTAAACTTCTGAGAAATCAACAGATGGAAAGTCACATTTAATATCTACAGGTTTAAATTGACTCTAATTAGAGAAATGGTACATAAGTTGGTATTTAAAGTTGGTCTCCTTAGTATTTTTCCAAAATATTAAGCTTATGTAAGATCTGCAATATTGTTATGCCATGGTAAAAGTATTGCATGGTGTTTTAAATTTGGTATGATCTTAAAAGAGAATAGTTTCATCCGCCATTCCCCATGAGGGTTGGTGGCTTCCATCCTTCTCCTCCTCCCCTTCCCTCCCCTCCTTATCCTCCCACACCTCCCCTACCCTCTCCACCTCTACTCCTCGCTCATTGATCCCCTCTAGTCCTTCCCTCCTCTTGGCTACATTTTGTGGTTGCTTGGATGTTTTGGTGGCTGATTGGCTATCTTGGTGACGATGTGGTGTCAAATCGTCTTTTATTTACTTGTTGCATGTTTCTAGTCTCTATTTGTATTTGCTACTTGTGAGAGTTAAAAGGTTGTAGTTGCAATTGTAGTTTGGTGCATTGAGGTGATGTATATGTCTGGTTTTTCTAGGCCTGCAGGTTTTTTGCCGTAATTTCTTGGGCCATGTGTGGCAATGAGTAGAGGTATGCATGTTGCTGGTATTTGTAAAAACCCCTTGTGGTTATTGTGCTTTGTATTTGAAAAAACCCTTTTGTGGTTATTTGTATTGCTCTTTGTGACTGACGGCCTTTAAACCTGAATTATGAATGCAATCCATCGCATTTCTCTCCCAAAAAAAAATATTTTGTATGATTTTCTTCCATTATTTTTCTTTGACATACAGACCAGAAAACAAACTGAAAAAATGACCTTAGAACGTGATGTCCCAACTTTCTAGATTACAGGATATTTAGTATAAGAACAAGAGCAGGGTTTCATGAACTGTGGTATTTTGCTTTATTTATAATTAAATCAAGAATTCAACATTATGAACCAAGAAAACTGTGTATATATGTCTCTCCCGTTTGATCATCGTTCTTTACTACCATGCAGTTCTTCTGTAGGAATGAATTATAAATGCAGTAGTAAACAGAGATTAATAATGACAGTTATATAAGCTGTGTTCTTGAGCTCCACTATCTTACTCTCATATTATGCTTTGTCTTGATAAGATAAATACTTTTGTCAAACTGTAAATTTGGACCATACATTGAAATTGATCAATGGTTCAAATTCACAGTCTCACATTGCTAGACAATCTGAAGAAAAAGGTGAAAAGAAAAAAAAACACAGGGGAAACTTGATATTGCTTACAAGTATTACATAATCACAAATAGATATTGTTAACAAAACAAACCAAGTTCAAGGATTATGCTTCTGTGTATAGATGTAATCCACATGAGCTGCCAGAGTCCTTCTCATTAAGCACTCGTCCTCCCCAGCTCCTTCACAGCTCTCATCAACCTCTGTTTCAACACCCTACTCAACACCAAAAAAATAAAAATAAAACCCCACACATCAAACTCATAACCCTATAATGAAAATGTACAAATAAACTTTAAAAACATGAAAATTCCACAAACCTCAATTTGGGTTTTTGCAGAAAAAGCTGGTTCTGGTCTGGCTGCATAGACTAAAGTAGAGCAGAGGAGGACGGCTAGGAAGAAGAGGGCTTTAACTCGGGCCATTTCTGCTATTTGTTTTAATTTGTATTACACAAGGGCGAGATTGAATGAATTTATAGAAATGAGATAAGGACTAAGGAGATGACCTTTATTTATGGCCGTGTGAACTGGGGAAGGGAAGAGGCCGACTTTCTGTAGCCGATTCTGTTGGACCAAAATGTTTGTATTTAATAGGCCATATATATATAGAATATGACAATTAATAAACGGGACTTGTTTTTTTGTTTTTTGTTTTTTCCAATTTTTTTATTTTAATTTTTGTATTGTTCTACCCTATGACCAAATTAATAAATTGGCGTCGTTGATATCGCCGGGGATTTGATTTGCTTTGCATGTTGTTTGTAGACTGGCTTAAGACTTATATTTCAACAGCATGAAGAGGATTTTTTCGGTCCACTAAAAAAACAGAGACATAGAATCCAAAACTGATTCCGCGTTGGCCAGACAATAAACTAAATTAAAAATGAAGAAGGGGGAATATCACCAGCTAATGATGTCAGACTCCCAGCGACGTAATTAAGTTTTGTTTTGGTATGATTTTACAATTACAGTACTCAATTTCTAGAGGCACTTATTGGGTGATGCGGAGCATGTTTGGTTGATATTTAAATGCGAACAAATTTGATATTATGAAGGAAGTTGAGGATCCATCCCAAAACAAATTGACAATAGAGAAGTCGCCAAACTTCTTATAAGCTCATGCAACATGTAAAGTCTCTTAACATTCCGATCTAGGACTCTTCACTTCACATCTTCATACAACCATTCCACCTCCTGAGAATTTTTTTTTTTAAAAGTCACACAGACAACCAATTCGCATAAACCCTCTTTTCTTTTCGGCGATCAACTTTTCGTTTGGACCAGAGAAGTTAATATGGTACTCAGAATGTTCTTGAACCTTTTTAATTTGGTTGAGTATTCAAATCCAATTGACAGCCGTGTATTCTAGAACGCCCTAGCATTCATATTCCTTCGTTTTTCAGCTTTTGCTGAACCATGTTTTGAGTCACCATGACATGGGTATGGTGTATTATTTTTTTCTCTCTTTTTTTGTTCGTTCAGGACCAAGTATCACGACTTTTAGCATGGAAAAAAAAATTAAAAATTTGAGTGGCAAAATAACCGACCGACGTCAGAACCCTCAAATAGCTCAGATGAATTATCTGTAATGATAGATGTTGACTCAACTGTTTGTGATCTCTTCAAGGGTTGGCCCTTAGCTACAAACTGCTCAAAGTCAGAAGGAAAAATAGTGAAAATATGTACGATGATCTCATCGTAATATCCGAGCCCATTTCAAGTTCATGACCCCAATTAAGAATTCTTTGCTTCTTGAGTGGCATATATTTCCATTATCCCCCATTGGAAAGTTCTAAGCTTAAAATAATATTAAATTTATTCCATCACGGAAGATAAAGTAAGATTGATTCAATCTTATATATGCCATATATAGGAATCAAAAGTTTTCCTTCCATCCACACTTGTAGTCTAACAACCATCAATTAAACTGTGAACCCATCATCCATGACATAATCCGATGTGTGACACGTGCCGTACTACTTTGACAGAGGAAACAATCAAGGTTAATGAAAGTATAAGTTTGTTTTGTTTTTATACTGATTATTATTAACCGATATCCTTATTAATTAATATGTATGTATGTATGTATGTATGTATGTATGTATGTATGTATATGTTATGGCCTCGTGATGACATACCTTCTAGAAAAAGGATAAAAATATGAAATGAAACTATATATATAACATTGTGTATACGAACGTTGTTTTGGCGGCATGCAAAAATGAAATCACCTAATTTGTTGTTTTACTGTACGTAGTCATAAAAATAAGGTCGGCATCCAATGGAGAAGACAATTCTGTAGCCGTGTGGTTAAGCAAGAGAGCAGAAAATCTACACCTTATGTTTACTGAAATTGGACCAAATTAAGACAGTGACTATGAATAAAGCATATTAATTATTGCAGCTGGTAAGAGAAAGAATATTTGGACAATAGAGTAGGGGTTAAGGCATGCCTATATATGCTAGTGGTTTTGTGCGGCCGAAAGCCAGTGTTTGAACGAGTCAAAAGAGTTTCTAGTTGAAGTTCTTTCGGTTGGTAAAGTGAGCATTTGGTTAGACAAACTCCATATACTTCGTTGGAAATATTGACTGAGAATATATGGTTTGGAAAATTTTGAAGTGCATGAATCTTGGTGAGTACTAGAGGAATGTGAATAGAAAACTTAATGGTTCTTTAACTATAAAAATATCACATACTTGTATGATGTGTGAAATACTATGGATGGTTATAGTTTTGACAGAAATACAACTTTTATTCTTTAAAAGAGCAATTTTGTAGTTTTAGGTCAAAGGTTTTGATTTCATGGATGGTTTTATTTAAGTTGCAAATTTGCTAAACATATTGAGTCCAGAGTATATAGAATAGTAAAAAAATTTCAAACTTATTAAGAGTATTTTTAGGATTTTGAATGTTTTACCAAATTCTCGATCTCCTTTTGCATATATAGATTAATTTTTCGAGGAAACAAAACAGTACAATTTAATAGTTGATTCACTCAATTGTTGCAATGCATATGAGGTTGATAATTAATGAAGCAACAGACTATATATAGGTCATGATGAGATGAGACCAATCAAAGATATCCTAGTTAATTTTAACGAAAAATCATATTTAAATTACCTAGAAATACACATGTGAAATCTTGCTTCTGTCTTCAATTATTAGGTCGCCTTCCAATCAATCCTTATCCTTAGATGAATAGTGATCGTCTCTGGCACTGATACATATGTAATCAGTCACGACTTAACAGAAACAAAATTGTTTTTCCACAACTTTGCATGATTGTATTGGCCGACGCCGTGGGCTCCATGACAGAAACCATCATAATAAGAGCTTCCCCACCTCTGCTGAACTCGCACATATGAAACCAAAACAAGTTTTGACTACAGCATAAAAACACATGCAAAATTTGGCTCTTGGTCTGCAATACAAGCTGAGATCTTGCCATATGCAAGAGAAAATATGTGATTTAGTGTCCTTTTCCCAGTTGCCCTTTTTTCATTGCTTGCCTTAATCGATTTTCAAGCATGCATGGTTTTATTATAATTGTCTTTCACCTTCATGGACATGCCTTTCAAGCTTGCCATTGTCGGTGGAAATTAGCGAGCCTCAATTTTGTCTCATCAGCGCATTATGACATAGAGCTGCACCTAAAGTTTTTGGACTTGACAATACATACGTTCCATCGTTCGCTACAAAAAAGAGGTGCATAGTGAAAGTGCTGTGAGGAAACTGTGCAGTGCAATCAGCATGTAATAATTTAGAAGGGGAGATTTGAAAATGATTGCAAAACTATTACATATATATATGAAAAAAATTTATCGTGAATACGAAAATTAACTATACTATTTGCATATTAGATATTATAATTTGAGTAAATTCGTAATATCATACAATGTTACTGTCATGACATAAATTTTTCTTGAATAATTGGGGCTTGGATGGAAGACTGATCAACGACTGATTACCACTTATATGCAAAAGAGAGTCAAAGAGTAGAAATTGGTGCTTGTTTTTTAGTGTGAACAGAACATCAAATCAAACAAAAGAAAAATATGATTCTCAACTTATGCTTACAGACCTTTAATATAAAGTGCAGAGGATAATTATGGGGAAAGGGATTTTATTATGACAAAAGAAAAGAGGTCCTATCAGTTGTTGTGCCCCACACTCACATTGCATTAATCAATTGACCTCAAATCAAAGGGATGCGATACATGCTATAGGAATTTTATAAAGATAAATTTACCAGCACGACTTAGACTAACAACATGTACAATTAAACAATGAAAACTTTTTTTTAGTGTGGTCTTGTCTATTTTCAGTTTTGGTTTCTTCTTCGTTTGGGTGGAACCGGAAAATGGAGTGTCATTTACTCATGCCCTCTTTCTTCCATGTAAAACCAGACCAAGGGGTTGGACTTAAAAGAGAGTTTAGACCGACATAGAGGTGCAAACAATCTCTGTAACGGATAGTTCACGTCTAGTGGAATTACGTCAAGGATGACTCTCAATGTAAGCAAGCAATTGGAAATGGATAAGGAACTATTGGGTTAATTATTTTCGTGTATGTATGTTGGATGGCGTTTTAAAGAGCCAGAGAAGTGGGGTATTTGGCTTCATTTTATTGTGGAGACAGATTTGTGTGCGTACAAGGCCCTGGTGGGGGTAAATATTAAATATCTTAAGGAAAACGTCATTCTTGACATGTACGTTTTGAAGCTTTTCATTAGCCAACAAAAACTTGAAAGAAATCTTTTTTATGCGCACCTCCTAGTGTTGCAGGTTGAGTAAGTTAGGTGGGTTATGTTGACTTGATATTATATCACATCGAATGATTGAAGTCTTGTTTTACTAGTTTAAATGATTTTGAACCTCTATATTTATTATCAGTTGATTTTGAGTTGAATGTCCACGTTCTACTGTAATATAGGAGCATATTATCTACGTGTTAGACCCAACAGCAGTATATGTGTTGTTCATGTGTTAACTTGATAAATCTCACATGTGAGTGAAGGGTGTGCTGAGAGTATTATTCCAAACTGGAAATAGGAGTTTTACCATTCCAACCCTAGGTCATATCATGAATTTGTGTGTTTGTCGTAAGTTTGATTGAGTTGGGCTCGTCGCATAAGGACGAGTAGAAATAATTAGACCAGCTACAAGCCCAACGTGGTCTATTAAAAGTGGTCCAATAAGTAGTGCGGTATAAAACTTTTCCATACCATATGGCCTATATCAGTGAACTTCATTGAACAAGATTCATATCTGACATGTTTAAGAATTAAAAAGTATGTGGATTCCACGTTAAAATCTGTAATTCAATAAGCGAGAAACTACGAACTAGATTTATTAAAAGAGAGTCGTTGATCCTTTATCTATTCCTTCTCTCCTTAATCATCACTTGTCTGATTCAAAATTTCCTCATTTATAATTTGTACCTACAGTCCCGATTTCACTGCTGCTTTGATCCTTAAACTAATTTGTAGGCAAAGTATGGCTTCTAAACCCACAAGTGCTAAAACTAATGGTGCTCAGATTCCAGTGTAAATTCTCCAAGTTACTCCAAGATGAAGCCATCCTTTTCCTGATTCTCCTTTGCCATTTTATTCTCCATTTCAAGTTACTCCACATGCTGTTACCATTGTAATATTGAGCTTTCAGTTCAACGCAACTTTTTTAATTGTCCGTACAAAATCCATACAAAGAATGAAGAAACTTCTTCTTTATTCAAACTGCCATAAAAACCATATTATTAAATTCTCTCTCAACACTTTCTGCAGGTATGGCTAGCTACCATCCTCTTCATTCCCGATCAATGGATTCAATAAGCAATCCAAAAGGCTGCACCAACTTGTGCTATTTCAGAGGCTGTGCAGACGCCAATGCGGACGCCGAGCCCAAAGATATGACAGCATCACCAAACACAAGCTGTGGAGTTCCTCCCGTCTGCAAAAAGCTCGACGGATTGGCAGCCTGGCTTTTCCACTCCGTGGCAGAAGCTTTCTTTGCATCTCTTCTACGCTGCTCTTGCATTCACATCGACACAAAAGATGACCCTGATGATATTTCCTACATCCCTCTTAATAGGAGCCAGGAGGAGGAGGAGAAGGAGGATGGTGGCATTCAAATCTCAATAGCAACTGTGGTTTCTGAAAACTATTAATTCAGGAAGCGATGCATGACATAAATATGTAATTACAGTGTGTGATTACTAGGGGCAAATGTGCTTGTGTAATGCACGTGCCTTGCCTCATGCACTGTACAAATTGTTGTTTCTGGTTCACGTAGCCGTGTCATAAAATAAAAGATTATGTAAATGGCGTTTGATTAATTAATATATATTTTCTTATAATTGTAACTAGCCCCTTCACGGTTGTGCCAATTGGTTTTGTTTTTAATTATTTATTTTAGAATTAAGAAAAGATAAAATTGGTATTTATGTTCCATAAAAATAGGACCCATTATCTGATTTTGTTTTTTATTTTTTATTTTGTTAATAAGAAAAATATAAATAAACCACATTATCCTCAACTAATTGATAATTTTAATTTTTAATATTTACATTAACTAAGAATATTTTCTAGTATTTTGAATGTTTCTTTATTCTCTGTCTTTTGCTATATATAGATTATAGTTTGTGCCAGAAATCAAAGAGCAAAGTTTTGTAATTGAATTGCCTTTTTGAATCAGCCCAACACTGTGTGAATGATGGGTACGTACCCAAAGTTTGAACCATCTTAATTGTTGTAGCAGGGCTCATTATTAGGTGCATAAAACTTCATGTTGAGCATGTATAGCTGTACCACATATATAGTACCATTTTCAATATCCACAAACATTTTCTCAGTGATTTCAAAATCTTACTAATGCTTTTATGAAAAACTCATTATAGAGGGCAGTCTACTAGCAGCACAAGGGGAAATCAAATCACAAAAGAGAATCAGGAAAAGAATGGCTTTATCTTGGAGCTAATTGAGGATTTTGGCACTTTTTTGGTTTGGAAGCTATACTTTGCCCACAAATTAATTTAAGAATAAAAGTATAGCTAAAATTGCTTTAGCAAGCAACATTTGAAGGTTCTTGTGAAACAGATAGTCAGGCTTATATATTAAACTAACAATACAGGTGATTCTTTTGGGTTGTACCCTTATACATTGAAATTAGCATATTCCTTTACTCTTTGTTTGGATGGAGGAAAATAACTCAAGATTTAGCTAAAAGTCGGGAATTTAAGTGGAGAAATTGATATTTTCATGTTTGGCAACTTAAACAATGAACTTATTAAATTACGCACGGAAAAAAAAGGTAGAAATTGGGGATCAAGATTCCTGAGTTTAATTTCAGCCCAAAGATGCGTCATTTCACAATTTCTATTGAGCATGAATTCGTTTTTCATTGTAATTTCTGTCATTTATAAAATTCGACATACATAAATCCAAACACTAAAATGATTCATTCTCAGAAATTTAAACGATAAAGATCTAAATTCTGTCATTTAAGAATCTTGTGTAATTTTCAATTCATTCGTTCAAATAGGATTACCACTACAAATGACCAAATATTTCCAAATTAAGTGGGTTTGAACCCATTTCCAGGTGAGGCAAGGCAACCATCTTATCTGATGACAGATGATAAGGGCGCAAAGTACAGATATACATAAAAAGAAAAAATAAAGCAAAAGATCATTGAAAAGATAGTCTGAACACGACGCTTAAGTCTCCATTATTTCCATGCACATCTTTCCCTTTGAGGTCCCAACCCAGCTAAAACTTGAGCCGATCAATATTCCACAGCCGGCATGGTCCTATGCCTATGGTGTATGTATGTGGTCCTCAATCTTGTAATTAACTAGCTTTGAGATTTATGCATGTACGTACGTCAACTTGTAAAGTCTCATAGATAGCCACAAGATTCCATGGATACTTATCCGTGTGGTCGACAGGGTCAAGAGCCCAGCTTTGCCGCAGGCCATCAGGGCTCCCTCTATACAAAAGCAAAAGCAAACCCTTCAAACCTCCTTTTCCTTCACCACCAACAATATATTTCTTTTGATTTGTTTTTGGTACTTGACTACTTTTTCATCTCCCCCTCCAACTCCCACATGGATTGCTCTCGACTTTTCTTCTTTCTTGTGCCAAATATGTCCCAGCTTGGGAGCCCATGCACCGCCATAACAATACCAATTCTGGTAATTACTCTTTGACAGATTCTACCATACAAGTTCTTTTTCTTTTGCTTTGTATCATTCAATAACAAAATTGCCCAGAACATCTTCTTTTTAAAGGGGATCGTTGGTGCACTGAGGCCTACTACTCCCAACACTCGGAACTTTTTGAACAAACAACAAAAGTAATGTGATAAGTTATTTGGATTGATATAATTCACTAGAATTTTCCCCACCCAAAAACCTCGAGATCGACTCATGAATTTCTTTTCTTCATTGATTGATACAACAATAATTACCAGCATTCCATCAACGGAAAAATATAAGTGCCTAAACACGAATCTACATCTTCCACAGTAATTCGACAGCAACCCAATTAATTTCGTCTTGTATTATTCTGGGTGGCCCATAATCAAATTATGACAATGGCCCTGTCGCTATCTTTTTACAGTGTTCACCCCCTTTAAAGTTTAAACCATTGTGATTGTGGCCCCTCTTTACAGTTTACCCCCTCAACAAAAGAAACCATTTCCATTATTTTAAACCCACAGAGAAAAAGGCAAATGCGACGTCACTTCGTAGTGTTCGTCACTGGTTGGTTCTACTTCAACAGTAATCATTACAATATATTTTTTTATCAAATCAAGAATCTCAGCTTTGGCTAGCTCGAGCCGAGCTACACACTCGGCCCCACGCCATCAACCCTCGTACCCATTGGCTCCCCACGCGTTTTTCATACCGGTTCTTGGCACGTGTCCTTAGTGGATCCCAGCTAGTCTCTTTGTTTCTTCGCGAGTAAGCTTTAAAAACCAATCTTTTTCTGGGACCCACCAGGGCTATGTCACCTCCCCCAATGTCTCTCGAAAAAGCCAAGCTTGTAAAAGTAAAACATATGATATATAACCCACGGCCCACACTATAGTGCAACCTGACTCAAAAGCTGAGCTAGCATATACAGTTTTTGGACGAAAATGCCCTTGATCACCGAACAAAATTCCCCAATTGGCCACTCTGCTTGGGCAATAAATATGAGGCCCCAACGCTACGTTCCTTCCGTTTCCTCCTCCCCCCTCCCTCCCTATCTAAATTACAAGTTTAGAGAGTTTTTGTAGCAACCATGTTGTCTACTGTTCCAGCCATGCTTCCCTCCGACTCCCTTCTCCATTTCCCGGCTTTCGACGGGGGCTTCACGCCGTGGGATTGCTCGGAACTTCTTCCAGCAATTCAATCCCCAAAACCCACAATCTCAACCCCAAGTTCTGGTCCGGTCCAGTCTACAAAAACGGTCATTTCGAGTTCCGGTTCAGATGACGACCCAAATCGGTCGGTTCAACCGGACCGGATGAACCGAACCCATGCCAATGCGAAGTCATGCCCAAATGATGTCTCGAACCGGGCGGTTTCTGTGGTGGACGAGAGGAAGAGGAGGCGGATGATATCGAACCGGGAGTCGGCGAGGCGGTCTCGGATGCGAAAACAAAAGCACTTAGAAAACCTAAGGAACCAGGTGAACCGGCATAGGGTTGAGAACAGGGAACTGAAGAACCGGTTGAGTTACGTTTTGTACCATTTTCAGCGGGTTCGGACCGACAACGATAGGCTCCAATCCGAACACGTCCTGCTCCGACAGAAACTGTCGGAAATACGTCAAATTTTGGTTTACCGGCAACTACAGCACATGTCTTCTGCATGGCCATGCAACACCGTTATTCCGGAACAAACCCCATCATTAATTGCGTAATTTATTAGAATATGAATACTATTAAGAGAAAAAATAACCTCATTAATTTCGGAAAACAAGAACAAAGAGCTAGCTAGCCATGCACTTCTCTCTCCGTCTCAGTCTCAGTCTCTGTCTCTGTCTCTGTAAATTATATATAAAAGCTGCTAAAGTAAATGGTGGGGTGGTTCTCATGGTGTTTTTTGGGGAAAAAGAAAAGTGGGGTTTGGAAAATGATGGTTTTCGTGTGGAAAACCTTGGGGTTATTTTATAATTATATATTTTGTAAAAAAATTAGCCAATGTTTTGTTTATGGAAGCGTTTTGCAGTATGTTATGTATGTTGATGATGGTTTTATATTTCAATCTCCTCCTCCACTAGGACTACCACTCCACTTTCCTATATATTATTGTCGGTCTGCAAAACGCTGAAACTTGCGCCAATAATTTTTCCCATTTTATATCCCGCTAATTGGCATTCCCAACTTAAATTATACAACCTCTTTTTGGATCGTTGATATGCACGAGAGCACTCAACCTGAAAACGGGCCAAGAGGAAAATATCAAAATGCCCCCCCCCCATACTCATTATACATGTATGACAATGACATATATGCAAACCAATCTTGGTCTTACTCTCGCCACGCCACGGAATACATTACAATTTACATACGAATATTCTAAAGGGTTAATCTTGTCTTTCAATCTTATAGACCAATTCCTTTATTGCATGCTGAATGGAGATGCCAAAATCAATATTCAAGCAATGGTCTTATCTACTTTTCGAGGCACTTTCTTTCTTTTTAATAGATAAAAACGGATTAATTGCATTTATAATTCTGACACAAAGACCGTCAATTTCAGGAATCAATACACAAAAATTTAATCCAAATACAAAGGACTCCACACACACACACAAAGTTCATCACATTATTAATTTCAGACAAATGAGATCCACTTATGTAGGTCGATCTCACTTATGTGAAACCTATATGATTAAAAATATATTTGATCTTTTAAATACAGCACAAAGACTTTTATTGTTAAACATATGGGTATAGTGAAAGCACAACCAATGACCTAGCAAACTGTGTTCATGCAAGAATCTGAAGAGATATGTAGTGGTTAGGATATAAGATTTTTAAGAGTAATAACATCATACTAATGTAATTTACTATTTCTTATATATATATTAGTCAATAAGTACAAAGGGAAGCTTCTATTTGCACTTATAAAATTGTTTATTTCACCCACTAATTAATAAATAATTTATTATTAAAAAACCTCTCGAGTAAAATATGCCAAGACAAAAATATCAAAATAAATTTAAAATCATCATTATTGTGTAGAGAATAGATAGATAAAGTTAAAACATTTGCAAATAACTTGCACCAAAATAAATAAATAAAATTCACGGACAGGAGTCACCACATGTAGTGTAGGGATTTTGTCTAATTTCTAAATTCAGATTTAAATTCAAGCAAGTACATACCTTCGCTCTCTTTTCCTCTACTAGAATTGATTGGTTTTGGATTACGTGCAAAGAAGATGAGAGTTTGGTGTATAAAAATAAAGTGATTAATGACTAATTAATGTCATATTTAGAGGAAAAAGGGGGCCACAAGTTTTTCTTTAGCAAATATTTTATGAGAAAGAGGCCAGAAGTTGTGATCAATGATGTAATCCAATCAGTTTATAACAAAAAAGGGAGCCATCGTCACCCCAATATTTTAATTACCTTTCATTGATCCGTAAAAAGTATATGATTTATTTAATTAAAACAAGCACAGTAGATAACCCTCTAGCTCTTGTATAATTTTGTCTGTGTTTTTCTGGTGAGGCACAGCATGTGCTATTGATAGGACACTTCACTATATATATATGTGAAGTTGGGAACCGTTGGGGCTCGGTGAAATTCGTGCAAGTCAAGTGAAAAACTAGCAGGCCACTTCTGATTTTGGTTAAAATTTACCCCAAAGTGAATAATTGTGCATCGGATACTACATTAGATAACTATTATTATATCTTACACTTCAAAAGAGCAGCCCTAGCCGCAAGAATAGTAAGAAGAAAAAAAGCTTGACTGCAAGACCAAAAGGCCTAGGGCATTATGATATTCGGTTTACATTAGTGGTGTTAGGTATGGATTGGATCCCATCAAAAGAAGAAAGAAATCATCTTCAGAAAGCATGATCAATGCTTATGTTTTGTTCTTTAGACCAATACTGAAGCTGTCTCCCTGTCCGTCCCTGTCCCTTTCTTTCTTCACTTCTAAGTTTTAAACCCAAATATATATCATCCTCCATCGTAAAGAAAATGGACACGTGGAGCTCCTGCAGTCGTCGATGCCCATATTATATGAGCCTGTCACTCTCTGCCCACGCAGTTTATACAACATGAATGACTGTGTATGGTTCGATGTTTCTAGATCCTCTTAGATTATAAATGCATACAATTTTCACTTCACCCCCCTCTTGGATTTTAAAATTATTGCCATGGACGCTCCACAGCAATTTGCTTAAGTGGGCCCCAAGAACCCATGCAAGGTGGGGCCTGCTCCGCCTATCTCTCACAGTCCAAGTGGAAGTTTGATTTTGGTTGCTTGCTGAGGTAATTACTAAATAAATAAATAGCTCCAAAGTTGGGCATTCCACTTTGTCTTTGGGATTAACAATAATCATTGATTAAGTCCACTTGACCAGAACTCGTAAATTGATTTCTCTGTTGATTATGACGTGGCCTAAGAATGTCCTCTTTTCAGGTTTTGGAAAATGTTGGAAGATGGACGTTTTGTTTGGCAAGTAACAACTAACAACTCCAATGATTCAATTAGGCAAAGTATATACCGAAAGAGTAGTGTTAAACAATTTGTATAAAATCATTTTGGGTCCTCCCCGGTTCTAGGAACTTGGCTTTTGTAGTTCTCAACGACACTTTTATACCTGAGAAAGTTGTGGGCATTGGAATACTTTTTTCTTTTTTTTTGGGTGGAAGGTATTGGAATACTTTGCATACCAAGAAAGATTAGGTTTATCCCAATATGATCGTTATTAGGTATGGGAAATATTTTAGATATCAAAGAAAGTTTAGGTCTATCCCAATATGATCGGTATGGGTTTTTTTTTTTTTTTTTTTTTTTTTTTTGTGTGTGGTATATATTTTGTTGTTTTTAAAAATAATATAACTTTCTTAAACAATTAAAAAATGAGTCAGCAATGTATATAAATTAACACAATACTTTTACATGTCACTTGTAAATATGCACATATATCAAGTTAACAAAAACATTATTATTCATATCACATGTAAATATGTTCATACTATATCTGACTAACCCTCTTCGACAAGGACATCACAGGGGAATGGCACTTAGTCGAAGGCCTCTCTGACCTAAACCAAGCATTGGGAAATACGCTAGTCATCGGCAAGCCTCCCTTGCCGAACTGGATCAACAAAGGCACTTGACGTACCGCTCAAGCGTTAGGACACGTAGCAGCCTCTCATGCAACATCAATAGTCCCACATCGATATAATAGCCCAAAGTTCCTTCCAATTTTCCTCTATAAATAGGTTACTCGCCCCAATTCACCAGGTAATAGTAAATTGGCACTTGCATTGTTACTCTATCAATTTACCTTCAGACACGATACTTGTGCTAAATTAAGCATCGTAAAGCTTTCGGCCGGTGTCTAAGGTCTTCACCTTTGCTCTCTCCTTTTTAATATCTATTCCACACCTACCATGGTAGGACACCCCCGACCTAAGGCACGTTCACCTCTAAATTGAATCCATTTTTGGACATCAACAATGACCTTTCGAATTTTAATTAGCACTATCAATACTAAAAACTAAAGTACTAAACCCATTCAAATTCATCGACATCTAAATCTCAACGTAGATTTTGTTCAATTATTGTTTAATTTGCAATATGCAGTTCAATATTATATACATTAGAAAATATAGAATATTTACCTAATTTCTTATGAATGGAAACCGATCAAACCAAACAGGTCACTAAATTGAGTGGTTTAGTTCACATATGCAATTAATTTGGGGTTCAAACCAAATTGATCCAAACCATGATTCTTAAGTTTGTGTACATTTTGAGGCCAAAACCGGACCAAACCACAATGCATCCACATCCAAATATATGGATACCCCCTTAAATTCAAAGTCAATGATGACATTTATATATTTTTTTTCCAAAGAAGTTAAATTTTGAGCTAATGTGATAATTTTAAAAAATACAAACTTAAGACATGTTCATTATTTTATTACATTGCAAGAGATGATATTTTAAAACATTTAAAATGCGAGGTCACCCGTATAAACACTAGAATAATATTAATTATGTATACATATAAAATACTTTGAGTGCCCTGTTCAAGCTATGGTTGGGCATTCCTTGTACCATTTCCACTCAGAAATAAAAATTGATGTGCTTGACAAACTAGTATTTAAAAGATGAATACAATAGATACCTACAAGTCTACAATTACAACCTAATATTGTAGATTATAAAAAGTCTTTGTACCGCCAATGACCTTGTTTTCAATCAGAATCAAGTGCGTAACTCAAATGTACTTACCAAGAATCTAAGGAATTAGAATGAGTTTAGGAAATAATTACACCTCTACTTTATGACACCTCAAACTACTCGAAATATAAAATTGAAAACAAGGAGGAGGAGGATGTGCATCTTCTGCAAGATGAGAACGATGGTTTTGTTAGCATCCTGGTCAAAACCCTTTTTTGTGTTTTGTTTTTTTTGAGTAAATTAATGTACTGTTTCTATTCAGTTTTTGTTTTTGTTTTTTTAACTGAAAGTACAATCATGTTTTTTGACTGGTGTTTTGTTCAAGGTTTTACTTTTTCTTAAGTAGCGTAGATAGATGTAGCTAGTTACCTCCTAAGTCATAACTTTGCTCACTTTAATTTTTTTAAATTAACAAAAGATGGTTATAACTTTTCTCGGCATATTCATTCGTTCATTTTCAGGACAGCCAACATCTTCTCTTCTTCTTTTTTTGACGGAAAGGAACTTCATTAAGAGGCAAAGGCACGAACGAAAAAAAAAAAAAAAAAAAAAAAAAAAAAAAAAAAAAAAAAACCAAAGCACACACTCAGCCAAAGCAAGCAAGTGGAGAGGCTAACTTAGTTCAAAATATAGATAAGAACATTAGTTTTGTGGTCCTGGAAGACACCTAAGTTTCTCTTAAGTTTTGGAGACAAGTTCTGCGGTTCACAATTTTACTACTATGAATTATCAATTCGTATCATCAATGATGATATGGGCGGTGGAAAACATTATTTTCATTCTGGACCAAAAAACCAATCATTTCATTCTTGCACGTCAAATGATGTTCAATTCAGCCCCATCAAATGATGTTAGACTTATTAGTTGTGGACTCTCACAAATAATTGTATTTGGGAAAAAAAATAAAAAAATTTGAGACAAATATATAAGATACATTGAATGGGCTAGGAGAAAAGTAATTAACTCTTAATCACAATCAAATAAGTCAACTATACATTGACATTTGTGACTTTAGGGCTATGATTTTCATCAAACAACGCATAAAATAAAGGTAGGTTAAAAGTCATATGATCAACGGCCTGTATCAAGTATCCATAGAGGTTGGATAACAATAGAAGAGGCCTTGGTAGAAAAATTGCAAACCTTGTAGTCATCCATGAGACCACTCTCGAAAAGAAAAGAGGACCTCCTCCTCCCCCGCCTGCCCGCGTGCATTGATAATGGGACTAATGTCGAGCTCATGTGACCTAATATTATAGGGAGTCATCTTTTCTTGTAAGAGTGGTTGTACGGATAATGTGGTTAGACCGCCTTACTCAAGACTTTCTCAAATCTAACAGCCGCTCAAATTCTTAGAACTCACATTCTCAAAAGAAATGGGGACCCCCCTACATTGAGGAAAGGGGAGAACCAAGTTAAAGGCTAACTTGAGCTATAGCCTAGGGATACTTTTGGGTGGAAAACAAATCATACCTATATATCTCACATGTTTTAAATATGGCCCAATAGGTATTAATTTATTAAAGTCCATAAAAGACCAATTATCTTAAAATTTATTTGCATGAAAGTAATAAAAATACATAGTAAAATAGGTATACTTTCAATTTCGTTGTTAAACACATTTTCATTTTGATAATATCAGTTTTCTTGTTGCATTTAATATGTATTTGTTTTATGTTAAATTTCATTGGAAATTAGTCAATGCAGCTATGAATTAGTGTGGTTTATATGATTACTTTTATTTATAGAAAGGCCCAAAATAAGGGAGGGAGGTACGGTAAGTAAAAAAAAAAAAAAAAAAAAAAAAAAAAAAAAAAAAAAAAAAGTCCATTTAGATTATCCTAAAGACTTTAGCTAAAGTTCTACCCATTGAAAAATTCATAGTTCCGCCCTTGATTGAGGATGAGACTAATGTGGGGCTCATGAGACCTAATGCATGAAATAATCCTTTCTTGTAAGAGTGGTTATACGGATAATGTGGTTAGACCGCCTCACTCAAGACTTTCTCAAATCTAACAACCACTCATAATTCTTAGAATTCACCTTCTCAAAAGAATGGGGAAACACCCCCCACCCCCCACATTGAGGAAAGGGGCAAAACCAAGTTAAAGGCTAACTTGGGTATAGCCTAGGGATACTTTTGGGTGGAAAAAAGAAAAATCATACCTATATATTTCACTTGTTTTAAATATAACCCAATATGTATTAATCTATTAAAGTCCAAAAAAAAAACAAACAAACAAACAAACAAACCAATTCTCTTAAATTTAGTTGCATGAAAGTAATAAAAAATACATAGTAAAATATGTATACTTTCAATTTCGTTGTTAAACATATTTTCATTTTGATAATATTAGTTTTCTTGTTACATTTAATATATATTTGTTTCATGTTAAAATTTATTGAAAATTAGTTAATGGAGCTATGAATTAGTGTATGATTTAATAAATACTTTTATTTCTAGAAAGGCTATAAAAACTGTAAGTACAAAAAAAGGTTCATTAGATTTTACCCTAAAGACTTTAGCTTGCTCACCCGTTTGAAAAATTCCTAGTTCCACCCTTGAATAAGGATGAGACTAATGTGGGGTTCATGGGACCTAATGCAGGGAGTCATTCTTTCTTGTAAGAGTGGTCGTACATGTAATAACCCAAACCTAAAATTAATATTTAATTATTAATTTATTTGAGAAAAAGACTAAAATACCCCTAGAATATTTTATTAGTTTAAAAGTTGACTTTTTGATCGGGAAGGAATTTGAGGATTTCAGTTGTACTGTTGCGTAGAGCGCGACAAAACGAGTCCGTAGACATGTAGTGGACTCAAAACGGAGTTGTAATGAAGGAGTTACGAGCAAAAGAAGTTCAGTGGCATAACCGTAAATATCTCGAACTTCAATTTTTATAAACCCAGAATCTTCTGGATTCGGAGGGGAACGAGCCGACTTTCTGAGCTGATTCCTCTCAGCTCCGACCCCCGATTCAGGCAATACCAGTGCCAAATGAACCACGAAACTTCCCTCTTCCAACCCCAGCCCTTCGCCGCCACGATCCGCCGCCATAGTCGCTGGAAACAGCCACGAAACAGGGGGCGCTGGACAGTTTTTGACAGAACTTCCAAGCGTTCGTTCTCCGTCGTCCGGCCACCAAATCGGACGAGTGAGGTATGGTTTTCTAGCTATTTTTCATGCTCTAGCTGCTGGTTGGGTAGGATTTCAGAAATTTCTAGCGTAAATAGCTCGATTTACGAGTTAGGTTTCAGCCGGTTTTCGAGTCACTGTTCCGGCCATTTCCGGCCACTTTTTGGGGTAGGTCCAAGAACAAAAGTGGTTCCAAATAGGGTGTTTTACCTAGGATAGGAGTCTTGAACCGAGATGTTGAGATTTTCCGGCGAGGCGTTATCGCTTTAGGCACCACGCGCTGCCAGCGCGTGTGGCGGCGCGTGGGCAGCAGGGTGGGGACCACAGTCAGTCCTAGAGTGATCTCCTAGTCCTCACGAGCGCGTAGGATTTCGCGAATCTTAATTCGGATAACGTTTGAACCCCGAACGGATCTCGCCTAGTATGCGATTTCCGGGTTCTATACGTTTGAACCGTTGGATCGTAGTCAATTTCAAGTATGTTGATCTAGGTATTTCCAAGATCGTATAGTATTTGACGGATCGTAAAACGGAGTCCCGGATACTCCAGAAATGTCAGCCCTAGAGTATGTTTTACGGATAATTAAACCAGTTACAAAATAACGAACTAGTTGCAGGTCAAGAACAGAGGAAAGAACTACGTGTGGCTTGATCCCTCAGTAAGGGTACGTAGGCAGCCAACCGTTACCAGGCGCAGCCACGAGTTAGGGCCTTAGGGTTTGTGTTATTGTTTTTCAGAGCCTTTTGATCATTTAAGACCCACAGTTACCAGGTGTTAATTTTAAACAGGATTCGGCCCGGATTTCAAAGTGGAAATTGGGTCGGGTCGTTTCAGTACAAATAATATGGTTGGACCGCCTCACCCAAAACCTTCTCAAATCTATAACAGCTGCTCAAATTCTTAGAACTCACCTTTGTAGCTCCTCCAACATTTATTTTGGACTCATCAAACTCAAAACAAAACAAAAAATGACAGTGGCATTCACACATGAAGTGAATGTCCGCTTGGAGAAAGTTTTGCTGCCTTTTTTCTACCGTTGGTTCTCCAGCTGACACTTTGACATCTTGAGTAGAAATGGTCTAAGACATTTTTTTTTTGGAGTACAAGTGATAGTCTAAATTAGAGGAGATGGGGATTTCTCACATACGCACACACAAATGATATCATAGGGGTTTGAATCTGAGACCTCTTATTTACAAGTCCAGGCCCTTTTTCACTAGGTTAGACCCGATTGACGGTTTAAGACTTTTTTTTAGGATGAATATATGTGTCCCTTTCTTTTCTTATTTAAATTTAAAACTCAATACATTCATAGGAAAAAAGAATACATTCTCGGCTCCATACTTGTACTTGGCTACGAACTCTTTTAAAAGTATAAATGGAATATCATACCCTTCCTATATTCTTTGATTTCTTTGACTTGACATTGGATGAGAGTATTGTGTAGACTTTAACACAAAAATTAAATCAAATTTTAATAAGCAACTTGCATGTAGTGGTTGCTATAATCACTTCAATTCCAGTCATCGTTGATTAACCTATTACTATATATATATATATATATATATATATATATATATATAATGTTGGAAAGAATTTAGGGGATAGAAAACGCATTTTTAAAATCAATATCTGAATTTAAACCATCTATTCACGCATATGCAGAGTAACAATAGTCCTAATTCTTAATTAAAAAATATTAATAGTCTTAGTCCTAGTAGATTACCAAAACAATTAAAAATTATTAAACTCCTATAGGCAATTAGGCATGATTTTTTTAAAGTACAATGCAGCCTCTAAAATGAATTTCCCTCTGTTTAAAGTTTTCTAATTGAGGTTATGCTTTCAAAGACATCTTTTATATGAGATATTTATTCAAAAATCTTTTTTAACATGACATATTATACAAAAACTCATAGAGAGCCTATGTGGAGAGAAAAACCCAAAATCAGCCACTTGTCATTTTTTAATTGGTTCTTAATGTGTTAAAAAATTTATAAGAATCAATTAGAAAATAACAAGTGGCTAGTTCTAGGGTTTTTACTTCAATGAGACTCTATAAGGACTTTTATATATTATATCATGTTAAAATAGGTTTATCTGTGAAATCCTCCTTTTATATTTATAGCACCAATTTTACTCTTCTGAATTCGATTTTTTTAATGAATTTGACAAAACATTCCTCTCTTTTCCCACCTGTCGTTTCCCTCCACCTTGCCCCTGGTTGGAATGGCCATTATGTGCATAGCCATGGTGAGGAAAAGGAACAAATTTTCAGCTAAACCCTTTATAACCATAGTCTAAAATATCGATAATATCGACGAAATATCGAGGATATTATCTTTTTTTTGAATCACGGATATTTCGAAATGTATCCATGCATATATCGTATAAATATTGAGAATATCGACGATAATATCAGAAAATATTGACGTCTATAATTTCGCTTACACTTCAACAATATTTTGTTACAATATCGCTAAAATATCGAAAATATCGATGTAATGAGAAAGGAAAAAAAAAGAAGAAGGGAAAAATACACAAAGGGGATTCAAGGCGTTTCCTCTTGTAAAATTAGTCATCCTTGTTTTGCTTTGTATTGTGGCGTCCAAGTGGTAAGTTCTTTTTTCTTCTGAATATTGAGACATGGACAAGCAAGGAATGATGGACCTTACATTACTTTGACAAAGTTCACACATGTATATCACATGTATATCATTTGATGACTACTATTCACAATACACTTACTCTACACATAGAGATGATAAAGATAGTGAAAAATTTAAACCTCATAGAAACTCTATGTGATACTAAGCCACTTATGTATCTTACCATGCAATGTATAAAATGTAAAATATTGTAGTAAATTATTATATATAAATGATTGTGGTGTGTTTAATCTTTTTTCATTAATTACTACATATTTTCTACACTTACAATGTTTGTTAGCTCGCTATATAATCAACTTAAATTAGTTAAATCCATCAAACAATACATTTCCTTCCAATTTTTTGTGATAAACTAATAGATAATTGACTAAATAAGCATCCTCCAAAGTTTCAATAAAAATTTCCAAGTTTTTCTTACAATTTTCATGGTTTTTATTCAATTTTTATTGATATCGATAATATCCTAATCGTGTTTTTAAACTACTGATATTTCCGATATTACCGATATTTTAGACCTTGTTTATAACCAAAAAAGCTTTAAAATATAACAAAAAATAGAGAATGGAAAACTAGAAAAAATGGGCTTACAAGCCTGGCTAAAATTGTGCTTTACTCGTTAAGCATCTCACAGCAGTCCATTGGACATCTTCTATTAACGGATCTGTCTAAAGTTTATGTGCCCATGTCCCTAGTATTTTCAGTTATGGGCTTGGGGCCCCATTGTGAGGCTTACCATAATGTATTTTCGTGAGGATAATATTTAGCTGCACCTCTTTCTTCACTTGTCGTGATTAATGAATCTCCATCATAAACATATCATAATCGTAACCGTTTTTAAATCACCATTTAAAGATCATCTTTACAAAAAAATATCAACCAAATTGAAGGTAGTTCAGTCATTCATTTTCTAACACTTGCTAACATGAGTGTCAGAATGTCTCCTTATACGTTTCCCTCCCTCGTTACTTAATAATTAAGTTTTATTGATGACATTCGTTATCTCTAAATTATGCTTCAAGTGATTGTATATCACTAAAGTAAACTATTATCGCGTGAAGTTGAGATGCCCAATTCCACTCTGCGATTCGGCCCACAAAACACAGCCATAGTTTTAGGTTTGGATCAATCAATTTATGTTGGTAGATTAAATTCATGAATATGCTTTTTGCTAGCAATATAGCCGTAGCCCAATATATATCTGTCTTCTCTCCATTTTGTTTCTGTGAGCCCATATTTTTCAATCAAGGACAAGCCCATAGTAAATCTAGTCTTCGGATTTAGAGGATGAGGCCGTAGCTCAACGTGACGCGTGTATTAGAGAGGAGTATTATGGCATATACTTGGCTTGCTAACTGTGGAATTATTTATTTTTTTTTGTCGGAAGTGGATTTCATTAAAAACTCACAAAATGGCATAACAATACACTAAAAAGTGAGACACAACCAACTGAGCTCAACAACAAAGCGAAAATGCAAGAGGCCCAAATAAAATTCAAAAGAACAAACAATAAGTTTAAAACCCAAAAAGCATTAAGCCCACACAAGACCAAACCAAGGCCAAGAAAGCTAACAAACCTTAACCAAAATTCAACAGAGCCGCTGCAGCCACCACCTGAGATGACATCACCGAGACAAGTTGAGGGAAAGAGCTGCCACACCCAAGGGGCACAAAACGAAAAAATCGCACGACCCACAAATCCACCCAAATACCTTAAAATCTCACATATTACAAAGACACAGACAAGAAAAAAGAAGCCAGACACAAGAAGATCATCACCTCCCAAATCAAACATGACAAAGCACCATAACAAACACAAAAACCAAACAAACATCAACGTAGTAGAATGATGTGGTGCAAGTACTCGAGAAAGAGCAAAAGCTCGAACTCTACACATCTTCAGAGTTGTGCACGAGAAACCACGTTTTCGACTAGCCGAAGCAGCCACAAGATGAAGCCAGATCAAAAAGGAGGAGAAAATTTCGGTGGGAAGGACCAAGACCATAGATAAGGGATTTGAATGGAGTGTGTGAGGGAGATAAGAGGAAATTGATGGAGGAAAGGACAACTAAATACGAGGGATGAGAAATAAGGGGGGATCCGGGTAAATAAAGGAAGCCGAAGGCATAAAGCCTCAAAAGTTAAAGCAGAGCTCGAGCAGAACACCCACAAAGGGGAGAACAACACACCCGCAGAAGGGGAGAGCACAACACCCACAAAAAGGAAGAGCATAAACACCCACAAAGAAGGGGAGAAAACGGGCGAAGATCTCCACAAACCAGAGGAAAGAGGAGAAGGAGGGTACCTCCCACCCACACCCAACCCCCCCAACCCCCCCCCCCCCCCCCCCCCCCCCTCCCCACCCCGTCCGTGCGGATTCCCTCCTGCATTCCAGCTTGGTAGTTTTCCGCCGCCTTTCCAGGGTTGAGCCCTAGGATTTGACCGTAGAGTTTGTTACTAAAGCCCGAGTGTTTGACGAGAAAATTTCAAGTGTAAATTGATCGCATACAATTATATTATTATCATCCCCATTTTGTGATTAGTCACATGACTACCTAAATCTACCACTGAAATTAAGTTAGATTTTCATATTTATGACAGTTGTGTGATTTTAGACCCTTGAATAAAGATTCAGAGATTACAAATCTAACTAAATCATGAATCAAACAGCCAAATAAAGAGAAGTAAGGATGAAGAAAGTGATATAATCTTGGAGACTGAATCAAATCCCAATAATCACAAGATAGTGATAAAATCGAATCAACATTATGGTAATGTTAATAATTAGCAAAGGCGATTTATGGCCTAAGGGAAGAAAAATGTATGACAGGTTGTTGGAAAATAACCTCCATGACTAGACAGAATGCAAGAATCCTCGACAACTTTAATAAATGTTCGAGCAGCCTTTGCTGATAGGCTTTGCAAAGACCAAAGAACATGTGGTCTGAAAGAAGAAACATAAACTCAAACATAATGTTTGACAATATCCATAAAAGACTTGATCTATGAACACTAACATGTCGCTACAATTAGCGTAACCTAGCAATCAGAACAAAAGATTGAACAAAGAAGCAAGCAATTCAATCCATTATCTTCAGATCATGTAGCAAACCTAGGGCCATTTAAAGAAAAGAAGAAATCAAATTTGTAACCCATGACATTAGCATCGCTAATTAACCGTATATATTACAAAAGTTAAGAACATAAGACATATTGGCAGCTAATAATCTCTGGGAAAATCGACAGAAAAAAAACTCCTAAGTTAATTGTAACTACATCTTTTGTGGAAACAAAGAAACACCCATCATCAATTTTCATCTGGTTGAGCGACTTCCGTCTCTCGGAAGAGCAGGAAGCTGAGACAGCTTTACAAAATTATCCTCTCTCACATCACATGAATTCTTGCAAGAAAACATATTGAACCTGCTCTTCCTGACTTTACACCCAATTGCATCGGAACCTTTCTTATTATTCTCACTGCCAGGCAGCTTACCTGAATTATTATTCAAAGTGCTTGTAGTTTTGGTGCACTCTTTGTAAGCCATAAGAAAAGGGTCTGCTTCTACATGCCATCTAAACCCCTTCGTCGAACTACTTCTACTCGGAGCCTTCAATAATGGGCATGGAGGCAGAGGAATCTTTATCTCAGGATTGTTCACCAACTTTTTGGGGCTATCTCCAGAGTCTTCTTCTGCAGAGAGGCAATTAAGGGCACCAACCCCAAAATCTGTAGGGCAGTCTTGATTTGTGACCTTGGAGACGCCGGGCATGGCCTCCCATGAAAAAGGTACGCTCCCTTGTGAATGAACTTTTCTGTGGCTCATCTTTGGTGCTCTGTTTTCTTCTTTGGGGGCTTGTTTTGTTTTGAGAATTTGGATTTGGGGGGAGGGTTAAGGGGATCTTTTCATGTATTTGGCGATGTTTAACTGCAGAGACACCTAAAAGGGCAAGCAAGAATAACGTGAAGAGGAAGATGATTCGATTTTAAAAACGAATGCAAGATGAGATTATGATTATTATGGAAAGGAAAGAAAACCAGTTTGTTGTGGGGAGTTGAAGAGTGTGAGCGTGTGGTACGAAAAATAATGGGGTTTGCGTTGACGAATTCAATGGAGAATTATTGGGTTGGTAGAGTGGGATGGGGTATTCATTAATAACTTGTGTAGCAGTTTTCGGAAAGACTGCTATGTAGATAGATACAATCCTAAAACTATTAAAAGCTGCAGGCTGTAAGATCATATATTTCTCAATCCAAACAGGAGTTCCAAATCCTTATAGGATACGGTTAGTTAGATTGTGGATATCGGACAGTTAAATTTTAAGAAAACCTGAGATTTAACTCGGTGTATTTTCATTGAATCTTGAACAGGGAAAAGAAAGAAGAGTTAATTTCGAGCAAACGAAGTGAGCGGCTAGAATCAGGTAAGAACAACACAATCAATGATGTATCAAGGAGAATTTGGAGCAACTAGTTTTTGGTATAGTGATAGTTGTCTTCACTTGGTTGGAAAATGTCTCAAGTTATCTTCACGAGTTCGATATCTAGTTGTGACTAACTTAAATATAATAATGTAACTTTGTTGTTAACATTTTAGTCTGTTGTAAAAGTGTCCAAAAAAAATAAAAAAGAGAATTGGGAAGTTGCCAAATCTAAAACTAGTACAACATTAGGAAAGTTGTTGATCCATTGGACAAATTTTGCCTCAGATCCTGGTGTATGGTACACCTAGCACAGTGTGACTTTTCTTTACACAGTCAATTTTTAACTTAGACTTAGCTAACCGAAAACTAACGCACCAGCATATTTAGAGGCGGTTAAAAAGTTATAGTTTCCACCCAGTCCTAGTCGAAATCGAAAGCCAAAACAGAGTCAAATAGACACATGCACAGTAAATAGATAAGTAAGCAAGTTCCAATTCCCTTTTAATAATCATCACTTCAAAATCAGTACGAAACTAGAGCATGAACGTGTTGGATATTCTTTTGTATTCCATTGGGGAGTACCATAGTTGTGATTATCTTTTACTCTTATTGATAAGGGTGTATCGTAGCCGATATTATCTTTTGTGCTCCCATTAAAATCTGTATTATGTCTTATTTGAGTCTAAATATGAGTTTCAAGTGATTGGTTACATGTGTGGCTATTGTAATCGAGTCTTCTAACTTGTATCAATGATATTCCTATCATTTGATAGGAAAAAAAATAGGAACGTGTTTGATAAGTTTTACTAGTCTTTGTATAAGGTGGGTAGGCTTAGCTAGCTGATAGACCAAGAAAAGTATGCAGGCTTTGACATCAAATCCTTCATTATCAACCATGAAAGCGATCATTATGAACTTTCCAAGAACTACCCTACTTACTAATTATACTTGAGTAGAATTTTCTTACATGCAGAGTTCAGGGTTGGAGGGAAGACCACGACTAATAACCTAATAGAGGAATGGTTACAACAATGACATTAATTATTTTGGAGTCAAGTGTAAGGAATTGGAAGAGACTTCAGCCAATGAGAAATTAATTTTGGTATTTAATCACTGTTATGTGACATTATGGTCATTGTCTAATGAAGACATTTGAGATAACATGAATTTTCACAAACCAACCTTAGCAACTCCAGCCCAATCATCGTGCGGATCATCTGCAAGGAAAATTTTATCAATAAAGGAATACGAAAATAAGAACTCACGGGCTGTTGGCAATGTAAGCCCAGGAACACAGATCATGCACACCATTTTAAAGTTGTGGTTTTGGCCCAATTAGAATGTAAAGTGGAGATTCAGATCATGAATGGTGAATCTAGCAAGATATGGGATTCGCCGAATTCCTATTGGTACGACGGATCAACCTAATCGTGTAATCTGGCCTTGGTCCTCTTGTGGAAATTATATAGTTAAATCGGGGTACCATAATATTCATTTCTCGAGCTACATAAAGTCAATGTGAACAAAAAAATCATATTCATCGAAAACACAAAAAGAAAAACTTTTGCACACATGTCACACTGTTATTAATAGGAATGTAGAAGCTCATACTTACATGATAAAGAGGGAAGTATTTTTCATATCAATATATTTATACGATTTTGTGTATGAGTTTTAAATCATCAATAGTCTATATATTGATTTTTTAAAAACAGCAATAATTTTTGGGTTTATCTGTGAAATTAACAAATAATATAATACTAAAAAAACAAATACAAAATAAGAAATCAAAGCATGCTGTGCTGTGCCCATCTAAATTTAAGCCCAAGACAAAAGAAACAAGCATGTCAGTTTTAATTTGGGCCCAGTTGGTGGGTAAAAGCGAGGGATAGTAACGTCATTTTGAAATGTCTATATTAACAAGCCAATTCTCTCTCCCAAGTTCCCAACACTAGGGCTTCCCTTCGCACATACCACCAGAGCCACAGCCTCGCCGCCTCTCTATCTCTACTCCCGTCGCCCTGTAGAACGGTGTCGTTCCGATGGTTTGCAGCTTTCTCTTTCCCCGGCCATTGATTTTTACAAATTTCCACGACTTTATTTTATTTTATATTTTATTTTTTGGGTTTTGCAAATTGAAGAAGGCGATGAAGATGAAAACGTTTCTCGATTCTGAGTATATATTTATATATACATGGACCAACCATTGGCATAGTATTCGTATTATGTACGGATGCTTTGCTACTTGATGACAGTGTTTGTGCGTGTCTGAGCCTTCTCTGTTTTTATCGATCTATTTACTTTTCTCCTTCTGTTTTTAATTTTTTTTAAATTAAATTTGTGATAAGAATTATGGGGTTTTTGGGAATTAAAAGGTGAACTGGGTTTGGCTATGATTATAAACTAAGTCTGAATGCTTAGTTGTAATTTTGCAATTGGGTACTAGTATGACAGACTCCTATACACCCATAGAATATGAGCCCCCAATTCTCCAGTTGCTTCAATTCTACTGTTTGCCTCGATTTGGTTTGTGGATTTTGGGCCTAAGCCCAGTTTAAGTTTTTATTTTGTATTTTTTCAACCTCGTTAACCCAAATCTATAAGTAATATTTTTTCTGTGTCAAAATTAAATTCCGATCAGGCAGTTTTGTCGATTCGCCCAGATTGAAGGCGGCCGCTAGTACAAGCAAGGGCATTGTGTATAAAACAGAAGCACAAGTTGTTGTCTCGTACTGTTTTGGATGCGTTCATGCCAGTAAAGAGTGGCAGTTGTCACTGTGATGATATACCAATTGGGCAAAGTGCAGTATAGCACCAAGTGGGTGGTAATTCCCAATCATGGTGAATGAGAATGAATTTCCAGACAACATTATAAGAAATCATTGTAAAACTGCTCTCCACTGTAACTACATGTGGTATTTGTGCAAACCAAAAAATAATTTAATGGTAAAAAGTTAACTGTGATATTAAAATTTAATGGTAAATAGTTAACTGTGATACTATCGAAATTTAAATCAATTTACCTGTACAAGTTTGGCGTGTTGAGTTGTAACGGATTGAAAGGTCATTTTTAGGTTAGGTTAGTCGATCCGAATTTGACTAGAATCCTTCTATACTTACTCAAATCCGGTAAATTTTATGTTAATTTTGAGTCATGTTATCTTGTCGTGTTAAAAATTGCCATTCGTAATTAGCCTGTGGATAACACCAGTAAAGATGCTCCTTCAATGCCAGGTTGACAAGTGACCAAAATCGCCATCTGAAACACCCACTTGGATAAATCAATTTCAACTTGTATATGGCTATAAACCCAAAGGGTGGTCCATTGTTTGCCTTGGTCCCATCCCATCTCATCACAACATTATGTTTTATGACTCCTTGACTTCATGCATCCATGGTTTTAAGACTAGCCTGTCCAGAAAGCCGGACTAGGCTAGGGCCAAACATGTGCAAATCCGGGTCAGGCTCAGAGGTGGTAGGGACACCCTAAACCCTGGCCCATGGCCAATTGGTTTTAACTCTACACAAACCGAACACACTAGAGTGTTGGATGTTGGGTTGACAGCCCGCAAGAGTGCCTCTTGTCTCTAGGCCAGGGAGATTCCAAACCTAATTTACTATTTCTGATCACAATCATGCATATTTGCTGCTGTAAGTGCAAAATCCACCAGCTAGAGAGGAGGTTGGAAGAGGCTCTGTGACTCTGTCAAGAGGAGGGGGCCCTATAAAGAGACGGTCAATACACTTCAATGATCAATATGTGTTTCGGAAGGTATCTCTTATATTATGATGGTAGAAGTTTCACTACCATCATTGACCTGCTTTGTCCCCACTGTTTTCAGGGGCTAGACAGATCCTCCTCACTTGAAAATGTACATCTCACAATCCTGCAAAAGATATGCTCCCCTCTCACCCTACCAATAATGCAACTTTTTTTTATAGTTTTGAATGATCAGTTACACATATGGAACCCATAAATAAATGTTAGGCGATAAGGTGACATATTAACAAAGCATAGATTACTTATAAAATTCATAAAGAAAGAACTATGGATACCCACAAATCCACACCAGCCAAAGTGGCCAACACCTATGCAAATTAGGATCACCATGTCTCTAGTTTGTAAACCCGGGAAGAAGAAGAAGAAAATGACAAAAGGATAAGGAAACAAGAAAAGAGAGAAATTAAAAAAGATCACAAATGGTTATGCCAAGTTCATGTCTAGTCTCTCCTCCAGTTTGGAGCTTTGCCAATTTTACAGGGATGGAACTGAGGAACTTGCAAAGGTTGAACCTAGCACATCATCATATATGCTTGCACCATCAAGATTCTTCTTGTTCTCACCTCTTGGGCTGCTCCCTGAGCTACTGTTTGAAAGCGAACAAAAAGTTGACTTCTGCAAGACACCGGTTGGGGAGGATCCCAACTGAGGGCTGCCATCCCACCCTTCATTTAAGAGGTTAAGCGGCGATACTGAGTTATTGCACATCTTGCCACTGCTAGTGGTGTTGGTCAGGACCTCTCCTAAAGGACCGCCCATTGAATTTCCCCAAGGGATAGGTATCCAATTTGTCTTCTGGCTTGATTCACTATGCTCATTGCTCACTCCCAAATTCATTTGGGCTGGCTCAAACTCTCTGGATAGCCTCAATGGTGAGAGTGCACGTTTCTCTTGCGTGGGTGAGGAAGAGGACGATGAGAACTCCGAGGATGTCATAGGGATTGACATTGAGAGCTGAGTCCAGTCTGATTTTATTTCATCAGGCCAAGTACTGACCGAGTGACTGGACTGGTCCTTAGGCCAATCATCAATGAACTGCCGAAGCGGATGTTGGTCTTGGGCTTCCTGATCACTGAAATCTAGGAAAGAACCACCAAAGTCTTTAGAAATGTAAGAGTTCCTATGTGAAGGGTTGAGAAGTGAATCAGTAGAAACAAGTCCAAACTCTGATTGAGAAGATTCTTCCAGTGGGATTTCTTGTTTCGGCATGTTAAACCTCGAATCACTGGCTTTCGGCTTGATGGTAGAAGCAGACATCACAGAGAGGCCCCGAGGATCTTGCATCCTGCAACACACCTTCTCGTTGATTAGAAAATGTTTAAGAAAGTGCGCAAAGTAAAAGTAGATGAATAAACCAGGCATACCACTAAGAAATATGCACATAATTACATACAGTTTCAACGATAAAGGTCTTAATTCAATAATCCAAACTAGTAAGACTAGTCACCATCACCAAAGTAAAGATGGAATGATGGGGTCTACAATAAAGTAAAGGAAAAAGGTAGTGTGCATAACTGTTTGAAATCAAAATCATATTATAAAGCCTGGAAGGTCTAATGAGAACTAAAACAGATAAGGAAGCTCTAGTGCATCTAATTTTCACCTGTTGACAAAGGCATCTGCTGAAGGATTGGCAGCACCAGCAGGCTGCAAACTTTTGAACTGGTTCTGCATGGTTGCGACATTATTGGATGTGCCGCTGCTTGGCATCACCGGCGTTGACGTAGACGAAGTCATGGGCACCCCCTTTGAATTACTGGTCCCAGAGGCGGCCTGGCCAGGCTGGCCTTCCACAGGCTTTCTTGAACGATGGCGGCCCCTGTTTATGTGCCTTTCACAATACTTCTGGTCTGCAACAGCATCTCTTGAGCACCGCCATTTCTTCCCATCCGTTCGACGACACCTCCCAGGTTCGGGATCAGTGTTGCCAGAAAATCCCAGATGGTAAGAGCCCCACGCTACTGTATCAAAATAAAATCCCAACATATATATACATTGAAGAAAAGACAAATCAGACAAAAGGGTAAAACAAGAAGAACATGACTTCTGAATCAAACCCAGCATTACTTTATAATTGCAAACACTATCGTGGACAGAACTTTCTAACAAAGATAATCTGTTCAGCATAACAACATAAAATTGGAAATTCCATGCTCTGAACAGTAAACTGTACAAACAAATAGTATTTTAAGAATTTAAAAAACAGCAACTGCCTCATCAAATGTACAAAAAATTAAATTTCAACACAGATGTATTTCTAACTGAGATTATTGAGCATTTATAAAAGAAGCTTACATGAGTTGGGAGCTAAATTTCCTGTAGAACCCGACAAGCCATAAGGATAGAGGGATTTCTTGAGAGGTATCAGTAAATTAGATGGCACAGGCACATTTGAAGTCATGTACTTGTAGATCAAGGCCTGGTGCTCTAGCTCAATCCACTGAGACGGAGTAAATGGTCCTCTAACCCCAGCAAAAGGCCCATGCATGCTCGGATTTATGCTTCCAGAACCATAAGCTGAAACATGAGAAACACAATGACTTTGAAGCATAGTTACATTTAAAGGCCAAAATAAAAAATAAAAAATAAAAAAATAAAAAAATAAAAAAAACTGACCCAAACAAGTCTTATCTCCTAGTCCCAATATTTTTCTTTTTCCTTCACACCCTTTCCCCATTTGTTTCCATCAATCTTTGAACTGTTGAAGATGTTACCAAAAACCAAAGCAAAAATGGCAGTTTCTATGAGGGAGAAAATTCCACCTTTCTTTCTTGACAAGACCTCAAAACCGAAAATTTCTACTAAATGCCCTATGAAAAGACTGACCAACAATATTAGCAAAAACCCATCTGTGCACAAAAATGTGCCTAAAATTTCTGCTCTACATTCACATTTCCCCAAACCCCATCTCATAAAATCCATGACCAGCATTGACCAACCAACCCACCACCCAAATATAAAAAATTAAAAATTAAAAAGGACACATAAATGAAATTAGTACCTGCTGCATTCCTAGTATAAGCAGAGGGAGTGAGAGCTGGGGTGCGCTGGTAGTAGGCAAAGTCTGGGCCTTGGATGTTTCTCTCCAACATTCCATCTTTGCTGAGAAAAGTGACTTCTGATTTGTTGTTAGAAAAGCTGAGCATCTGCTCCTGTCTGTGAGTATCAGCAGGAAGCAGAGAATTAGATCTCAGCAGAGGAGTGCCCTGATATTGTAATGGCATTGTCTTGTGAGCAGGCAAGTCATCATTTTTGGGCATTTTTGAGGTCCTCCAGTCATCTTCAGCAGGCCAAGATCTTTGCTGCTTGACAGAGCCAGATCCATGAGGAACATTTGGAGCATGACCCTTTGGTTTGGTCTCAGGGTCTGAGGCCAGAGAATGACCTGCTCCTGTTGCTCCACCTTCAGGGCCCACCAAACCCTCCAAACCCATCACCCCAAAATCCATTCTGGACACTCCACCAATCTCCAGATATTGAGTTCATGAGCAGGAAGACCAAAACGAAGCTTCAAAGAGTTGGATGAGAGAGAAAGAGAGGCGCATCTTGAGGGTGGGTTTTTCTACTGCTGAGAGAGAGCTGATTTTTAAAAAGGAGTGGTCTTTGAGAAGTAAAAAAATAATAATAATTGGAGAGAGAGAGACAGAGAGAGAGAGAGATGAAACAGGGGAGCACACCGAGCTAGCTAGTACCAAACACACACTCCACTTCTGAGACATGCTAGCACAAGTTTATCCATGACTATTTAAAGTGGAAATATTTGTAATTTTTTTTTCTTATTATTATTATTATTTTTAAATAAATGCAAATAAAATTAATTTTACTACACTTGTTGGGAGCTGTATCTGTGTTTACACTGTTTAGAGTTGTAGATTTTGCATTTATTATAAACTTTTCCTTAAATGGATACTGGTAATAAATTTACTAAAATCTCCCTAAACCTCATTCCGGAAAGCACTAGGTACAGATGAACTTGAGTGCCATGCCAACTACAATTTAATTAGGATTTGGTTTGTCTGACTTCCTACCAATTATGCCTCTCCCTAAATTATTACCGTGATTCTCGTAACAATTTTATATGCATACAATATCTGAGTCTCAAGTTCGAGTTATTAATTTTCGGTGTATTTTTTGAGAGGCAAATTTCATTGCGGATGTTGTTGCTAACCTCGTACATAATTTCAACTCTTCTTATATTTGGTTTTCTATCTTACCTTTTTCCGTACCTTCTAAAGTTCTTTTTTATGTTAGGACTCTAGGAATCCCAAAGTGATTCTCCTCGTAGTTTTGTTTTTGCCTTAAAACCAATTATTAAAATTTCCTTAATTTGTGCATTATTAGTTAAAACTCTAAAATTTCAAAATCAACATGAACTTGGGTACGTGTTGTTGACATGATATCCTCAATTGTTTTTTCTTAATCATCACATACTGTTTAGTCCTTTGTTGGTTTTGTGGATGTGCTAAGTTTGTCGTCAATGGATCTAATATTGCATTGAAACATTTGTACTAGTACTAGCTAAAAATAAAGTCCTGAAGAAGATTGATGAGGTGCAAAATAAAAGATGCAGAAAACGTGGGAATATATACACAACAACCGTGTATATATAAGACAAGAATCGGCCCTCGTACTTCATTTTGGTGATAAAAGTTGATTGATACGTCTCTTCCCAGACAAATCTTCTATGCGTGTTAGCAATCGAAACTGCTTTGTATATATGATGGAAAATGTTTATAGTTGTAGAGTTTGACAGCATTGGTATGGTTTGCAAAACAGTTGTTGTATATACAAGTTTCATTGAAATAATTTCCCATTATTTTCATCGCAAGAGGGCTTAATAAAAGAAAAGGCTTGGCCTTGACTCTGAAAATTTTATTATGTAGTTTCATTATTATTTTATTAGCGTCATGTGAATTTCATTATCAAATTGAGGTTGTCAACGTACTATATCACGTTACGACAAATAAATACACTTGTTAAACAGCTTGGTATACCATAAAGAGCTATCTCCAATTAAAGAATTAGATAAAACTACTATGCCTCGAATGAAATTCCACGTCACCACGTGTGAGTCTCATATTTGTAAATTTCAAATAAAAAGTTTTTTTCTCTCAAAATTTTTTATTTTTATTTTTTGGTGTATTCCAAAGAGACAATAAAAAAGAGCTTTGAAAGAAAGTTTAAGAGGAAAAAGATGGGACAATGTTTTTCATGATTATATATATATATATATAATTTAAAATAAAAATAAAGAAGATAAATATGCTTAAAAATAAAAATCTAAGAGCATCTCCAACTAATGTGTCGAAAGTGCCACATAGACAATTAACGGCTATAAATAATATCTCACATCACTCTAACCGATGTGTCAAAGCTGATGTAGAATGAATGCTGGAGGTTGAGATGTTATTTTTGACATCCCAAAAGTAAGATGTCAAATGAATATTTTATTATTTTTAAAAGATAGTTGGCTGTTACTTTCATTTTGTTTCTTTTTCATTTTTTCTTCTTTATCTTAAATGATTTGATTGTTATAATAATTATTTATTTGACATATGGGTGGAGTATAAAACTGTGTAAATATCAAATTACCACATCAGCCATCAAATTTAAATTTGATGTTTGGTATTTGACATATCCTTTAAAAATGCTCTAAGCACTGTGATAACAAAATTAACCTTCGGTAATTAAAGCAACTTCTTTTCCTTCCAAAAGAAGACTCTCTCTCTCTCTCTATCCAAATCTATTACTTTTATTACAAAATCTTTATAAATAAATAATTGGACTCTCTCTCTCTCTCTCTCTCTCTCTCTCTCTCTCTCTCTCCAACTCATGTCACACTAATTGGGATTAAACTAACTTGTGGGTTAAAAGTGAAATGAGAAAGTAAAACCGTTTCTAGTAAGTCAAAGTCTCGTGTGGAAAAAACCTGTGCAAGTGGGAGTATGCATAAAGGAAGTCTAGGAGGGCATTGATGTCACTTCAAAGATTGATGTTTAAAAAATATATGTATTATATATATATATTTTTTTTTTTTTGTTGAGAGAAGTTGTGTTAGAGTTATCCCTTGGATTTTATGAAGGCTTTGTCGTTCTGTGCAACAGCACCAAGAGCCCGCTAGCGGGTTTCATGTTTGGGTCCGTCCTATCTGTGGCCGATGGCGTATGGTTGCATGTAAAAAACATGTTTGCCACGTGACCACCAAGATGCCTTCTTCACTAACCTCCTTTTTGCCACCTTCTCTTCTCTTCTATAAGCATCCGATATTATCCACGCATGGCCTCTATACCCATTTTGCTTTGTCTGTGTCTGTTAAATACTAATCACACTTATTTGAAACTCTTGTAAACAACTCTAAATCGTTGATCAAATTACTAATAATTATTATAAATAACTTTGAATTCTTTATTAAATTACCAACAATCATAGTACGGTACGTATAATAGCCGTTGCACACTCTTCCAACCCGGCCAAAAACATACCTAATAGGACTAGCCCTAGAGTAATGAACATATGTTATCTATTTGATCTTATCCTTTACTAACTAGAATCCAAATCCAATATTTATCCTTTTTAAAGTTTGGATGCAAATGCAAAAAGAGAACTTTTTTGCTACATGGATAAATGCAAATGTGGTGGATGCTTCCACCTCAATTCTGAAACCCAAACGTGTGTTGTGCATTCTCGTTGAAGACAAAGCCACAGAAGTCACAAAAACTGAGCCAATGCATGCCCTAGTTTTGACATGTCTCTAGCCTTGAATGTCTCTGCTCTGGTTTTGACAAGTTTTAGCCATGTATTAACTCGGGATCACCAAAGACAAATCTTCTTAACTGCATCCCAAAACCAAAAGGAACCCTGCATTTTGTTGGACAGCTGGTGCCCATGCAACAAAACGTTGCAAACTTAAATGCGATTAATTTTTGGTCAAGTCTTAAATGCAATTAATTAAATCAACCCAGATTAGATACAAACAAACCAAAGTGGGTCCATCGATTTCCAAAACCCTAACTAGAAGACAGCAATTAAAAACGTATTAAGCGGTGGCATAAATGCCGTTTTTAAGCTGAAAAATTTGTATATCACGAGAATATTATTATTTTGTTATCGCTATTCAATAACGTTCTACCATATAAAATTCTTATGACGCATGACAAAACGTAATTATTTGAAAACAACACAACAGTGTTTATACCCGTGGCTCTGTTCCTTGTTAAAAGACTCTCATAACTCATGAGGAGCATGTGTGGGTGGTAATTTTAGGAGGCTCTGCTCAGCGCAGAATAGAATAGAATAGGGTGAGAAACCAAAAAGTCACGGCGAAGACGAAAGAGATACGCTATCTCTTTTCCAAGTCGATGGTTTTTGTCTAGTTTGTCTTAAAGCTGTTATACGGATACTTTAGGTGCTGATGGGATCATAATTCCAACCATGTGGCCTACGTAATGTTTTTTCCTACCTTTGGTCCTATAATTCTATATATTCTACTCTATATTAGCTATGCATTAATATGTCTTTTTACGATGGAAGTGACTCGTCGACATAATGTTATAAATATCTCAAACAAACAGTAGCTCCTAATTAAAAGCATTGACCAATGGTGTAAACACACAGAAGACATAGAAGATGTTCGAGAAATTTTTTATTCTAAATCTAACCCAGTTGGTAGGTTTTTTTCTCTAAATTTAACTCAGCTAGCGAGATGTGGACTTCTTTCTCTAAATTTCACGACACAAGGACAATAAGGAAATTTCATGTATAAAATATTAATAAATGCATGACACGTGATTGATTTTGGGTTTTATTTCTTTCAGATTGGATTAATCCGAGTATCTTTATAATATTGATGGTACAATTTGGTATATGTATAAAAATCTCTTTATACAAAATGCATCGATGCTATTAGTAGTGAAACCATTCATTATATTGTGTATTTGATTTTGTCAAGTTTCCGATATGGATTCATAATCTTCAACAACGTTCACGTTAGGTTGTATTATTAATTCACGTTGTATAACAAGGATGAACAACGCAATTGATATGTCGCTATGGATTTAAGATATAATAATAATAAATAAATACATATGTTCTAACATGAACACATTTGTAACATAAGGTGACAATGTGATGATCAAATTGAAAAATTACTCGAAGATGTTGGCATTGATGTGTGTAGGTCTCAAAGTGAGTCACTCCAAATGTCTAAAATATCGATGGTATCGGAAATATTGGTAGTCCAAAAATAAGAAAATTTCGATGGAAATATCCATATATTATCTATATCGATAAAAATTGAATAAAAACGACGAAAATTGTAAGAAAAACTTGCAAATTTTTATTGAAACTTTGGATGATGTTTATTTAGTCAATTATCTATTAGTTTATCACAAAAATTTGGAAGGAAATGCATTGCATGATGGGTTTAACTGATTTAAGTTGATTATATAGCGAGCTGACAAACACTGTGAGTGTATAAAATATGTAGTAATTAATGAAAGAATATTAAGCACACCATAATCATTTATATATAATGATTTACTACAATATTTTACACTTTATACATTGCATGGTAATATATATGAGTGACTTAGTACCATATAGAGTTCCCGTTTGCATATTAAGATTATCAAAAAAACATAAGCAACGTAGTGGTTAAAGCGCTGGAGGAGTAAAATGGCAGGGGTTCGAATTCCCTTTGCGTGTTTACTTTGTTTTTTTTCTTTCTTTCATTTTTTCCATTACATCGATATTTTCGATATTATATAACGATATTTTGCAAAATATTGCTGAAGTGTGAGTGAAATTATCGACGTCGATATTTTCCGATATTATCAATATTTATACGATATGTGTATGGATACGTTCCGAAATATCTGTGACCCGAAAAAAACGATAATATCCTCAATATTATCGATACTTTAGAAGAGTCACACCAAAATGAATGAAAAATGAATCTTGAAATCCCAAATGGAAAATATAAAAACCCACAGGGTTCAACACATGGAAGACCTTAAAACTTTGAAAAGAACTGCGAAAAGCCACAGCCGAAAAAAATGTGCAGACAAAAACCGACGAAAACAAGGAACACAACCAAACAAAGAAACTTCGTGTTAGAACTACTATGTCAATTCATTATAAATACAACATCTCTTCGATCACAGCTGACAAGCTCTATATACAAGATTGAAGTAACACACGTAACACATGTGCTCGTACTCAAGAAACAAGCTCTATATATAAGTTCATATCCTAGCTTGTGCATATCCCATATCAGCCCTAATCAACCAAACCATGGAAGGCATCTTGTTCTACACATTCCTCTCCCTCATCTTCATCCTCTTCACCTTCAACTTCTTCCTTCGAAGAACATAACGACATCGTCCCAATCACAAAAACCTCCTACCAACCCCACCTTCTCTTCTTCTACTCCTTGGCCATCTCCATCTCCTCCATTCCATAGAACCTTCCACCGCCTCGCACAAAAATACGATGCCGTTTTCTCTCTCCATTTTGGGTCACACCACGTCCTTATATTCTCCTCCTCATCCACAGCCTAAGAGTGCTTCACCAGAAATGACACCGTCTTAGCTAACCGCCTTCGTTTGCTGCCCGAAAAGCACCTCCACTACAACTACACCACCCTATTGGCCTCCCCATATGGCGATCACTGGCGCAACCTCGGCCGCATTGGCGCCACCCACATCTACTCCTCCACCAAAATCAAAGCCTCATTCGATGTCCAAAATGATGATGTCAAACGGCTACTCTTCAAACTTTCGCAAAACTCATGCTCGTAAAGGTGGAGCTCAAGTCTGTGCTCGCTGAGCTCAATTTTAGCATCATAATGAGAATGGTGGCAGGAAATAGATACCATATGGAGGCGAAGCTTCGGACAACGAAGAGGCCAAGAAGTTTATAGAGATCATAAATGAGGGTTTTGCATTTGCTCATAATGGAGCAACACACCTTGAAAACTTCTTGCCTATTTTGAATTGGTTTAGTAAGGAGGGGTACGAGAAGAAGTTGGTGAGGATTGCTGAGAGGGTAGATAGGTATTTGCAAGGTTTAGTTGATGAACATCGAAGCAATTTGGAGGGTGGAATTCGAAATAGTACTATAATTGATTTGATCATATGCTTTGCTTGCAAAAGTCACAACCTGAGTATTACACTGACCAAATCATCAAAGGGCTTACACTGGTTAGTGTATTTAATTCATTTTTTTATAAAAAAATATTTATATGCACTTTTGTAAGATCAATATATTAATGGCTCTTACCAGATACCAAATGTTACATTCACGTTATTTTGGCCATAGTTTATCGAAATTGAGAAATACTCATCATATTTATCGACTATATATCGATAAATTATCAATAATATATAGGTATTCTATATTTATGCAATGCACCAAATATTGTAGATTTGTAACGTGAGTAACTGTCACTCTTCCCTTTATTATTCATTTTCTTTATCTATAGTACCAGGGGCGGAGCCACCTTTAGGCCAGAGGTGGCCCTGGCCCCTCCAATGTTTTCTAAGTTTTCACCAATCAAGGCAATGTATTGTAAAATATTAAAAGGATTTTGCATGTTTGAAGTTAATGGCCACCCTAATAAATTCATTTTGAGTAATAATGTGAAGTTATATTGGCTATTCTTTGCTGATTTTTATATCTTTCTCTTTTGGGTTTTAGTAAATACTGATTTCTTTAGTATAAAAAATACAAATAAATAGCTATACTTTGATAGATTTAGTTGGCAAATCTTAATTTTTATCATAACTAACCAAATAGGTTAAAAAAAGTTGATATAACAATAATTAAAATGGTTACAGAGCTTAACGTATTTCAAAATGAGTTTAATACCTGTTAATTTTTCTTCTGCAATCTATATTTTTTCTCTTCTTGCTCTAGATGTTTGGTACATGTTAATTTTTTGGCCCCCCGAAAGTTTGAATCCTGGCTCCGTCCCTGTATGGTACATATATGTGGTATGTACTATCTTGCATGGACCATATCCTTTCTTTTTTATTCTTAAACATGTTACTAACTTAGGAATTTTCATGAATAATTTTCAGATCTTGCTAATGGGTAGAACCGACACATCATCAATCACACTAGAATGGGCAATGTTTAATGTACTTAACCATCCGGACATCTTAAACAAGGCTAAAGTTGAAATGAATAATCTACCTGGCCATGGCCGAGAACAACGCTTAATGGATGAATCAGACATTTCCAAACTACCATATCTCCGAAGTATCATCTCTGAGACTCTCCAATTGTATCCACCAGGCCCATTGCTAGCACCACATTTTTCATCTGGGGACTACACCATCGGTGGATTCGATATAGCACGTAACACAATCTTATAGTCAATGTATGGGCCATACATAGGGACCTAAGCTGTGGGAAGATGCAAAAAGTTTCAAGCCAGAAAGGCTTGAGAGCAGCCAGAACATGTCGTATAAGCTTAATGACATTCGGGATGGGAAGAAGGACTTGTCCTGGGGCTGGGGCAGGCCCATCGTGTGATGGGTTTGGCTTTGGGGTCGTTGATTCAATGCTTAGAGTGGAAGAGAGTTTATGAAAATGAAGTTCATATGATTAAAGGCTTCCACCTGTGACATGGCAAAAGGTAAGTAAGGGCATGTATTATTCACGAACGTGAATAGTGCCAGCTCTAGCAATATTTTTTTTGCTTTTTTATCCATTGTCATGATAATTTAATGGCAAATACTATTCACATGGGATTAATTTTATTTTTATGTATGAGATTAATAATAATAAAAATTGCTAGGTATGTATAAGAAAAGATTCTGAATTTTTTTGGTAATTTTGCAGAATTTTTTTTAAAAAAAATTTCTTCGCATGCGTCAGTACTGATGTCAAAGCCCTTAGGCAACAGCTCAGACTGTTCTTGCCTTTGGGCCAGCCTAGTCTTCGTGGAGCCCACCGTCTGCTCGGACTGAATTTGTGCGATGAAGTGGGTTTCTTCAACCTGGGGGGCCTTTTGCCTAGACTAGGCTTTGTGGTTGAAATACTCTTAATCTATGGATAAACACTAGACAAGAAAAATAAAATCTAGGAATTCAAATAAAATGGCAAGAACATCCGAGAAAGGCTTATAGTTTTGTCTCCCGGGTTGCTTGGTAATGTTGTTTGTGTTTTTCTTATTTTAAGTTCTTATGAGAATTTTTCTATTTACTTGTTTTTGAGTTATTTGGTTGAATGCGACATGTTTGTCACCAAGACTCTCCTAGTGGTGAGAGTGAGAAGTTGTATTGATGATAATAGCTCCTTTGTAGCCTGGATGTTGGTCCTAAACCCTTCATTGTTATGGTTGATGTGTAATCAAAATTTCGTTTCTTCTTTTGTAGGAAATATTCCAATACTCGGTTTTTACGTTTTCTTAATTTAGCTCTTTTGGTTTCCGCACCCATTTACGTGCAGCTTTTTTGTGTGACGACTGTTTTGAAATGCTAATAACAACTCCCAAACTGGAGCTTCAGCCGGCCCGATCATAAATGGGCTAGAGTGACAGTATTAGCACGTAACATGTTTTGCAAAAACTATTCCCGCCACACAAATAGAAAAGAAAGAGAATCACGTTTGTCTTGGTAGTCGGTACTAGTCAATTGCCTCCCTCCCAGTCCCAGCTCCCACCACTAGTTTCTCTCGACCCACCGAATACCACACTCCCATTAGAGAATCAGCTCAGCTCCCTAGGATTCCTCGGATAGAGCCATGGCCCTAATCTCCGCGCAAATCCTAACCCTTAAATCCCCTTCAACCCCCTCTCTTCCTTCTCATTCATCTCTCATCGCCCCTTCCCAATCTCCCTCTTTCTCACCTCCTAACACTCCACACTCTCCCTCCCTCTTCTGCTCCCCAAAATCAACAACACAGTATAGCTCCAGACGACTTGTCGTTTCCCGAGCCTCCACCAACACGTCTGCTTTGGATTTCAGCCCCAGCATCGGTGAGGTCCTCGGTGACGTTAGCATTTTCACCGCTACTGGTGATTCCGTCCAGTTCAAAGACCTCTGGGATCTGAACGAGGTAGCTTTTCTACTTTTGCCCTCTCTCACTAAGTAAACTTTTATCAATTTCCATTTTTTGGTAATGATTTTTTTTCTTGCTTGTGATTTTAATTCCTTTCGGAGTGACCCTTTTGCGAATTTTATTTATTTGGATTGGAAAGATGCACTCTTGTATTGCGCCTGTGAGATTTCTGTGGTTGGATTTTGCTTTTAATTTTCATACAAAAAGGATGCATTTAGAAGGTAAAATGGAACAAAGCAAACCTCAGGTAGTGTAATGACACTTCTCAAACCACTAGGTAGCAATGCAATTGTAGAGGTACATGTACATATGTGTAATAATTATTATGGAGTCGTATATTTGCTTGATCTGATGTGGTGTATTAGTTTCTAAGTTGCTTCTTATTCAATTTGTTCCAGGGGGTGGCTGTTGTTGCACTATTGAGGCACTTTGGATGCCCTTGCTGGTAACTAGCCTCCAAACCAGTTTCTAGAATGGGTTTTATCTGAATTGCTGGATGTTCTTATGATGTGTTACTTCTTCTGCTTCTTCTTTTCAGTTGGGAACTTGCTTCGGCTCTAAAAGAATCTAAAGCTAGATTTGATTCAGCTGGTGTGAAACTAATTGCAGTTGGTGTTGGTAGTCCTGATAAAGCTCGTATACTTGCAGAAAGGGTATCTTATTTTTCCCATTTTTGCCACCACAATGTTTCTCAAGCTGCAGTACATAGACTTGTATTCCATGCTATCATCTTTTAGGGTCATATTTATACTTTGAATGCTTGTATAGCAAGTATCAAAATCAGATATCGCATGACAAGAAAATGGGGATGTGTTAAATGGAATACGGTTTTATAGGATATGTCTCAGGAACATGCTAGTGGGCATACGTCCAGTAGACATGTTGGATTAAGGAATGAGATAATAATATTTTTAGCTAATAGTTCCAATCCTTTTGGCTGATACATGAACATCTCAAAATAAGTGGTGAACATATATGTTATGTTAAGTATGTTAGTTCTCTCACCATCAAATCGAAAGCCATTTGACAGTAACAACTCATGCAGGGTCTCGTTTATGGGCCACAAATAAAGCCAAACGTTTTTACACATATTTTCAACCATCATATTTTTATCTAAAGGTTGGAAGTGTGCCTGACAAAAAATTCCTTTATATAATATTTTTTTGGGAACAATGTTTGCACTGTAAAAGATTCTTGTGTTGTCTCTTTATACTTTAACTGTTTCAAACTCTCTTCCTCTCCCTCCCACTATATTCTCCAAATCAAATGTTGACCATTCAACCTCCTGGAGAGGAGAGAAACTCTCATGCAATGGGGATAGCACAACACTTTTGGCTATCCCCGGCCAATAACGCAATGACATGTAGGATAACTTTTCCACGTGTCATTGTGTTATTGGTCGGGGATAGCAAAACAGTGCTATCCCCGTTATAGGTAAGTTTTTTTGCCTAGAGAGGGAGAGTGAATGTTGAGAGAGATGACAGGAAACAATACTCGTGAAATGTGCAGTTAATGTTCCCAATAAAATGATAATTGTCTTTTATTTTTCTTTCTTTTTTGGTGTTGGATGCATTCTCAACTCTTGGATGAGTAAATTTCATATTTTAAAGGTTGAAGATGTGTGTCAAAATATGTAGTTTCATTTGTGTCCGTTGAACCAAACCCTTCTAGTTATGTCAATTAATACTGGTTCAGAAAATTGAATCTTTGTAAATGCAGCTATGCCGTTATCTAATAAACAGTCGATTGGGAGCGTATGAGCCTTCAATGACTCTTAAGCTGTATTAAGCCTTGGAGAGTTGAGACTTGTATGACACAATCTAATATGCCAGTAAAATTGTAATGAGCCATACATTGGTTTCTTGACTCTCTTGGTCTAAAGCATGCAATCACATATGGCCAGCTACTATCATGTCATGTGACTTGTTTATTTAAGACACAGATCAGTTGATGATATATTAACATGATTGAATGATTTGATCACTTGATTTTCTTTATATGTTTGAAGGTTCCAAATGTAAGGAACCATTGGACAAAAAGAAATAAACATCATTTGGTGAAGTCTCTCATTCACACATTCAATCTTACAACGGTCCTACTTTTAAATAAGCATGCCATGTGACATGATAGTGGTTGATCATACTTGTTTGTATGCTTTCGAATTGGAGAAAGCTATTTCCAGCTACTTGGACCAAATTGTGTCATTTCTAGATTGCTTGTGTCCTTAGCTATTTTAAGTAACAGGTACTAGAATCCCCATGTTGAGAACACTGGAGTTTGGCATAAGTAATAGGTCATGTATTGCTGTAATGAAGTTCCTATGACATTATTTGCTGAGAAAATTGGCTGCTCAAGTTATAGCTGAATGTGTGATCATCTTCTTTTTTTCAATTGAGTTAAAGACATGATGACACTTGAATAAGTTTATACAACATAAAGTCCTCTAATTCTCCTTAAATGTTCAGATCTGTCATTGCAATTTCTTTATTATATATTTGTATCTGGAGCTGATTCTTTTCCCCGTGCTGTCCTATGTTCAGTTACCATTTCCAATGGATAGCCTTTATGCTGATCCTGATCGCAAGGTAATAAATTTTATATATATATATTTTTTTTGGCCTGATCACAAGGTAATAAATGTTCTACATTAGATGTCTTTAATTGGCGAATCTCTTATTCTGGTGATTATAACTCTGACTTCCTCTTCTGTAATAGGCATACGATGTGTTGGGGTTATACTTTGGACTTGGTCGAACTTTCTTCAATCCAGCTAGTGTATGTTCCCTTCCTTTTTTCTGCTTATTATCTTTCAAGGACAATATTTTTTATGATTTGCATGTATTTTTGGAAAACTATGATACGACAGGCAAAGGTGTTTTCAAGATTTGAGGCTCTGCAGAAAGCTGTAAAAAACTATACCATTGAAGCCACTCCAGATGACAGAAGTAGTGTGTTACAACAGGTTTGAACATTGATCTTTCTCTCCAGTAACGTAGGAGTTGTATTAAAGTATACAACTTGGTCGTGCATTTAGTCCCCACTTATTTTTCTGAATCTTTTACTCTTCCTGTTTTTATTATAAACCAGGGAGGGATGTTTGTCTTTAAAGGTAAGCAATTGTTGTATGCTCGGAAAGACGAAGGGACGGGTGATCATGCCCCATTAGATGATGTCTTGGATGTTTGCTGCAAAGTTCCTGTCTCCTAAAGCTTTGTCACGCATAGGTTTTTCAGTTACGGAGCATGTGTTCAAATTTTACCCAGTTGAGTGTGCATAAGAAATGCTCTCGTTTCATATTTCATATGTCATTGTATAATACAGATTAGCATACACCAGAAAGAAAAGAAAAAGAAAAAAAAACAATGTATTGTTGTATATAATGGTAACATGATGTTTTGTGAACCTTTTCCTCATTCGAGTTTACTCTTTACCTACATATGCTCATCATACTTCTAAACACGATGATTGATTGAACAAATTTGAAGAAACTTATAGAAAGAACACAGATTTAACTTTGAGAGGAAAATTTCTTTGGTATTAGGTGAATTGTTTTTAAAGTATTGATGAAAGAAGGCAAAGATGGCTTTATGGATGAAAATAACTCGGTGGCTGATGGATTGCTTACTGGTGAGGAGGTTGTTGCTGATGGTTTAATTTTTGAGGTGGGCTTGATTCACAGTCAGGCCCAGATTTGTTTGTGTTCAGTTTGTCTAGGAAAATGAGTGAGTAAATCACGAGAATTACGGCTCCCTTGGACAAATTCGTTTTTTCGAGTAGTTCAACACCATATTGGTTTAGGTTTAGGGAGTCAAAACCATATGCGTCGTATGTATGTCGAAACATCCTCAAAGTAGGAATTCCCTTTAATAAAAAGGAACCAAATAAAAAAAAAAGGCATAAAAAAAAAAAAAAAAAAAAAAAAAAAAAAAAAAAAAAAAAATAGAAGAGTAAAGTGGGTCCTAAAATTACCTAAAACTGCAAGAATCCTAATGTTACTGAATCTCCCTTTTCTATTGGGAAACATCCTCAAAGTAGGAATTCCTTCCTACCTATTAGTTTGATTACACTATAAATTCTACTTTCCTCCACAAAGAAGTGAGCACTCTAAACACAACTATCACTTCAGTCTTATTATTTTGTCGAGTTATTTTTGTTTGAGCGAACATAACTCTATCAAGTCCTACTTCACTTTATTTTTTCTTTTTCTTTTTCTTTTGAGAACTTTGTGAGGGTTGTAGGTTTTGATCACCATGGACTTACCTGAGCCTGGAAAGTTGTTCGTGGCTAGACTACCAAAGACGATTAATGAAACCAGCATAAAAGAACACTTCAACAAATATGGTGAAGTAAAGGACTGTGTGATTGTTGTGGACAAAGTTACTCGAAGGGCAAAAGGGTTTGCCTTTGTTACCTTCATTGACCCATGCGTGGCTAAGAAAGCATTGGAAGTAGAGCACTACATCTTCGGAAGAAAGGTTGGTTCCAAATTCCTTCCTCTTCTTTTATTTTTTTTCGGGTATTTAATTTGTATATGATAGGTGTTATTTTGAAATTTTTTTGAGTCTTTAACAACACTAGAAAAATTTACACTGAACTTATTACAAAATTTTCATTAATTTTGACTCGTCATAAAGTTGCTAATTAAAATTAAAATAACATTAAAAAAGAAAACGAAAAACAAAACATAAAAAACAATTTCAATTCCCGATCCTCACCTCCTCCTCCGTTGAACCTAGCCCCCTCTCCTCCTCCACCGCCCCCCTCTCTCTCTCTTTGTCTGTCTATGTCTCTCTTTAGATGAAAACCCACCCCTATCTGCCCCAAATTTGGAACCCAACTTCAAAAGTCATTCAGATTAATTAACAACCCCATGGCCTAGCCATTCAGATTAATCCCAACCCGAAAAGAACCCCAACTGCATCATCAACGCCGCGTTCGCAGGCGTCGCCACGCCACAAGCGGCGAAATGCACCACCGGAAGCCTCCCAAGCTGCTTCGTCTGCTTCATAAGATCGTACGGCGCCGCTATTCTCTTCCCAAACGTGAACACCTCGTTGTTTTGCAAAACGTTAATGTACCCCATCACGTGCCTAGAGTAGCTGGGTGGTGGTTTGGGTGGCTGGACTAGCTGGGTTGGTTGGGTCCGTGTGGGAGGGGGCAGTCGTGCTTTGGGGGGGTGCTGAAAGGAAGGAGAGTTTGGGGAGAGAGATTGTTTTGCTTTTAATTTTTTATTATTTTAAAATTATTTTACTTAGTTTTAATTTGGGTATGGGATTCTAAATTGTGATCATGCAGTTAGATGTGAAACCTGCTTTACCAAAGAGAGAGAAACTCCAGAACCAAGAGGACGAGCAAGCTAAAGCATTCTTCAAGACCAAGAAGATTTTTGTGGGAGGATTACCACAGAATCTGACACAAGAAGAATTCAAGAGCTACTTTGAGAAGTTTGGTACAATCATAAATGGGGTTATAATATATATCAAGGAAAGCGGCAAGTCCAGGGGCTTCGGCTTTATCACTTTTGATTCAGAGGAGGCTGTGGATGAAGTCACCAAGGAAACCTATCATGAACTGAATGATAAATTTGTGGAGGTGAAGAGGGCTTGGCCTAAGCACAAGAATGACAACATGATCCACACGTTTGACTGCACTGAAGTAGGGTTTAATTTTGGAGGGTCACAGTGTGATTATTATAGCAATTTTATGCTCTATGGCGCTCATTGCTTTAGTTGCTTACTTCCTTATGGATTTGGGCACCACGAAGGGTGTTTGTATTATGGTCAAAGCACAGCTGGTTATATCACATGGCAGCCAAAGAAAGTTCCTACAAACTTTGGAATGGAGAAGACAATGCAGACTCATGCATGCCCCTATGAGAATTCAGTCTAATTTTTGCACGTCACATGGATTCCTTGTTGTATTTTCAAATAAATTCACATTGATTGGTGACATCGAAATATTGTGGTACTCTGATTATGTTTTTTTATATATATGATGTTGTGTTTTTTATTCAAAAAGTTCTGGTTTAGCTGAGATGGAAGGTCTGGTAGTATGCTCCTTGGAGCTGCAACAAGGCAGAGGCTGCTCATGAGGTAGCCTCCTCATATGTTTCTCTGTTTGGAGGGCGGCACAACTGGGACTAATGGGTCCATCTCCATTAGTATCATTTGGGGCCAAAACCCGTGCGGGGTAAGACATAAATTGGTTGCTCCAATTGAAATGGCCCAAATTCCTTTCCTTTTAACTTTTCTCATCGCGGATTTAACGGCCCGCCTAGCTTATAACTTTAGTTGTTGGGTTGTCCGCGCGGGGGGTGCTAATGGGTCTTGCAAAGTATTAAACGGATCAGAGACCTCTAACCCAAATAAATGTGTCATAGATCTTTAACTTAAACACAATTGACGGGGAATCGAACTTAGAACTTCATGTTTAACTCATTTGACCACCTCAAGCCATGTAAACAAACCAAAAGGCCATCGTCAAAGAAATAAGGTGATGCCTAGCAAACATGTACACCAATTGAAATTGTTCTTTATACTTTTGAAATACATATTTCTTTTCATTTTGGTATTATATTTCCTTGTAAAAGGACATCTTTTCTTGTATATATACGTGAAAAACGAGACTTAGTTGAAACCGGGTGTATACCCATTTGCATCTATTTTTCTCCTCACGTGTAGTTGCAATAGGGCTGTTGCATCAATCTCCCTCGTCTTCAATAGTTGCCCTTCTTTCTCAATACATTTACATTCGATCTAAGTCAGACACCTCTTTTTGCATCCCAACAAAATTGCCCATACACCATAACACCAACACCTCCTCTAGTGTCCTTCATTCATTCCTCGTCTTGCCATGAACAAAAAGCAAAAGTGGGAACTAAGATTAACCCTCATTCTTCAAAGGGCCTTGTTTGTAGCAGACATGAAAGGAACCTCTAGTCTCTAGTGCCCAAAGTGATCTAGTTTTGGATTTTTCTTTAGAGAAAAACCCCACCAACCATCCCAATAAATTTAAATTCATACATTTCCAACAGAGCTTTCTCTGTTTGTACCCTTTTTCAGACAATATAGGGGTCGTAGGAATGTGAGAATTCTGGTGATTCAATTGTAAATGGCTTTTAAATAAGTTAATGGAAAGATGGGTTTGCCCCATTGCTCACTTTCCTTCTAAAATCTAGGGTTTTTCCTCTCTTATTGGTAAATGAAAAAAAATCTAATTGGGTCAGTGGGTCACCTCCTAAAGTCTTAATCAGGGCTATAAGATCGATATAGTCTTGTAGAGTAGTCTCAGCCTTTTTCCCTCCCACATCTAGCAGAAGAATAAATCTATAGGCGGATATAATTGGAAAACATATTTAATGACAATATGAAAGAAATTCATAGCAGCAGCAGCTATAGATGTTGCAGTTATAGAAGTAGCTGTAGAGAGAGAATCTTAATTTTTGAATGTGACATGACAAAGTTTTCTCTCAGAGAGAGAGAGAGAGAGCCAATTGAAAGAGAGTAAAGGGTGTTTGGAGTTTGCAGAGAAATGGCATTGGTTAATGGAGGAGGGGACACTTTTAATGGTGAGAAGGGTATTGTCTTGCTCTCAAAAAGAAAAGGGAGCAGAGGCCTTTTAGTCCCCATGCATTGGTACAGTGCAGCGCCAACAGGGCTCTCTAGTCGCTCTCACTTCGGTTGCTATCCATATTATACTTTTTATTTTTAACCTTGCCTCCTGGCAATTTCTGCAATCTTGTTTAGATTTTGTTTGTGTTTCACATTTCCAAGTGAAATACCACAACCACCCTTTCCTCAGTTAAGTGCATATCACTTCCATTACTCTTACCAACAAGGAACCAAAAAATAGTTTACGATTGTTGGTTCAGATTAAAGAAGTTTTGTGCATTCCAAAAGAGAAACAAAAAAATTGATGAATATGGCTATAAAATTGGAGAGGAAGATACTTAGAGAGTCTAACTTTTTCTTTCAATTTTGTTTTCCGACAAATGTGTCACCTGATATGCACACTACAGTATTATAATAATGTTGAATCCAATGAAATAATGTCATGCTGGTTGAGGAAAAAAAGAATTGGGAGTATAGCATTATCCGATTGGAGCTATGTGTGCAACCATATGCAAATTCCATTTCAAATAAACCCCAGCATAGCCGGCCGATCTTGATTGAAATAGGATATGCCCTGAAGCATATTCTTATAGCTTAGATTATCTAATAAACCAATGAACAAGAAACACCTTGGCGGAACTAACATAGTGCATGCATATATATATGCCTCTATATACTCATTGCCTTATGACAAGGAAATATTAAGAACAACATGAGTACTGGTAACTCTAAGGTTGTTCTAGTTACAGGTTGTGCCAAAGGTGGCATTGGTTATGAGTACTGCAAGGCCTTTGCGGAACAAAACTGCCGCGTCTTTGCCACAGACATCTCCCAACGCATGCACGACATAGACTTAAATTCCTCGGACAACATCGAGGCACTAGAGCTCGATGTGTCCTCCGACGAAAGTGTAGCGCTTGCTGTAAAGACGGTCATGTCCAAGTACGGTCGTATTGATGTTCTTGTTAACAATGCTGGGATAGGAAGCACCGGCCCTCTAGCCGAGCTTCCACTAGAGACCATTAGAAGGGCTTGGGAAATTAACACACTAGGGCAACTAAGGGTGGTACAACAAGTGGTGCCTTACATGGCATCGCGGCGCAGTGGAAGTATTGTAAATATCGGAAGCGTTGTGGGCAAAGTGCCAACCCCATGGGCAGGGTCTTATTGTGCAAGCAAGGCTGCGGTGCATGCCATGTCAAACACATTGAGGGTTGAGTTGAAGCCTTTTGGTATTGATGTTGTGCTGGTTGTGCCTGGGGCCGTTAGATCAAATTTTGGGAGTGCTACTGTGGAGAGATTGGGTGGTCATGATTGGAAGCTCTATAAGGATTTCAAGGAGGCCATTGCAGAGAGAGCAAGGGCTTCTCAAGGAAGTAAAGCAACGGATGCTAGTGTGTTTGCTAGGCATGTGGCAAATAAGGTCTTGGGGCCTAAGCCACCAAAGCTTATTAGTTTTGGTCACATGACTGGCCTGTTTGCTGTGCTTTCTTGCTCTCCTCTCTGGGTGAGAGATTTGTTCTTTTCTACTCGTTTCAAACTAAATAAGAAGCTATGAGGTTTATTTATTTTCTTTATTGTTCTTGGGTATAAATTTGGTCACATGAGATATGCAACAATGGCTTTTAAGGCTTAATGTGGCCCAAATCAGTTGGCTCAACATCAAATTTAGTAATATTTTTCTTGCGGCATAGAAAGATTCACCAGCTGAACCCAATGAAACAAGCTAGCCCCTAATCCAACTTTTAGGAGTCGATCCTCAATGATTGATTGGTTAATGAATTGAGTCTAGTCGACTTATTAAGTTAAAGCCGAAGAACAAAAAAAAATTCATATATACAAACGATATTGGGAGTTGGAAATTCAAACACAAGACCTCAGGTGCAAATGTACTCTTAATCATTTGAAATTCAAAACTCTTTCAGCCTAATAACAAATTTTGTTTATGTATTTCGTAAGAGTTTCACTTTCATTGATGTAGCTTTAATTTAGGCAATGATACCCATAGAGTAGAGTTGCCTGATGTTGCAATTCAAGGGCATATTTAGGTTTAAGAGTGCCTTAAGACATAGCTAAAGCTAACCCACAATTGCTAATTAAGGGTTAGCAACAGGCCCTACAAACGCATGCAGTGCATAGATAAAAAGAGGCACTACCAAACCCTTTCCCTATAAAAGAAAGAAAAAAAGAAGCAAATTAAAACACAAAGCTCTTTTGTTTGGCCATGCACCATTTGCAGCAATTGGCCTCTAGTGCTGTGGTGTGTTGGGATAATGGATTTGCTCATCATTACTACAATCAAAAAGAGGGGCTCCCTCTCTCTCTCTCTCTCTCTCTCTCTCTCTCTCTCTCTCTCTCTCTCTCTCGCTCCATTCACCTTCTGTCCTTTGGTCATATTTCACCTCCAAACTCCCCTCTCTCTTTTTGAAAACCAAATCATGCCTTCTTGAAAATCTGTCTCCATGAACTTGGCCATGCAAATTTCCATGCAAAATCAAATGATAAAAAGAGCAACCCCTATTTGATTGATTGGCCATTTTTTCTCTTTGGTGGCCTACTTGTTCAAGATTGGTTTTGGAAAAATGAAAATATAAGGTTGATGTTTACCGTTCCAACAGTTTTCTCTTAAAAAAATTAAACAGAAATAAGACATCACAAATATATTAATAAACCAAGGGAAGCAATCCCACAGCTCGTCCTTGGACACTATAAAAAGTTATAAAATAACCAAAGTTGGCGTAGCATTTGTACTCTGAGTTTTGTAAGCCTATAATGATTAGCGGGATATAAAATGCATTTCCCACAAAAAGAATGTTCCCAAAGGGACCTTGGTTCATCATTCTAGGAATATCAACTTTGAGCAAAGCTCTCCTTAGAACTGTACGTTCTTTTACAAGTACATGTATCGATCCGTTAATATGAGTTTAATCCGATTCGTGAAATTAATTATTCAACAAAATTAAAGTTAATAAGTTATTAGCTCTCCTCAATATGGCATTAGGATGAGATGACCGCTAATTAGCTCCCACTAGAGGTTAATTAATTACAGTGACCCACCTCTCTCGCTTTTGATCTAGATGTGTTGACCACAACAAGTGAACAAGGCTCTAGATAAAGCAAGTATAAAATATTTTGCACTGTGTCTTGCTCATCAATAATTCTAGATTTTGTTCTTTTGTCTCCGGGGTTTGATGGCAAGTCATACAGTAGTTACAGTACATCTAGTCATTTCCATGTAAAAACAGCACTTTAGCACCTTGTATATGCTCACAACCTGGGTCTTGAAAAATTGACGATAAATGAATGAATATCTGCTAAAATATCGCTGCTCTAAAAAGAGGATAATTTCGGTGAAATTATAGATATTTTGGTCCATTCTCGCAATGGATCAACATTGTTCATACGTATGGCCCCTCTTCTTGTGGAAAAAAAAACTCATTTACACCCATTTACATTAGGTCCATGTGACACTCACTTAATATACCAAGTGTGAGACATTTGTCTCATACACCAAACTAGGCGAGTTGGTTCTAATAATCATTTTAAAGTTGCACATGCCTTATTTGTGAGATTTATATGATTAATTGTTAATGATTATTCATGTATATATGTCTTTGTTAAGATTCTTAAATTTGTATAGATTATAAGTAAGAATTTTTCATATGGATGATTGGATTACACAAGGCATATTTCCCATAAAAATAATAGAATGGTTACTGAGTCGTATGTCTTAATCTCATTTCAAATGTTAGGTTTAAAAGTCTAGAAAGACAAAAAAAAAGAGGGTTGAAATGATCAGAATCCAATGCTATTTACTCTCTCTTGTTTTTCTTTTTAAATAAGGGAATAGGCTAGGGTAAGAATTCAGTCGGACCATCCAGTTCCAAAAACACAAAAAAGCAGCCCAAATCCAATAATCTCCATGAAATGTCTAGTAAAAACATTAAAAGAATCCAAATAAATGGACAAAGATAAAGATAAAATCACAGTACGTGAAGGCCAGGACAGGCCAGGCCAAGCCAGTCAAAGCAATGCCTGTCCTCCACGCTAAGCAGTTTCTGAAGACGGCGTCGTTAGGGGCTACTTGTCTTGTCTTCACACACATAGTCGAAATGGTCGATAGTAGCAGTAGCAAGCAGCTATAGCAAAATAGGTCCAGTTTACAGAAGAAGCTGTGCCTGCTGTTTTGAAGTGACTGGAGGGACAGTTTGTCTTGTGCCCGTGAAATCTGATCAAAGCCTGAGAAACCCATTAAAGCTAAAGCAAAACCCAGTTCATTAATATGGTGCACCCACTAAACCGACTATAATTAGTCAATTAGAGAGAGAAAGTGAGTCACTTTGGGTGTGACATTTGGACTGCTGGGTTTTAATGGCAACTGTTGAATTTAGCAGTGTTTTACCCACATGAGATTATGAGGTCTCGTTCGTACACTTTTTTAAAAAAAAATTTGGGTCTTTGTTTAAATCTTTTTTTGGAGAATGATCTTTAATGTGAGTTTTAAGGGATCTTCTTAAATAAAAAAGCAAATTTTAAAAGAAAGGCAAGGAGAGAGAAAGAGGGCAGAGTGAGACTAAAGAAAAGCAAAAGAAAAGGTCTTTCTCGCATACAGAGATGCCTATGGAATGAGGGAAGGATACCCAACATTGCTCGCTGGAATTCATTCTTTTTGTTTAGTTTAAAGGACCTTGTTTTGTTTTCTTTTTACATATTACATATCTTTTCAGTTTCCACAGAGAGAGAGAGAGAGAGAGAGAGAGAGAGGGTTAGCAGTATAGATAGATTCAGTTGCAGGAGTTGGGATTTGTTTTAGATGAGTGTTAGATTTGGTCCAATCAGCTCTGCAGCTACCCAACAAAAGACCCAGTTTTGAAAAAACAGAGGCAAGGCAAGGCCAGGCCAAGCAAAGCAGAGAGAAAAAGAAAAATGTTAGTATGATTAGTTTATATTCTACCCAATGATTGAGTTGCCTTGCCACAAGAGAAACTTACCAACAATCTCTGATCAGAATAGGGAGGAAGAAGAGAAAAGCTCAAACCTTGAGAGTGAGAGAGACCATGAAATCCATGAGTAATGATGGTAGCAACAACAACGACAACAACAACAGTAATAATAACAATAATAACTGGTTGGATTTTTCTCTCTCTCCTAATATGAAAATGGAAGCCCCATCTGAGCCTCATCATCATCATCACCATCACCAAATTTCGGAGTCTTCTTCTTCTTCAGTTGCTGCTATTGCCTCCTCTGTTCCAACTAGTTTCTTCCACTCCCCACCTCACTTCAACTATGGAATATACTATGGAGTTGAAGGAGATACCAGTGCTGGCTTGTACTCTCCTTTGTCCATGATGCCACTCAAGTCTGATGGCTCTCTCTGTATAATGGAAGCTCTCAACAGGTCACAGCAGCCTCAAGGTTAATTTCTTTTCTAAGCTCTTATTATTTCTTGTGGTTTGGTAAAAAAATTTGCACTTAAAAACTTGTGGTGGACTCTTCTGTCTTTTGACTTTTCTTTATTTATCTGAAGGAATGGTAACAACAACAACTACTTCAACTCCAAAACTAGAGGACTTCTTTGGTGGTGCAGCCATGGGGACCCATTATGAAAACAATGACAGAGAAGCTATGGCTCTCAGCTTAGACAGCATGTTTTACCAACAAAACAACCATCATGAGCCCAACAACCAAAACTTGATCAACCATCTTCAGCAGCAGCAGCAACAGCAACAGCAACAGCAGCAGAACCCCAGGCACCAAGAACAATCAGTGCATCAGGTTCAGGTTCAGGCCCAACAACAACAATATTCATACTACCCTGGCCTCAGAGGCCATGAGATGATGTTGGAGGAGGGGCACAAGGAAACCCATCTTGCAGCAGATAATTACAATCTCCAGCAGCCAAGAATGGGGCTTGATCAGAGCATTTCTGAGATGAAGTGCTGGATTTCAAGAAATTATGCAGCTAACCATGCAATGGAGCATAATATGATTGGCTGCATGGGTGATAATGGGGCTGAATCTGGGTCTATTGGGGCAATGCCATATGGGGATTTACAGTCTTTGAGCTTGTCCATGAGCCCTGGCTCCCAATCAAGCTGTGTTACTGGTTCACAGCAAATCTCACCTACTGTGGCTGATAGTGTGACCATGGATACCAAGAAAAGAGGGCCTGAAAAGGTGGATCAAAAGCAAATTGTTCATAGGAAGTCCTTGGATACATTTGGCCAGAGAACCTCTCAGTACAGAGGAGTCACAAGGTCACTTCTTTCCTCTCTCTTTTTTCTGTATTATTTTGGTTTCTTCATTTTTTATAAACAATTTGTAAGTAAAATTTTCTTAAATTGCTAACTGGGTTTTTTCTGTTTATTCTTTTATATTGATTTTGCTTATATTCTCCTTTTTCCTTCTTTCAACTTCTGTTTTTACTTTTATTTTTTCTTCTTCAACTTTCTGACTTCTTGATGCACTTCTGTTGATCAGGCATAGATGGACTGGTCGATATGAAGCTCATCTATGGGACAACAGTTGCAAGAAAGAAGGTCAGAGCAGGAAGGGAAGGCAAGGTTGGTGAAGAAAACACATGCAAATTTAATAAGCACAATGATGTTTTCATTTAAATGGATGTGCCCTTTCTGAAGTCACATTCTGCTCTTGTTCTGACCATTTTCCGTACAATGCTGATTGTCTTTTTCTGTTTGGTTTTCCTTGCTTGGCTGGGAATCACAATCAAACCATGAATCTCAGTTTACTTGGGTAAGCATTTTGATTTATAATCTGGCTAAAGCATTTTAAACTGTCCACCAATGTTCTTTATCTAATCATACCAAGATTTTTTATTTTAGGAGGTTATGATATGGAGGAAAAAGCTGCAAGAGCTTATGATCTAGCAGCACTCAAGTATTGGGGACCATCCACTCACATTAATTTCCCAGTAATCATTTTGTCCCCTTTGCATTTCTTTTTTCAATCTACACCCATATTCATTTTGGTTACTAAAAATGAAACCATGATGCTGATCTAACAGTTGGAAAACTATCAAAAGAACTGGAGGACATGAAGAACATGACCAGACAAGAATATGTTGCCCACTTAAGAAGGTAGATCTTTGCAATTGTTCATGCTCCTAATGAAGAATATTTTTTGTTTAACTCATAAAATAAATTTGTTCTTTGCAGGAAAAGCAGTGGATTCTCAAGAGGGGCTTCAATGTACAGAGGAGTGACAAGGTCTTATTAGCTGCTCATATAATACTTTAGATAAAATGTGTCTCAGAAAAAAATAAAAAATAAAAAATCTCTGAAATCTGTGTTTATGTTTTTCTCTGTATAGCAGACATCATCAACATGGAAGATGGCAAGCACGGATTGGAAGGGTTGCTGGAAATAAAGATCTTTATCTTGGGACATTCAGTGAGTGATTTCCAAGCTTGACTTTACAAGGCAAATATCCATATTTAAAGATTTGTTTCAACCATTGTCATTATTATTAGATTGTACGCAAGAGATTCAAGGGTATGATATATGACTTTAAAAAGCCAATCTTTGAAGCACTCTCAGCTCGTTGAACTGTTGTCTTTTCAGCCACTTATAGAGATATACCACTGTCTGATTCTGGTTCTGATTGTCAGCTTGACTTGCCCACTAAGCTTTTGCTAAGGCTGTTCCTTCAGAGACCCATGCTTGCCCCAGCTTTAAATTTGATGCTCACACTTTTCTGAGTGTCCTTCAAATAATAATTTTTGTTATCTTTTATCTGTAAACCTAGGCACCCAAGAGGAAGCTGCTGAGGCTTATGACATAGCAGCCATAAAATTCCGAGGACTGAATGCTGTTACCAACTTTGACATAACAAGATATGATGTGGATCGAATTATGGCAAGCAATACCCTTCTTGCTGGAGAACTGGCTAAGCGAAACAAGGAGACCATACCGGTTAATGAGGCTGCTACTAATCAAAACCATGTTGCCCAAACCAGCAATGGCGAAGCCATTGTCTCACTGAAGAACATTAATGAAGGTGAAGATTGGAAAATGGCACTTTACCAGTCATCCCAGCAGCTTGATCAGAAGCAACCAAGCACTGAACCTCACAATGCGATTCAAGCCGAGGCGGAGGACTCTGCCAAAATGGGGGCTGCTCACGTGTCCAATGCCTCTTCCTTGGTGACAAGCTTAAGCAGCTCAAGAGAGGGCAGCCCTGATAAGTCTTGCCTGCCAAGTTTCTTTGGAATGCCTCCAGCTGCTTCCAAGTTCTTCACAAGTTCAAGTGACACAGTGAGTTCTTGGATCCCAACAGTCCAATCCAGGCCAGGACTCATGCCTCACATGCCAATTTTTGCTGCCTGGACAGATGCATAGCCCTAGGCCTTTGTGTTTTTGCTCATCTGTGGAAAGTTTTTGCTTCAATTACATGCAAACAATAGTTCATGTAGTTTTATCTTACTGGAGGGGAAATTGTGGTTAATGATGGCCTTGGTGGGGCCCTTTTGTGAACAAAGTAAAAGAAAACTTCACTCATGTTTTAAGCCTATCCTATCAAAATGTTGAAACAAATTGAGGGGCTTTATGAAATGATATGCTAATGGTTTTCATAATTTCCAAACAGCTTTATTGCTCCAGTTAGTACAGGACCAGCTCAGTTTTGTGTCCCAATGATGCAAAGACATATACAAATATCATTTAGTCTTTTGCTTTTGGGCTTTGACCATGATCTGATCTGTTATCTCGTCACCTTTTTTTTTTCCCTGTTTTTCTTCTCTTCAGTTTCTGTATGTGCATTACACTAACATCATTACTAATCTCCTTTTTACCTAAGCTGCCTTTCTCTAAAGGTAACACAGATATTCCTTCCCCATAATTCAAAGAAAAAAGGAGTTTGAGATGTGGAAATATGGATTCCCAGATCAAAACTTTTTTATTTTGTTAATGATTATAGTGGCCCATCAGTACTGGGAATTTGTCTCCTTATTTTGAATTGAAAGCTACCTCTTGTTGGAAAACCTTAAAGTTGTTTCTTTCTAAGCCCACTTACACTTGCTGTGTAAAACTAATGATGTCTACATGAAAGCAATCTCATGTCCTATTGTGGGCTACTTCGATCAATCAATATCGAATTAAGCTTTGAATTAGTGCTCATCTTCACACGTGCAGCAATAGGAAAAACATAATACTAATTATGAGCCTTATTCTTTTGGGTTGTTGCATGCTTAAAATTAAATTAAATTATCTTATTGCTTGGAGAGAAGATTAAATAACTAGCAGCTTGTGCTCTATTTTTGGGATTTTTCTACAGTGCAAATGTGAACATATTTTTAGCCGTTAGATCGACCGATTCACCCTTTTCTACTAATATATAGATCAATATCAAGTCACTAAATCATGTTTGCATTAAATGGGAACCCACACAATATAGGAACTTCTATTTTTGAGACTAGACTTAGGGAAACATACCTAAAACTAAAAGATAGGCCTGGCCAATTTTAGTGCTACGTATTTCAAACTAATTGAAACATAAGTAATGAAAACATTATGAGAAGATCACTGCTACAAAATTATTGCTTATATTGAGTACCCTCATTGATAGGCAAAGGTTCTGGCCTTCAAACATAGGCAGCCGTCCCATGTGGACCTTTCATAATACAGGACTGTGTACAGTGGAGCTGGGAATTAGACCTGATAGCAGTGCAATAATTGATCTTAGCAATTTGCAAATAAAAATCTAAACTTGTAACTCGAGTGGTACATAGTACTTATGAAACCTACGAAAAAAAAAGGTAACTAAGTAAATGTTTCATCTCACCTTTTTATTCTAAAATTATTTACTATGCAAATCTCTTTGGTGTTCACCAGCTCAGCTGATAATTGACCACAAAAAATTCTTTAATGTTCCAGTTAATCAGAGTAGCAAACATGGCGGGAAAATGAGATTTGGCAAAGTGCCTCCACCAAATTATTGCACTGAATAAATTCAATCCATTACCGCCATTTCCTTAGTTAGGGATGGTCAGCACCTGAATGACATAATAGATTGTAATTATGATTACTATTATTGTTCTTGTTAGTAATCATTAAAATCTGCATTATGCTGATATGAGATTAAACGCTTTTGCTTGAAAAGGAAATTGTAGTTAGAGCTGATAATTAATTATCTGCTGTTTAAGCACTACTTGCTTTTTTATATTCATTCATGGCCACAGCAATTGGTTGGTGCATGTGTGAATTTCAAGTCGGTGAGTTGCTCTACAGGTCGGATCTAAACTTTAAAAGGTAAGATCTTAATTCCTAACAAAAGAAATGCTAGCCGAAATTGCTCAAAAGAGAGTTTTGACACGAACTTGTTAGCAACTCATAGGAGACCATATATACGGGTACGCTTATTTAAGATTGAAAATACTTTTTTATTTTATACGAACGATATTTTATTATGATCTAATCTAAATTACGGGAAAGGAGATTCGGACTTGGATGCAAAGTGGGGCATTAACCAACTATGTCTGCGAGATTGAAAATGCTTTGTCCTGAAGAAAAGCTAAATGCCCTGGAAATTAATGATGATCTAGGATTAGATCTATGGCTTTTGATTAAGGGGGAGCACCTTGTCCAAATCTAAGGGTAAAAGGGCAGGCAAGTGCTCAAATAAAGTAGCCCCAAATTGATATCAATACATAAGACAAAGAAACAAGGTAGGAGGAGGCATGCATGAGAAGAAAATAAGCAGATAGTTAAGTCCAAAAGAAAACAAAGAGAAAAGAACATAAAGAAACTATCGCATGCATGGTGTGAGAGGTCAAAAGGAATATTACAACTGGACGTGGAAAAGTTTGCAAATTAAAGTAGACAGAAATTTACGACCAAATAAAAAAAGTGAAGTGAAATTTATTGTCCTTATATTACAAAAAGGTGTACGGTTTCTATAGAGGAGGCTCTTGGAATATTGTGGTGTTTTACGATGAAATCAGTCCAAATGAAAATATTACTAGGCAAAAAGAATTATTCTTTTTTGCTCTTCAAAATGTATAGAAAACTGAACTTTTTTTCTTCTTGCATTGAAAAATTCAAAAAAGACTGCATACCCTCATAATTTAGAAATGCAACCACTCGAACTCGAACCCCCCTCGAGTGATACTCGAACCTTTCGAGTAGTCCCGAAACCATAGCTGAAAATATTAGGATCTTGGAAAATAGGATAATATAGTCTTTAAATTATCTAATGATTTTAATTTGAGTCATTCACTATAAAACACAATTTGGGGTTATGTGTGATGTTAAAGGAAATTTTAAAAAAGAAAAAGAAATGCAAATCGATTATTCATTGTGTCACTATGCTATTGATGTGATCGTTGAATCACCGAGAATGAAGTTTGGAAGTTTGGATGTTAGTTTGAAAACTTGGTAGAGAAATTCGGTGCATGTCGATGAAAAGGAAAAAGAGTTTTGGTCTTGACACAGTCGGTGGAAAGATTTCTTGGACGGCTCTGAGACTTCACAATTTTAAAGCTGATTATAGTCTTATTTATCCTATTATTTAAGAGAATTTAAATAATACTAAAATGCTTTTGATAAATCTATTTACATTTACATTAATAAATAGAAGAACCACAATCTTTTTTTTTATAATAAAAATTTATATATATTTTTTCCCACTGGTCTGCATGCCAACATCCAATATCATAATGAATCAAACTACATACCACTGGTCTGCATGCCAACATCCCTACAGAAAGCTAAGACCCCATTGGCGTTTTTCTCCACTGCTTGATCTTCTTATTATGTTCTTGATCCAATTTGGACATATTTCGCTTGGGTTTTGTTAGGAGGACAGGGATGGTTATGCTATGCTTCTTGGGCTCCACTTTTGGGCCCTTACCAAATATAATAGGACTAGGTTATTTGCAAGGCCTAATAGCCAATCGTGTAGATTAGTTTATTTTAGGCCTTTTCCTTCCACGTGTACAGGCCCAACTTCTCTTCAGTGCACGTACTCTTTTCATGTGCACAGGACAGGAGGGCTAATATTTTTTCTTTTGAGAACTTTGTGAGGGTTCTGTGGGTTTTGATCACCACGGACTTACCTGAGCCTGAAAAGTTGTTCGTGGCTAGATTACCAAAGACGATTAATGAAATCGCCATGAAAGAACACTTCAACAACAAATATGGTGAAGTGAAGGACTGTATGATTATTGTGCACAGAATTACCTGTAACCTAAGAGGGTTTGGCTTTGTTACCTTCACTGACCCATTCGTGGCTAAGAAAACATTGAAAGTAGAGCACTACATCGTCGGCAGAAAGGTTGTACTATATAAAAGAAATTAAAAATATCAGCTATGTTACTGCACTATGCACTTAATTTTATATTCTTATTGGACATGCAAAAATTGTACATGACATGCACGAAAAGTTATATGCCGTCTCTACCCAGTACCCAACTTATGGTTATGGTTATCTTATTGTCATCTAAATTCTAATTAGCTACCAAATAATTTAAATTCTTTCCTCAAAACGTAATTATGTTTATTTGTTGCTACTACTGAAGAGTTTTATTATAATTGAATGATGAATTTGTGGATCAAGTCACCAAGGAAACCTATCATGAATTGAATGATAAATTTGCGGAGGTGAAGAGGGCTAGGCCCAAGCACAAGAAAGAAAACATGATCCACGCATTTGACTGCAATAAAGTTGGGTTTGATTTTGGAGGGTCATGGTTTGATTATTGTAGCAATTTTTGGCTTTATGGTGCCCGTTGCTTTAGTTGTTTACTTCAATATGGGTTTGGGCACAAGAAAGACTGCTTGTATTATGGTCAAAGCACAGCTGGTTAGAGCAACTCCACTCATTTGTCCTTTGCCATGGCATGACAGGGGGGACTAGGGCAGCTACTATTTACGTGAATAGTGGCTGCCCTTGCAAAAAGCAATATGTGTTTCCATCCATTATCATGGGAAAGGACAAATATTATTCATTTTTTTGGTTTTTTTCACAAATTTGTTTACCTAAACAATTAATTTGGATAAAATTTTCAGATAAGATGATAAATAAAAATACAATTTAAAAGTGAATAAAATGTTGAGTAAAAAGTGAATAATAGTAGAAGTAGAAGAAAATACATGAGGATTTAGTGTTGAGAATGAAGAGCATTGGTAGGTATTTATAGAAAAAAAATATATAGAATTTGTTGATATTTTTTTAAAAAAAATTCGAATTTTTTTCATAATTTTATAACCAAAAAAACCCCAACCGTTGTATCGGAGGAAAGCAGGCGATCGGAGCTCCCAGACAACGACACTTGTCTTCTAGCTGTTAGTGGAGCGCAGGGCTAACGTCAGCGCACGCTGACGTCATCTCCCCCCTCGGGAGA